GACAATGAATGAGTATCTATGTATTTGTGGTTCGTTTTAAGATTAAAACACGAATGTGTTTAGCTCTTTTACAAATTAAAATTTTATTTCACTTGTAAAAATTAGCTGCTATTTTCAAAATGATTATTACAACCTTATAGGGTTCTAAATATATTCAGAAAATTGCAAGGTACTCATAAGCTTTTAAATTGCAAAAATACATATTAATCCCACCAAATTTTCCATCTCAAACTTGATTTGGTAAGTCTAAATCCGCAAAATTTATATATGTATCCAAATCAGATGCTTACCTTTCTTGAAACGGATGACTTTTTCCAGGAAAACACCGGAGGATTTTCATCCCCTTGAATTTCCAACCATGAAAAATAGCACCCGAAACAGTAGCGCAGCCTATTTCCGAATGTAATCAGGAATAACCTGATTCGGTTCTTCTTTACTTCAAGGGAGTCTTGCTGCTCAAGAATTTCCATGTTGTTTCTTTCCATGTTTATAAATACAACTGATAAATTGTGGAATTTATTTCGCAGTTTTACCTAGAACTTGAGATAAAAATTATTTAAGGTAAACTTTGCAATGTAAGAAATTGCAACCTTGGATGAGGTAATATGAATAGTTCCGACTGGGATAGGAAGCCAAAGTCTCTCTACGGGTACGCACTGTAGGGAGTGCTTACAAAATAGCCGGACAAATTTCATATGCATATACAGAGGGTTGGGCCAGAAGAAGGAGCCACTCTAATTTTTGGGGTGACGTGTGATGCACAGTCGCGGCATTTTCAAAATTGGCATATGTCATACCCAGATAGTTAACGAAAATTTAGCACTTTTCAAATTTTCCCTACGGTTAAAAATGCCCCTACAGCACCCCCCAGAGTGCGAGGCACGCATAAAAGTGTTTTCCAAAGACATATTGAGCCAGAGAGCGATAGTTAGAAAACTTGCTGCAAATGGATTTATTGTCGGTCGAAAGCACGTTTATAATGTATTTTTTTGATTTGGGTACTTAAAACAGAGCCTTCTAGAAAGGAAACGCGTACGTTTTGATGGACTTTGGAAAAGTGTTCAGGACGAGTGGTGCAGAATCACTCTGAAAATGGTGTCAAACGTCATGACTGGTTGGAAAAAGCGACTGAGTCTCGTTAGATAAACTAAAGGGCCTCACATTGAACCAATTACCAAACTTAACAAACGAAAAATGAGGCACAATAAATTCAGGCAAAGTGGCTCCTTCTTCTGGCCCAACCCTCTGTATGCATATGCAATTTGTCCGAGGACTTTGTAGGCACTCTCTACAAGGAAATTTAGGGATGTATCAAAATATGTTACTGTTTACTGTTTACTGTTTACTGGAGTTTATTAAAATGTCGCAAATCATCAGAAAAAATCTGCTTTTCAGATCAAGACACATACAATAATGAATTCATCTAAACTACACTAATAACTACAACAACATCATGGTTGCACATCTTGGTCACAATTCTGACCAGTGACAAAGTCACGTGCTTTTGATTGAAACAAACCATAAGACATATTACGTAATTCCCAGTCCTTCGGTAACGTATTCCAAATACGGTATCTTCTATACGTCAACGAGCGTTTAAAAGCTTCTGTCCTATGAATAGGCGCACACATATTAGGTCGGTTATAACTAATAGATCTCTCGGAAAAGGTTAACTTATCGAGTTTATAAAGTTTATACGCGTTCTTAAGTAATACATAATTAGACCTTTCCTCAACAGTAAGTAAATTATTATCTGTTCTGAATTTTTTAACATCAATTCCTTTTTTAACATTAATAAGTGAACGCTTTCTTGTAGAGTATGATTTCGCAAGCTTTGGGAAGTAGTAACTTATCAAAAAATTATCAATAATATCTTGTACTTTCTTGAGAGAAAGAGAAGTTTGTACAGTCCAGATGTCAATACAATAATCAATAACAGAGTGGACTTGAGTATTAATCAAAACCTTCATAGCCTGTTCATTTATGGAACGCTTCAGACCATGCAGCAATTTTATGCGTTGACACACTTTAGCATAGACATGATCATAGTGTAACTTAAAGTTAAGACTAGGATCTAATACAAGGCCAAGATATTTGAAAGAGAACACACGCTCGATTAACTTATCATTATCAACAATAATTGAATTTACAGTTGATTTTAAAGGAACTCTCTCATTATGAAAATACATACATTTTGTCTTGTCAAAATTTACATTAAGATCATTAAGTAAACACCAATCACAAAAGGATTGCAAACATTGCTGTAATTTCAAAGCAATTAAGTTAATATCGTCAGAACCAAAATAAATAATAATATCATCAGCATAACATAAAAATTGTAGCTCCAGTGAGGGTTTTACGTCGTCGAGGAATGCAGAAAAAAGAATTGAACCCAAAATTGAACCTTGACCTACGCCCGTATTAATACAATAAACATCATCACCAGATACAAATTTGTAAGTTCTATTCTCAAGAGTACAATAAATCAGTTTAACTAGTCGTTTGCTTAATTTAAAATTGGATAACAATTTTCGAACCAGTTTGTCATGTGAAATACTAGAGAAAGCATCCTTAAGATCAATGAAAACTGCTCCCACAATACCGTTCTTCTTGTCAAGTTCAGAGTAGGTGAAAGTGGTGAAAGCAATAATCGCAGAGTGACACGATTTGTTTCTACGATAGGCATGCTGTTCATCTATTAATTTAGCATCTATTCTATCTTTTATCCTATGATATAGGTACCTCTCAAATAATTTACAGTAGGAATTAAGGATAACAATCGGTCTGTAATTCTTGGGCACATTACGCGGTCCCTTGCCCTTATACAATGGTAAGATAATAGCATGTTTAAAAAGAGTAGGTACATACAAAATATGTAAAAGGTGGCTAAACAGGACAGCAAGTTGAATACTAAACGAATTAACACATCTCTTCATTAACCACAAAGGAATATTAACATTGTCATTTTTGTTCTTATTTTTAGTGTCTGAAATCAGTTGTGAAATATCATCAGGATTAATTGACAATTCAACATCATCATCATCATTATTAATATGATTATTAATTAAGTTACGTGTTACAGAGTGATCAAGGTCAGAGTCAGGCTTGAAAAGTTTTTTAGATAACAAAGTATTAATCTGTGATACTTCAGTAACAATAGTGGCATCATCATCTACAAGAGAAGTTATTTTAGTACATTGTTTACGTCTAAAATTAGTTAATTCATCAATAGTATTCCACAAAGATTCAGACTCTAGTTTAGTACCAAACTTTTCTTTAAAATACGTATTTTTTTCAGTATTCAACATTCGTGCTGCCTCATTACGAGCAATTCTGTAAGATTTCCAATCACCATTACTTTTGGCGTCCTCGCGAAGGTAATTGCGAAATTTGCATGCTTTTTTTACTTCATCACTAAACCATTTGCATTTTTTCATTTAGTACAACATGTTTAGTACAACATGTTCATGTTAGTACAACATACAAAGTCTGTAGGCAGCTATGTATATTTTTGCAGTTTTCGATTTCCTCGTTACCCATAAAACATTGGTACGACTCTCCTGCAATGCAAGGTGTAAACTTTGTTACTCTCCGTGCAAATTTTATTAGTTTCTCCCCCATAATTACGAGATAGTAAAATCTCTCAATATTTTAAAATAAAATCCTCAATTTCTGAGTAAAACTAGGTGTGTGGGCCACGACAACTAAGTTGTAAAGTGACACACGTGGTACGTATATGTGTATAATTACATATCTAGGTATGTACATATGGTATGAGTTTCGGGAGAAAACAAAGTAACAAGTTTATCACTGCTTATTAAAAATTTTACGGATTTTTGGCAGATGACCAAGTAATACATATGTACATACATGTTTTGGTTGCATATGGGTATATATTTTACGCACTTTTATGAAGTATGTATCTTACATACATATATGCGAATGTTTTTAACTTTGATCTTGTAAAATTTTGACAATCCGGAGTATGGTGCAAATGCTTCTAGTCATATGAAAAAAGGATAACAATATGTAATGTAAATATATAGGAAAATCAATGATAAAATACTTGTTTGAGTAATATTTTTTAGTGCTGGATTAATTATGGCAATCATGGGATTATTGAGACAATTTGCGAAACAATTCTACCAACAAATATCCCCTATGAACCTATGTGTCGGACCTGGATGGATTTCTCGGCACCAAAAAAAGTCGTCTCGCATATTTATAATATTAGATATTATAACGACCAGCATGCATACATATGTACACATGTGTATAAATAAGTGAAAATTACACTCTAAATAATCCGGTAACAATATTTCCAGCGGTAAATATATAATATATGTAACTCCATCGCAATACATGGTAATAAATAAATTGCAGACTGATTGTAAATTTGCTACCGCGCTGGTAATATTTTTATCATGAGGTTGCAGTAAATATGATAACAACTTATCATGAGTCAGTAGCAAATGTATTGTTATGAATTTGTGTAGAGTTATAATACATATAGTCACCAATTTGTGATGCCTATAACAAGGCTTGCATATTTTACATATATTTTTGGTAAAATGATAGCAAAGTGAAATTGAAATTGTGAATACTTTAGTTCCAAGTAAATTGAGTATGTCGTCAAACTCGGGTATTATATGTAATTGTACATACATATGTTACATATAGACTAAATTTAGATACTACAATCATAATTGTAGTATCTATGTAAATAATAACTACATATAGGATAATCTTTCGACCTCTTCAAACTACACTATAAATTCCAGTTTTCTCAATATCCAATGTTTAAAGTTTTTATTTAGTACATTACAAATATTGGAGTCACTTAAAAGAAAATACACTTAGGATAAGGTAAAATAAAGTAAAATAAGTAGAACTCATTAATGCATGTTACATTAAATAGTATGTAAGAGTCCCAATATGAAATGTGAATGCATGCAAATGCATACAGTATGATCATAAATAAGTATGTACAAATCTATGCATTTTTTTGTGCTTTTAGACTAATAGTTTTATTCCTTAAGAGTATGTATGAATCTATGCATATGCACACTTACATAGGTACTGCAAAGTTCTCAATATTGCCCTCTTGTTACTGATTAAAATTGAGTATTCCATTAATATTCCTGTTCGCCTTACTTGAAGTGCAACGTAACCAAGTAATACCCTCCCGGCGACGTTTGCAACCTATTCCAGTAGTCGTACCGTTGCCACGGTTCTCCATCGCAGGCCGAGCTGAGGGCCCAGTACGCTCCTGTCGTCAGGCAAAATGCAGATCCCAAATTGGCAATAGTGCTGTCTGGGAGAAGGCTCCACCGTTGCGACCCCGTTTGCGCCATCGTGTCACAAGTCGTCGCTTGAACACCCGTCTCACCGCTGGCGTCGAGACAAAGTTGGGTCGCTTTGTTGACGAAAGATCCGTTGCTCAGTTTCCATTCTTGTGCAGGATTGTTAGGAATGCATCTTTTTATCAAAATTGCCCCTTGGCCAGCCCCACCGTCCAGGCAGCGCGGGTTTGGGCCGACGGTTTGTAGGGGGAAATAGTTTTCAGAGGAGGAGGACGAAGAGTTGTCGTTTCCGTCGGGGCGAGGGGAAGGTCGTAATTGATCGGATTTTGGAGAGGATGGATTATTAGGATTTGAATTGGTATTGTTTTTTTGTTCGCATCCGCACGAATTCATTACGGAGTCAAGCTTGGTTAACAAATTGTCTACATCGGTTTGCAATTTTTTATTGGTATGCTCCATTTTTACAAGTTTCCGTTCCAGGATTCCGACAACTTTTGCTGTGTTGTCGTCCGGTCCCTAAGAATTTTGTTAGCGTATAGTTTACTTATAAAATATGCGAATGGTAAGTTTGATAAAAATGTTGACCAACAATTTCACACTGTTGCAGCATTCCGCATTCAAATGGAGAATTCTCTCTCAGTAAGTTTCCATTCGGATCTCCAATTTTTGTTCGTTCAGTTTGTAGTGTCGTTGGCGTGGAGGAAGGTGGGATTTGTGGACCTTATTGGATGTGGAATTATTTTATACGTTGGAATTTGATTTAAAAATTTTGAATCTAGATTAACTTACTGTTCGGCTCGGTTCCATCCAGTTTAGCCGTAACGGTTGAAGTCTCATCATTTTCAACTTGTTGTCCAGCCACACAACTTAATAAGGCGAGTGAAAATACAAGTAACTTTTTAAGTGAATGCATTCCAACTAAGGGATTTGAAATATATTTGAAAAATTTCCAACTTGGAGAAATAATTTGTCCAGTTTCCTTCTTAATCTCTGAGCTTATGCATTTAATACCAAGCTGAGGATGAGTAATAAAATAAAATTGGCTTTATCCTCTTCTCTCGTATGAAGGTCGGGCTACAAAAAGTGAAGTGCTTTTATTTTAGCGTTATGAATAACATCGTATCAAATTTAGCTTTATATGTGCATACGCGTGTAAAAGACGCTGCCAATAAGAAGTCAACGTATCTCAACCATGACTTTTATGTATCTCATGTCCAGTGAAGAAAAAGAAATGCTGGTCTGCATATCCCTCATTTTGCAGACTCACAAATTTTTTGTGCAAGTTTATGAAACAATAGTGATGACCAATTATTATAATTAGATTGATGATGCCCTACCCGAAGCATGAAATAGTTACACGGGAAGGTGCTTCAACGACTATCTTTCTAAATTATAAATTGAGCGAGCAAAAATTCGTGTTAAGTTTGATTTCCTTAGTGCAAGATTTTCCCATTCTTAACTGCTTAAAGTTAACAAGGTATGAAATTATTGTCGAAGCATTTGTAAGCATAGTCAATAAAATAACGTAGATTTCAAACATACGTTTATACATATTATGAACATTCAGTGTTGTAATTTTTACTGTGTCTAAAAATTTCAGTCGTTCTGAAGTCATTATGAGTATACAAATTCACTTTGAGACATTTGTTAGGTCAGTTTTTTTTAAATTATAAAGCTACCACATTTTGTAGAAGAGTTATCACGTCATTCTTTGAACAATTTTTTATTAATAATTAGGTATTTATTAATAATTAATAATTATTGATCTTGTATTAATTTAATTTATTTAATTTATTTAATTACTTACTATACCTGCATGTAAAACTCATCGTCATCATCAATTTTGTATATAAGGAGTTTTCGATATTAAAAAGCATAATTTTCTTGGGATATTTACAAGTTATTGTTGTTAAATCTATCGGTATTTTCATATATGTATATGTGTTGAAATCTCAATCCAATTTAAGGGTGATTGAGACGCGAGGAGGGAGAGCATGAAAAGTAGTGGGAGTGCGTGTGTCTTTGTCTTTGAGTAAAAAAAAAATGTGAGCTGGTCGACATTGATCAGTTATTTTTTAATTGTTGAAATATTAATTCCAAGTTGTTATTTAAATAAAGTTATTTAACAGTTAAGCTGCAGAGTAGCTAGCATGACTTTATTTAGGTGGAATTAAACCGGTCATCTTTACATTTCTTGCTCGGCACAGTCAAAATCGGTGATCGCTAGCCAACGGGTAGTTAGTTAGGACGTGATCCCAGTGGAAATCTCGAGCAGATTACACATTTTGGTGACCTCGACGTGATCGAGTGTCAAGAAGTAAAGAAGACATTGTGGGCGGAGAATCCTAGAGAACCGTCAAGAAAAGGGGATCAACGGAGGAGAAACGAAGTTCAACGCTTTCTCTGAAGACAAAATATGCGGAATATGCAATCCGATTCCGTATGGACCCTGGGTGAAAGAATTAATGAAGTTAAATGTGTATTTGACGGATGTTGAATCAGAACCGTCTGAAATACATATATTGATTGGGTCAGACCAAATTGGACGATTACTCACAGGAAGGATGATCAAGGTCAGCCCTATTATCACCGCCACCGAGACTTCCATTGGTTGGTACTTAAACGGAGAAGTACCAATCCAGAAAAATCAGTCGCTGGCAGCTAGGAGTATCGCGATGACCACGCGAGCTCATGACATCAGTGTGCTTTGGGAACTGGATACCATGGGTATCAAGGATACTGCGCTGCAATCTAGCCCGGAAGACCACGACAGGAAAGTCAAAGAGGATTTCCAAAACAATTTGAAGAGGTCAGAGGATGGGAGGTACATTGTAAAACTGCCCTGGATCAACGGAGCGCCTCCTCTACCTAATAATAAAGATGTAGCAGAGAAGAGACTCATCTCAGCTACAAACAAGTTACTCGCCAAGGAAGAATTTCAACAATATGACAATATCTTTCGTGCTTGGGAATTGGAAGGAATTGTTGAAGTGAAAGTGAACTTGTTGGATCAGCCTGATGGACACTTTCTCCCCCACCGCCCAGTTTTCAAGCCAGGAAGTCTGACGACACCAGTGCGACCAGTTTTTGATGCTTCCTGCAAAGTTGGGAATAAATCGTGCCTCAACGTGCCTGGAGAAGGGTCCCAATTTACTTGAAGTAATTCTGGCCATCTTACTTCGTTTCCGCAAAGAAAGGGTGGGAGTGATTTCCGACATCCGAAAAGCCTTTCAGATGATCGAAGTGGATCCCGAAGACCGCAAGTTTCAGAGATTTCTTTGGTGGGAAAATGAAGAAAAGAAAATTATGAAAATTTATCAACATTGTCGAGTCATATTTGGAATGAACTGTAGTCCATTTATCTTGGCCGCAGTTCTGGAGTTCCATCTTTCCAACGTCGCAGAAGAAGAGAGGACGACAAGTTTGGAACTGTTGAAGTCACTTTATGTCGACAACTGCGTCACTTCTTTTGCTACTGAAGGAGAATATCAGAAATTCAAGGAGGAGTCCATTTCCATTTTGGCGAGAGCGAAGATGGACCTCAGGGAATGGGAGTCAAACACAGACCCAGCGATGGAAAGAAGAATCACATCGGTTTTGGGGTATAAGTGGGATAAACAAAGTGACCACTTATTCTGTGATTTGTCCCAACCATGGAGCGAGGATGAACACCCAATAGTAACAAAGCGAAGTGTGTTATCGTTGGCTGCTCAAGTTTTCGACCCCATAGGATTCTTGTCCCCAGCGGTCCTACAATTGAAGATGTTACTCCAAGAAGCGTGGGCTCAAGATTTAAAGTGGGATGAAGAATGGAACGAGGGGAAAAGTACTGAAGTATTTAAGTGGTGTAGGCAAATGGCATCACTTTCTAATATCAGAATTCCTAGATGTGCAATAATCTGTTCAGCAGAATTGCAACTCCACGTCTTCACCGATGCAAGTAGAGATGCCTATGGTGGGATCGTGTTTGCCAGATGTACTGATGTTCAGGGAGAGGTCAGTATCCAGTTATTATTGGCCAAAGCAAGAGTAGCTCCACTGGAGAAGAATCCCGAGAAACAGAAGAATGGCAATCAAATTTCCATCCCGAGATTGGAATTGCTGGGATGTTTATTAGGAGCTCGTTTAGCAGACACGGTCAGAAAATCAATGGAATATGACGACATTACGACCGTGTACTGGTCCGACTCAACAACAGCCCTGGCGTGGATCAGAAGAGACGAAGATTGGGGAACTTTTGTCGGAAATCGTGTGCGACAAATTCTGAAATGTTCAAAGAAGGAATTTTGGCGTCACGTCCCTGGAAAGATGAACCCTGCAGATCTTCCCTCAAGAGGCTGTCCACCAAACGAGTTATTGGCATCCAGATGGTGGGAGGGACCAGAATGGCTGCGCCAAAATCCAGAAAATTGGCCCTGTGGCGCCGACGCCCTAGATGACGAAGAGATCCTTGCAGAGAAGAAGAAGACTTGGGTGAAAGTGGCAAAATTTAAAGAAAGTTCCAAGCCCAAGTTTCATTCGTACTACAAGAATGTTCGGATTGTAAGCTACGCAATACCGATCCTGAAAGGCATGGATCAAGAAAAGCTGAGCGACGCCCTTACAGTATTAGAACTGAGGCAAGCAGAAATAGCAATGCTGCGAATAATCCAGTCAAGATATTATTCCAATCCAAGGAAACTTCAATTGCGAGTGGAGAAGATGGAAGATGGACTTCTTCATATCAAGACAAAGTTGGAGTACAAAGATGACACCGAAGGTCTCCGGTACCCGATATTGTTACCTCAAGACTGTCCATTAATTCAAGAGCTGATCCGAGAAGTACACCGTATGTATTCTCATGGTGGAATCCAGTTCACGTTGACGAAGCTCCGAGAAAAATACTGGATCCCGCAGGGAAGAAGGACCGTGACGAAGGCCCTGAGGGAATGTCTTGCATGTCGAAAACAAGACGCTAAGCCCTTGCAAGTCAACCCTGTGGCACTGCCGAAGAAAAGAGTGGCCACAGGAGAAGTGTTCAGCACAACTGGCGTGGATTTGGCTGGTCCATTGTACTTAAAAGACAGGAAGAAAGTGTGGATCGTGCTATACACTTGCGCCGTGTACAGATGCGTCGCCTTGGACTTGGTGGAATCTTTGAGCTCTGAAGCATTTATCAACTCATTGGAGAGATTTATCTGCACCTATGGGCGTCCAAACACACTGTACTCGGACAATGGGACAAATTTTGTGGGTGCTCACTCGTTTTTCATGAAGATGAATTGGGAGAAAGTAGAACGAGCAAGCCACGTGAAACAAATTCAGTGGATATTTAATCCTCCCACTGCTGCCTGGTGGGGAGGATGGTGGGAACGCCTTGTAAGATCAGTGAAAGACCTTCTTCGTCGAATGTTGGGAAAGGCGTCACTGACTCGAGATGAGCTGACCACATGTTTGAGTTCGGTAGCAGCAACAATTAACGACCGACCGTTGACCACTGTGACCGAAGATGAAGAAGATCTCGTCGCCTTAACACCAGCAATGTTTTTGAAGGGAACTAAGTTGACCAGATTCCCAGAAGCGGAAGTGATGACAGGGAAAGAACTCCAAGTTCGCTTCAAACATGTTAAGAAGTTACAACGAGATTTACAGTCCAGATTCCGGAAAGAGTATCTCGCCGAGTTGGTACAGAAGGCCAGCGAGAAGAGGACCCAAGACCCCCGAGTTGGCGACGTTGTCTTAGTAGGAGCCGACAACAAGAAGCGTTTGGAGTGGCCTTTGGGTAGGATCATCAAGTTGAATCCGGGAAAAGATGGGGAGGTGAGGTCAGGTCTTGTGAAGACAGCCAAAGGAATTTTGTCAAGACCTCTATAGCGTCTGTATCCTATGGAGATCCCGTATGAAGATCAAGAAATGATGAAAGTTTCTCCTGAGATTTTGATGGAGAACTTTGATGAAGAATCAGAATGTTTGGAAGTGGAGGAACCGGAAGAAACTCAAGTCGATCAACCAGAACCGGAAATTGCTACCAGAGTAGGCCGGAAGGTGAAGAAACCACAGCGTCTTGGAGTGTTCAGTGCTCATTATTAATTTGATTGATTTTTGAATTTTATGTATGATTGGTTATTAGTTTTATGATTTCTTTTCCTCATTAGCATTCCGCAAAAGAAAGGTGGGAGTGTTAAATCTATCGGTATTTTCATATATGTATATGTGTTGAAATCTCAATCCAATTTAAGGGTGATTGAGACGCGAGGAGGGAGAGCATGAAAAGTAGTGGGAGTGCGTGTGTCTTTGTCTTTGAGTAAAAAAAAAATGTGAGCTGGTCGACATTGATCAGTTATTTTTTAATAGTTGAAATATTAATTCCAAGTTGTTATTTAAATAAAGTTATTTAACAGTTAAGCTGCAGAGTAGCTAGCATGACTTTATTTAGGTGGAATTAAACCGGTCATCTTTACATTTCTTGCTCGGCACAGTCAAAATCGGTGATCGCTAGCCAACGGGTAGTTAGTTAGGACGTGATCCCAGTGGAAATCTCGAGCAGATTACACAATTGTATTTCAAAAGGTCGTTTAATGCATTATTTTATTAACACTTAAAACAAAACACTAACAATTTAGGTCTCCCAGCGTATTTACGTTCTCAGATTTTGACCAAGCATCCGATCACAAATTAAGTATAGCATTTTCAAAAGACAATTTCTGCCAATGCTCAGGTTTAGTAGAAATATTTGTGTCCGAAGAGGAGAAAACGGGAACTACATAAATTCGGAAAGTGGAAAATTTATTAACTTTAAGGCGTATTTTATCCTTTTATGCAAATACCTCCGCCAAACACAAACCTGAGCATTGGCAGGTCGTGTCTTTTGCAAATTTCATATTAATTAAATTTACGATATATAGATTGACACTGATTGGTAAAAATCTGTGAGCATACGCTGGGAGACCTCCATTATAGTAATTTTTCTTACTTTGCATACGTCTCAAGCACCTCTTTTGCCAATTGTTTCATCTCGTTCCACTCCTTCTCGTCAAAAGTGGAGCTCTTGACGACATGCGGAATTCCGGAGTAGATCCGTTTTTCATCCACCTCTTCTAAATCCTCATTCAGCACACGTTCCACTAAACCGAACTTGTCCTTCACCTCGAAAAGGGGCGTCCCCTTGAGCAGCATTAAGGGCCAGGCATGCACTGCGATGGAAGGCTTGACAAACTCCAACAACCAGTCCAATCCAAACCGAAAGCTGGAAATCGTTTGAAGGGGTAATCCGTAAATGAGTGAGGTTTCAAAAGGGATTTCTCTGGCGATAAGATCCTGAGAAACTTGAATAATCTTCTTGACATTGTTGGCCCTTTGTATTACTTTACATTCTTCTTTATTAATCGTTTGCACCCCAAACTCGAGTTCCACATTAATACCGGTTTCGAGTAGTTTAGAGCACATTACGAGATATTGGGGGGACACCATTTCAAATCGAGACTGAAGAGAAAGACGACCTTTGAACCTGTGAAATAGTAAACGAAATGACGATTTAAATATTTTTACAAGATTTGTTTCCATATGTTTACTTTACAATAATTTGAGTAGGGTTTCAGTTTGTGTAATATGTACACATGCAGTAAGTTTCAGAATGAATTGTTAAAAGTATGCAAAACAGTTGTGTATGGATGTAGAGCGGTCGCCTCAGGAAGTGTTGATCATTTTGTAGGAGGTAGTAAACAATAGTTTTAGAGATCCAATTTTTTTGTATGTATACTAGCAGCATAAAACCAGCATATTAAATTTTTCGATTCAGCATGAAATTTTGAACATTTTCATGCATTTTCAATTTAATTTATTTTGAATTTTCGCGCCTTCCAAACTTGTCTTTTTTTACTTTCACTTCCGTTTCGGAAAATTACTTTCACTTCCGTTGCGGAAAAACATAATACGGAAACACGTTTCCAGCTTATAATATAGAAGATATGGAATGTACCCGTTGTATGTAGACTGCGATAGAATTTGTTATGTAATGGAGTGACTGGAATTCTAGAAAGATCCAAGTACCCATGGAAATACTTCAGTCGCTGTACATATGTACGTATGTATACCTATATACCCATATACGTATGTATAGACATGTTATTTAAGCGAAAACAGTATATAATCACAATTTCTTGTCCAACGTACAATTGTCTGCTCAATAATAAGACAGCCGATTTTGTGTCTTTTGAAGAGGTGGCTCTTCTTCAAGTGTACAAACCTAATAGAATAACAAGTTTTTGAACCTGATAAACATTTCTTATTACCTACATCCAGAATTTAGTAGAAATAAGGACTAATTTTACACTGAAAATCCCTATAAAATCAACCTCAGGGCATTCAGGGCAGAATGAAAATGGAAATTATTGGCACATTTCCTATCCGAACAAAGATTATTTTTATCATATTCTTCGATTTGTTTAATGAGATTCACTGTCGCTTTCCTGATTGGAATAATGAAAAAGGTAAAGTGTAGAATGGACATATCTAGTTTATTACAAGTTTTATATGCATATTGCTTTTACCCATCCATAAATATGGACCAGCTCGTACTATCAACATTGAGTACACGGGAAGACTTTACTTTGAGTTTGACTTCTTGGCTGAAACTTATGAGTTATGGGAATAAACAAAAGTCTATGATCGGAAATTTGGTTAATTAGTACGCCCACCCACCTCCTAAGCACCCTGCTCAATCGATCAGAGTCGCAGTCTTTCATTATTTCCAATATTAACAAATATTAGTGGCTCCGAAACTGGAAAGCCTAGCATAGTAGCGTTCGAAACGATTAATCCACGTTTTTACAAGAGAGAAACAACTTTCTAGAAATGAGGGGAAAGATTTTGCTTTTCATAGTAACGCTAGCAATACCTTGGATTTTTGCGGCACTTGAAGTCGATAATTCTTCAGAGGGTCGAGGTCTTGAAGTTATTAAGCCAGCCTTCTCATTTCTGCAAAATCTGGGCCTACTTAGTTATTCGCCTGACACCTAGAAATGTTATTGCGAGTTTTTGTAATTTTGAAAAGGGTTAGCATACGAATATTGTGAGTTATGTAACTATCTACATAACTACATATGCACATACATATGTACATGAATATACTCTTAGGTACAATAGAACTAAATATCTATTATTATGTTAAACCATTAATATAAATACCACTTTCCCATCCTCATTTTTATTATTTTATTAAATTTCCAGGCCAGCTACTGAAATATTTCGACGAAGATGGGCGAATAAAAATCCCTGGTCCATGCACAAATTCCGCTCCCATCCGGGCTGGAGATTGGTCAATTTTGGCGACAAATTTGGCTACTATATTAGCAAATTTTACACCCAAGAATAAATTGGACATTATAATACTGAGTGAGTATGATATTTTGGTTCCATGATTAAAATTTCATACTAAATTAATTTCTAGACCCACAATCAAATGACACACAGATTGTGAAGCCCGCAGCTGCGTCTGCCATGTATAGTGTCCTTTCGAACAAATTCATACCCGCACATGAAAAATCAGCCATCCTTTTGAGTAAAAGAGGTATTACAACAACCTTGAAAACAGAAGTGGGGACACTTAGTGGGGAAGGAGCAAAATTAGTGGTTGATAATTCAGTCAGCGTGGTCGGTTTCATGTCAACTTTATGGGGTGCGTTTCTCAATTTTAATATATGCTTTTACCCCATGAAATTGAATTTTTGTGCTTTCTATTACAGAAAGTTCTGGCTTTCGGGTTCCACTACTTATATCATTAAATCAGTACTCACAATGGAACCTTTTTTCAAGCTACACGAGATAAGCTTAGTGACCTGTGCTAAAAAATCAAGCTAAAAATTAGAAATGACGTGGTACTTATCTTTCCGTTGAATGGGCACTTGGAGGTCAAATATTTGAGGGCAAAGTTCAAGGTAGCGGCCTGTTTTTTTCTCAAGTGTGCGAGCGGAGGAGTGAAAATTTTCTCCTTCGAGGTCACTCCGCTGCCTTCACTCTCGCACGCTCGCACTTCATTCAATGCATATTATTTTTGACAAAATTTCACAATCTCGTGAATTGGTGCATAAATTCATATAATTTTATAATTGCTTTTTAAAGTCCTACTATCAACTATCCACCGATCCGTAATGAAAAAGTGACGATGGGTTCTATAAGTTATACATAAGTGCGTCTAATTAATTAGTGTATTAATTAATTAGAAATCATAATCCGTAAAGTTGACTTATTTTTATTGCCACATTTCGTTGTATATTTTTGGAATTGCATATTGATTGCATACTATTGATGAACGAAACTAGCGCGAGAGTGAAGGCAGCGGAGTGACCTCGAGGAGAAAATTTTCACTCCTCCTCCGCTCGCCCGCTTGAGAAAAAATCAGGCCGCTACTGTGAACTTTGCCTTCAAATATTTGACCTCCAAGTGCCCATTCAACGGAAAGATAAGTACCACGTCATTTCTAATTTTTAGCTTGATTTTTTAGCATAGGTCACTAAGCTTATCTCGTGTAGCTTGAAAAAAGGTTCCATTGTCAGTCAGTAGCGGATTCCCCATAACTGGAATTATTGTAATGATAGAAATTGAAAACCCAGTCAAAAATTTGGGCGAGATTTTAGGTACATCGTAATTACTAAAACAAGTAGCCATATTTTAATTAAGCAATGGAAAACCATTACTATTTCACGATAAATGCATGTATTTATCTATGTAGGTGTCCTTGGCCAACGGGAATTTGAAGTGGAACAATTTGCAAGAGCTAGGAGCGAACTTGGGAGTGAACTTGTTCTGATTAAAGGGATTTTGCCCGATGAAGATGTAAATAACGATAATTTATCAGCGCTGAGCAGGAACATTAGTGGTGTGGTCATACCTACACCTAATTGGGTAAAAATATTATTTTTGAATTAATTCTCATTGAGCAATTCAATTAACTTAGAATACTTGTCTAGATTTAAGCCAAATTAATTTGCTCAGATATTACTTTATTATTAGTATGCATATGTAAAATCATAGCATGTGTATGTATATGAAAAGACGCTGTAAGTAAGAAGTATGCAAAACAGTTGTGTACATACATTGAAAGTAAGTATTCGCCCTAACGCACCATGCCAAATCAGGAATGGGTATAAAATAAGCATCTAAATTTCCAACTAACTTGTTTCAATTGATTTTGTTGTCTGTATTTGTAACTCCATATAGCGAAATAAATAATAGAATCGTGGGACTAACCCATAATCCAAAAAATATTGCATCGTATCCAAATAATTTGTCCCTCCTGAATTGAAAATGGGGTCAACAATTGAAACGTCGTTAATTCCTTGTTCCACCAACCACTGGATCTCTTGTTTCGTCCTGTTCTTTTCGCACGTTGCTCGCTTTTCATAGGAATCCTTGTGTTGGCAGAAGGCACAGGTGAAAGGACAACCACGCTTTGTTTCTAGTCGTATAAATCCTTTATGAATATTTTTTGGTGGAAATGAGGGATTAGTTGTCAAGGTATCCATTAGCAGTGGGGCCGGGAGGGTGTCAAAATTATAGATGGATTTTTGTCCAGGGTCGGGACGTCCTTTGTAATGGACACCAGTAATGGGGCTAGAAATATAGAAACAACAATTTCACAAGCAATGACCCTCGTGGTACACAATCAGCTTTTAGTATAAAATTCGCACATGTACATATTTTTCTTCATGTCGTGATGTCAAACTGTACGACGTGGTTTCACCTCATTTCAACCCATAATAACTTTTGAAATCCAAAAAGGATTTTTTAATTAATTAATTAAAATTATCGCAAGAAATATAAGTTTTAAGATAAGAAATGCCTCAAAATAATCTATGTAAATAATGTGCGAAAATTTCAATCTGTGATTATTTCAATTATGAAGTTTGTGGCCTGTGATCATATCCCTTTGATAATAAATCGCTATCAACATAATATATATATATATATATACGTATGTCAATGCAGATTATTTTGGTGGCGTACATGCAATGCGCATTCATGGATTAATAGCTTTACACTCTGTGAACACTATGAACAATTATGTAGCCACTTACATTTCATTCCCTCCCATTAAATTTTCAACCACTTTGACCAGCGACTCTTCCGCATACCCCCGAATAAAAATGTCTCCAAAGGGATACGCAATTTCCAAACTATTCGCACAATGATTGTTATACGTGATCTGAGGCCCACCGCAAATTATTTTGCACTTGATTTCCTTGTCAATCACAGCATTCTTCACCGCTTCCTGGATGAAGTGATCATTCCAAATGTAGATTCCTACCCCAACAAAGTTTGGCTTGATTTCGTAAAGATCACGCTCAAATTGAGACCTTATCTCGAACGCATCCGCCCTCCTGACGTTGTACTGGGTATGAAAAATGTCAAGTTTGTTGCCCAATTTGGTAACGAGAGAGGCCAACAGGGACGAAGATGCCAATGAGATGGAAGGGTCCTTTGGCCTCAAGTAGTCGAAGGAAGCCAACAAAAATCGGTGCGCCATTTGATGTGTTGTACTTCAGATATTCTGTTGCAAATTCTTACTTATTTTATATGCAACTACATCCTGAGTGATCTGATGTCTGCAAAATGGTCCCAAACTCAAAGTGGATGATCACAGGATGTCCCGTGATTTTGTTATGATATGGAAACTTGAGACTCGGTTTTACACAAAGTTTATGAAACAAGTCACGCGTACTTATTTTGCACTGCAGATTATGTGACGCAATGTAGGACACCTCATATTTTGTAAATAGCAAATATAGTCCTTGTCGTTTTACTAAATTATAAGAAAAATATAATACAAGTTGGAAACGTTTTGCGAATTATTTAATTACTTGCATGATTCACTTTTTTTGTGTATATTTAAATAAGTAAGTACATATATACGCTATTACTTAATAAATATTAATACAAGTATGTGAAAACAATTGATAATAAAACCTACATATACTAAAGTGCATGGTTAGTGATGAGAATAACCACGTTTTAAATTTTCATACCACCAAGGCGAATTTGCATTAATTCAAAACGTTTAATGTAAAAAAGTAATTATGTTGATACGTTTGCCAATACTCGAAAAAACTTAACTGACCTGACGATTCATCAAAATACGACTGATGAGTTATTGCACAAATTATTCACAAATATGTAAGTTCAAGATAAAAATGCACTGATGAAATAGGTATGCATTTTGGTGAGCAATATTTTTTTACAATGAATCCATTTACATATTTATGAATCTGGGCAGTGATGTATGAATCAAAATATTTACAAATATACTCGGATAAATAAATGTGGATCAAGTTTATCTCACCAGGATAAATTGGTCAATTCCTAGAATCCATTAACAAATTTAGAGCAATGTGTGAACGTGTTTGTTTACTGATCGAATTGCACATGCAAAAATATGTACGAAACTGGACAAAGCTAAAAATAAGTAGTTATCTATATATGTACTAATGCACACATATATGTAAATAAGTATGTATGTATACGATGATGCAAGATGCGGAAGACAAACGCATGTAACTGCACATTTGTTGATCAACACGGTTTTATGATATCTGCGCATTTCATAAGAGTTGAGGAGAAATTGTATTTTTTACAGTGCTAAATTAATCATTAGTTTGCATTTATTACCACGGCAAATCAAATATTTCCGGCTTTTACGGACTAATTAGGATGCAAACTACACTTAATTCCGCTCTTTATATAAAACTGTATTGGAAAGCAGTAAAAATGGAACCATTGATTAATGGTTTTGCTTAATTCTTTTAAATAACTTTATAGTCCTGACCCCTGAATACAAATAAATTTTAAGTACACTACATATTTAGTGTATTAATTTGTGAACTTAAGTACGTCAGCAATTCAAATACCAATTAGACGACATGATGGTCACATTATTGATATTTTAGCATCGTGAAATTTCAAGTCTCAATTACAGATTCATATGTATGAACGTACATATTTATGCATGCACAATTTCACAAATAGGACAAATTATTTACCTAAAGGCCATCCACTAATCCTGCGGACTAATTTCTGTTATTATCAATACATACTCTGGAATTGGCCAGTAGACTGAAAAATACTCTCAACCGATATTTAGTTGAATTTTGTAACTCGACAAAAAAATGCAAATTGGTTCATCAGTATTGTACAAATTTCTAAACAGTACGCATCAAATTTCCGGCCATTAAATCAGTATGCTCACCAAGAAGCTGTTCCATCGCTTTGCATTGATCGTGGCAATATGTCGTGCCACAGGGGCCACGCCATTTTTCTGGGACAGACACCGTCATCGACTCTTCCGTGGGAAGAAAGCACGGCGAAAAACGAGGCGTTGGCTCTTCTTCCAAACGATATTTCTTATTTATCTCGTCATCCGGACGGTTTATGTCCGCAAATATCGACGCAGTGACCTCTCATCCTTCAACTTTTGGCTCTCGACCGTGTTCACGATTTCTATCCATCTCGTCGCATTCATTCCATTCTCAGTTTTTGATGCAAGCTTTGCTCAATTGGTGAACACATGGATATATTTTATGGAAAAGTATCAGCGTAAGTTTTTGTGTGTTAAAGGCCGTGGATTCTTTTTTTTTAATTGTGAAAGTATATATCTAAAATTTTTATTAATTGAATTTTAAAAAGTTTTGCATACAAATTTTTGTGAGGGGCCAATTTTAAAATCAATTCATATTTGAATTACCTAATAGCGTTCTCACGACAACGTCTTATTTTGCATCTCAACAAATTTAGCAAATTTGTGACGGTCAAATAATTTATGACGTGAGGGGATTCGCAATATATAACTTTGCCACATCTTGAAAAACTTGCGAAAACAACTTTTTTGATGTTATTTCCATGGGTTTCTGTAATTTTTGTCGCTAATAATGATAATGTTAAAGGATGGGTCTCCTGGGTAAATCTGCCAAAAAAATCCATGGCTTTAAAACAAAAGTTTTGCGAAATCTCTCAAATGTTGCAAAATTTCGGAAGTTAAATATGTTGCTCTACTCAATTTACAAGATATGCAAAGGTGTACGTAAGTGTCCTCTGTATTTCAGGAAAATGGTATCCTCACTTTAATCCAAATACGGATTTTTCGGATCATAATCTTCTAGCCTTTATCCACTTTGAAATGCTTGCTACCTTCGCAGCTTGGTCGTGCACGACGTGGTATTATTTTGTCTACCCGCTTTCACCCCCCTTCCCAAATGATCTACTCCCAAAAAACTATCACCAAAGCTGGTTATTTTACATGGTCATTGGATCGGTATACCTTCTCATCACGATGCTGACCTGGACAACAATGTTAATGGTTTTGACGACGATATTTATTTATGTTTTTTACACTCGTCCCATGATCATGAAGGACTTGCGAGGAGGCAATGGTTTCATCCAGTATAAAAATCTGAGCTCCACTTATCGAACCTTTGAAATCATGCATATGATCATGTTGGAAAATTTGGCCTGGACATTGGTGCCTTTTCAAGTCTTGATCTTTCAGTACGGGCTGATTTGCAACCACACTCTAATTTTAAACTGGAAGACGATGGATTTGACAACAACGGGATTTCTAGTCTCACAGTTTTTGATGTTTCAAGGTCTTTACGTTCTGTACTTATCGTTCGGTGGATGGTTTTATAAAAACTCGGTGAGGATTTTGGAAGGCTGGAAAGCGTTGAAGTTAAAGAACGCAATTGAGATGAAATGTGTGGCGAAATTTAGAAGGTCGTGTAGGCCGATGTATATTGGATACCCGGGAGTGTTTAAGGTTCGCAAAGTGTCGGTTTTAACGTATTGTCAGGGATTGTTGACGGGGACGAGTAGGTTGCTGGTGGGGCTGAGAGGAATCGGTACTTTCAGAATGTGATGGGAACATACATATAAATAAATGTGTGATATCTGCGAAATATTTTGGGGTAAAACAGTTGGTAAAGTTTATTAGTGTAGTAACTACGTAGAAACAATTAAATTTTATGCATATTGATAACTCATAAATTAGTTATGCAATTATTGATCTCTAGACACTGATGGATGGATCTCCTTCTGTTAAGATACCGCATGATATTAAACTTCGTAATTGCAATTAAATATGTGTATGTACTATGTATTACATGTACATCAGCTTATTATTCGGTTTGTCCAAGTTGTATTAAATTTTCATGGTCTTATGAACTTATATTGCTAATTACATAATTAGCTTAAATGTATATTTACAATAAGTTTTACTTAAGCTATGTGTGGCTGGAGCTAAAACATACACGCAACATACATAATTACGTATACGTATGTGCATATGTATGTGCATACTTTACTTGAGGTTAATTGGATAGTTAGTCCTCTAATATTTCATAAATTGGTGAACAGAGAAATCTAATTTTTTGTCTATTTAACTCAATCAACATCAACCTAAAACTATTTTGCATAAGCATTCTGCTCGACTGAGAAATATGTAACTTTACGAGTACAAAGCAGACCAGTAAGTACATATGTACTCTACATATATGTACATACATAAGTATTAAGTAAGTAAGTATGTATACATATGCAAATCCGTATATCCCAGCAAAAACAATACCGGGTAAATGACATTTCAATTCAACCAAAATTCTTACAGTCCACAAACTCTCTCCCGAAAGTAACAATGCAGACCAAAATGCAAATAATGAAAAGGTAGAAGGATCCACTAAAATGTGACAAGTTCAGTGTTTTCGACCCCTTCTCTCCAACCATCGAGGACACCGAATCCCTCTCCATCCCGACCTCTTTCAGCCAGGCAGTTCTCTCTCTTCGAATAAACTGAACGTCCAAATCATTCATTTTGTTGAGAATCCCACCTGCCACCATCCATCTGAAAACTTGGTCAATTTCCGTCTTAAAAATCGCCCTTTTCTCCATGACCAAGCCAGCAACGATACCAAACGTGCACGAAGGCGACCGTAGGACTGGACTTCGGCCATATTTGTCGGTCAAGTTTCGATGTTTCACAAACTCTGCGATCGAGTCCCAAGAAATGCAGGCGTAACGAGATTTAACTGGGAAATGGAAAATTAGACATTTAAAAAATGACAAGGTTTTCATATTGTAAAAAATCCACCTGATTTTAGAAAACATGCGACATCATCTTCTTCCAAGCTCATTCTTTTGAAAATTCCTGCATATGTAGGATTCTTAGAATGTTTCAGTAGCTGATACGCCGCGCCTTTAATGTACTGCAAACCAATAGCGTAAGTTGAACTTTGTAGCTCCTCAAAGGTCTCGGGAGGTTGTTCCATGTTGGGAAAGGCGAGAAACGTGACGAGTGTGGACCGATACGCTGTCGTGACCAGGATGGTGAACATGAGCCAGAAAATTGTGAAGGTTCTGAGTGCGTGGGAACTGGACGGGTTCCTTGTCAAGGATGGAGGATCTTGCTCCAAAAGAGTTGCAAAGGCGTATTCCAGCAGAATGCTATGCAAATTAGACAGAAAATTATTAAGGAAATTTAAGGACAATGTTTTTATCAAATATTTAATGTGGGAATGAAATTTCGAAATTTAAATTTGATGGCAAACTGGAATATTTAAAGTCATATCTCAAGGTGATAACATTATGCAATTCCGTGCAAACAATTTTTGATACCGCCTGTTCAGTAACAGATCGTTACCAACATGATCACGGCGTCAGCAATGACATACATATTTGTTACCAATTTATTAACAATGTGCTAACCTTGGCTTCCAAACCCTCTGATGACGATACTCCAACCTGGCTAACACTATGAATGTGACCCAGCCAACCATCACCGACACACCGACGCCCATCCACACCTCTCTCGACAAAGGCTGGTAAACACCACGCCATGAATAAAACGGGATTGGTAACCCGGTCGAGAAGGTGAGACAAGCTTCCACAATTGGAAAACTTGGATCGACAACTTCACACCGGGCGAAAGTTTGGGCCGTTGCGTGACCGATATCTGCCTTGTTGGAAAGTACGTCACCGACAGTGCCGAACCATGTCGGTGTTCCATTAACGATGGTCCTGTGACCTGTGCCACCTCCTGTCGCCTGCATGTGGATTGATGTGAAGTTGAGCGTATTTTCCAACAGGTACAAGGCTAAGGTGTAAAGGCCTCGTTTTGGAATCCATGTTCCGGATGGGGAAAACGTCATTTCAACCAACCAACGAGAGTAAACTGGTGTACTTACGGTGAGAGAGGCACCACCAAAGTTTCGAACAGGGTTGTGTGTCAATGCCTATGAAAAAATATGTATGTTCATTCTTGCTAAAATTTTGGTATGTATGTACATACAATGTAGATACATACATACATCCTTATGTATGTATGTATAACAAGATTTCTGCAACACAAAATATTTGTAAAAAGACAGCGAAAAAACATTGTGATTTATTTTCATGAATTGTGTGCAAAGATTTTATTGTAAATAGGCCACGAATTAAAAATATTTACAGTGAATTTCGAAATGTATCTAACACATGAAAATTATTTTTACTGATGTATTTACTGTGCCAAATTGCAGAACAATACTATACACATGAAACATGCTTGATTTTGTACAATTATATTGTATTTGAAGTACTTTGTTGTTTTTGATAATTGTATGAAACAAAAGTATTTAATACAATATGTACATATATGTACATGCATATGTACATAAAAATATGCACCCAAATTCAAACAAATGTGCCATGTAATGATCTGTGGCAAAAACTCGGAAACCTTAATTCTAAATAAGTAGTAAATTGCTAATCTGAAGCGATAGTACCTGCAGGAATAAATTACTGAATTCGTAACCCTCTTTTTCCATAATTGTGTCCAAGTGTCCCTGATTACGTCCAAATGGATCTTTGATACCTCTTCGCCCTTCCATAGTTTTCCCCAGTACCAACCCCACCCGATATTTTATACGTTTTCGAAAAACGTCAGACCTCAAAATGTCATCCACTGTTGACCCAGTTTTTCCTAGCAGGATGAAAAAGTCTGCATTCTTCCTTACCAGTCCGAATAATTTAGTTCCGAGTTTCTGGTAAAAATTGGAAATTTCAACAGGAATTGAATTTCGGAGGAAAATCAACACTAGCGAACAGTGTGCATGGCTGAGACGTTTAGTTGATGCCAATATTTGATCTTGCGTAACACGGGATAAATTTACTGCATTTAGGTCTTCATGATAGACTGGAATATTGTGTAAAGTGGATACATCTTGTAAAAGTGGTGACAATTCTACGTCACCCGTAAATTGACTTTGTCCTCTTAAAATGACGAGGGAACATTGACCAAGATGATTCGAAATTTTGAGAATATTACTCAAAACTTGGGCGAGATCACGACCAATTGAACAAAAAGAAATATGAAGTGTCAAAAGAAAAATAAGTGAGGAAATTTTATTTCTTTGACCCATGACGAGACAAATTTGAGGAAGCGGCCAATGCCTAAAACGACTTTTCCATGACTATATTTATGTATCTACATACTAACATAACCGTTGTTTTTTTGCTTGGTTTTAGTCCCTCTTTCATTTTAGAGTGTGATTGAAATCAAGAACAAACAGTGGGTGACACACGTGGAATTGGATATTTAATCATTTATAACTTGGATCATTTCATATCTTGGCATATTTGCATAGACACATTGTAACACTGTATTACAGATAAATGAGAAGATTGCATACATAAGTACTTGCCTTATAATATGCCGTGTTAGAAGGTGCATTATGTGCTATCTCATTTGTTAGGTTGCAGGTTGTATTTCCAATGTCTCCAACATTGAGGGATGCAACGACTAAAAATTGAGATAGCACGCAATACACCTTAAACAACGATATTTTCATCTTTTATTAAAATTATAAATGTGAAGCCACTGAAATTGCAATACTCGTGACTCGTGCATTTACTTGTATGAAATTGTTGACTTTTAACAATGCGCTTGTTTGTGTTACGATACCAATATGGTATAATGAGAAGTTATGTCTTTATTTGTTTGTCATGCTTTTGTGCAATGATCGCTTCGATTGAAAACACCGGGATGACTTTATCAGCTACTAAAAATGCATGAGAGGAATTCGCATTAAAGGAGCTGTATAATTCAACCGTTATATATTCTAAGAATATTTTCTGATAAGTGAATTTAACTAGATTAGGTTAGTATGCAAAAAGGTGACTTCTTGTTCGTCCATCTTCATAATGGCCTGAAATGAATAATAACCTGGGTTAAATTTTTAACCAAAAATAAATAAGGAAGTATACTAATTTCGAATGCATCAGAGTTTCATCATTTTATACTTGATTGTCATAAGTAAGAATTTCACAAACGATACATTTTTAATTCGGACAAACAATTTTGCAAGGCCAGATCAGATTACACTTTATTTAACACTAAATTAAGGCATTGACACCCGTATAAATAAACTGCATGAACTGCACATAAATGATTCCATTATCGTTTATTGAACCATTAATTATTATCTGTATTGTTGTTCTTTAATAGCTGTCATTAAATTTTCCATGTTAGTGTTATATGTATGTATGTACACCTATTCACATACTCTGCTTCATATTCTGCTTAAGTACAAAATTAAAATGCATTTTTTATAATTCGCATAATGTATATATTTATATACACTAAATTATGTGTATTTGAGCAATTGTCTTCAAAATAAGTTTGACATTATGGACGGGTGGAATAGTGGACATAGCGTTATAAAATATGTCTAAATGTAGGGATTTATTTATCCACATAAAAATAAAAATACAGGATTTTTAATTGTTAATTATCTATCTGACACATTCTATGTTGGTTTAGTGCATATAGTTACATGCACTTCAACGAAATCTGTAATTACATATACGATGATTCTGAGTTATGGAATATAGAGTTAATTTGAACTCGATGGAATGTACCATTTCCTGGGCGTTATTATTTACTAATTCATCATGCATCTGATGACCAGTCATACATAAAAATATATGCCTGTATTAGTCATTAATTTATGATTCATGTAATGATAAGGAACACAGCCCGAGCGATTTCAATATTCAGTTACATATGCATCTCGATAAGGCCAGATAACGTCGAGGGTAATTTGTATACATGTATAACCACCTTTATGCACAATGCTAAATATGTACAAACATACATAAGTATTTGTACTAGGTAATAACGCAAATCCTTGAACTATTCATATGATCATTAGTAATTGAAATGCCAACTCCAAACGAACCTGATATTAACTAGAATTGCTGTTGTATAATTTTGCATTAAACATATTACATAATATTTCTGGACTAACATCACAAGTTGTCATCTTAAGCTGTGATTCACAACTTCAAGTGAAATTCAAGCCATTTAAATTACAAGATGTCAAACAACTTTCCGATTTCCGACGTGGTGCAAATCCTTGTCCAAGATCCCTACCTAGTACGACACAAGGACGAGTTTGCAGAACTGCTAGGCATTGATGCAGCTACGAGGGGAACTTTAAAAAAGCTATGTAATTTCGACATAGAGACGAGTAGGGCCTACTTCACCAGATTGTTGGAAGACTGGGTTGGGCCCTTAGGGAAGGAAGCAACCTTGACCAAATTGCACGACGTCCTCGAAACCGGAAAGTTCAGGACTGTTGCTGGTATGTAAATGAGATTTTTTAAGATGACAAGAATTTGTTAGACAGATGCTAATGATAAGTATAAATATGTACATATGTATGTATTTATGTATATATTTACATATGTAAAAACATACATGATGAAAAAAAAATCTGTCAAAATTAATGGTTTTAAACTTTCAAAAAAAGATTACTTCGAGATCATCGTGAAAAATGATGTATTATTTTTTAACTCATGATAATAATTGTCACCTTCATATTTTAGGACTTTCTTTATTTTCATCTTGTTTATTTATTTATATCCTCAGATCAACTTAAACAGTTGGACTGTTTCCTCTGGAAAGAAAAGTTATCAAAGAACGGCCTCGACATCCCATGTCGAACCAAGTGGTACGTCGAAAGGACGCAAGAGGAACAAAAAATCCTACACTACAAGAACATCGAAAACGGGATCATCATCCACGGACAGGACGGGATTGGGAAGACACAACTCGTCCTCAAAACCTTCAACTCAACCTCAAAACCTTTATTGGTCTACCATTTCCTTCGTGGCGACAGCATCATCAATTTGAGAGAATCCTTAGAAAAGTACGCCAGACTTGTGGGATGTCCCACAAAAAAGGGTGGTATGGAAAAATCATTGTCCGAACTATTTAAATCTGTCTGCCGGAAAATGTACGGCAAGGATTTAGTCACCGTCATCGATGGGCTGAACATACTCGGCGATGACGGGAATGAGCTGAGGCAAGAAATTAAAAAAGTAATAGAATGCTGTTCCACACTCGATCGCCCGAAACCCTTCCTAGTCATCACCACGCTACGAACAGATTTAATCCCCAAGGACGTCGACACATTTTCATGGGGTTATCTTGAACTCTTCGTTTTCACGGATGAAGAAGCCGAAACTTTCGTGAGGCAGAAACTTTTCAACGAAAATTCAACAGATATTAAGCAGTTGAACAAGGAATTGGGAAACTATCCGATCGCCATAAACCAAGCGGTTGAGACCATTAAACGAATCAATTACGCGAAACTGGAGACCTACTCGATCAAGACTTACTTGAGTGAGTACAGAAGACTGGGGTCATCCATTACGATGGAATCCGAAGAAATTGGCGTTCCCAAGTCTATGGTCACCATTGCGAAAATGATTATATCCCAACTAAACAATGCTGAGGGTCCTGATGGGATTTTAGCAGTGCAGATTTTGGAACTTTTAGCCTTTATTGACGGGGATGGTATTTCTAGAGAAAATTTGGAAAATATTTCTAAACATTGGCAAGGTTTTGATTCGAACAAGGTCAAAAATTCGGTCGATCTTCTTTACAAGTATTCTTTCATCTCACGTAAAGATTCAGGGACCATATTCATTCATCGCGTTGTGCAAAACGTGCTGCAATTTTATTTGCGTAGATTACATGCGACTGAAAATACGGAGAAATTACGCCTTCTAGATTTTTTTACGAAATTGCCACCCGAATTTATAAAGTCATCTCAATCTAGGCTTGGACACTTGGCTCGAATGTGGACAATTTTTTCACGCAGATATCTCAACATCGGACACCCTCACCTGCACGGGATTGCAAACCAGATATATTTTGCGTATGGAAAATTTGGGCTCTTTTCACAAGCTAAATCCTTCATTTTTGAGCAAAGCGAAATATTCGCGAACCAATTAGGCGATGAGAATGTAAATACGCTTAAAATTCAGAAAAGTTGTGGCATTGCGATGCGCAACTTGGGCAAATATATCCAAGCCGAAAAAATATTTAAAGACGTACACGCCCAACAGGAGGGACTGCTTGGGAATAAACATCCAGAAACTTTGGACACGGAGCACTGGATCGTGTCCATGTATTGGAGGCGAAAAATGAACAATAACGAGGCAGAAACTGTAATCAAAGACTTGATCAACAAATGCCGAGAGGTGGGAGAGACAGAAATTGAAATGAAGGCAACACAAGTCCTCGCGTTTATTTTAGCAGATAACGACGACACTAGGGGAAGCTTTGATAAGCTTTTGGAAGTCTGGGAATGGCGAAGAGATAAGTTTGGTGATAATCACAGCCACACGGTTGCAGCACTTCATAACTTGGCACATTCCAAGTATCAGTTGAGGCAGTATAACGAAGCCTTTCAGGATTTTAGTAATATTTTGGAAAAATTTATTGAATCTCGAACACCTGCAGACACATTGAAATCGGAGTATTGGAAAATTATGTGTGAGTCAAAAATGATTGGTTTTGTAGGCAATGTGGGTTGTGATTTGCCCAATTGTGTAAGAAAGCTGGAGCAGCTTTATGAAAAACAGAAAAAATTGGGATTCGATAAGAATCATCCAGACATTTTAAGAACATTAGAGAGCATCAAAGTAATTGAGAAACAACTAAATGTTGCTGACCAGCCAAGACAAGACAGTGTAGATAACCCGTCCTCAAGCGTTCCTGCGCCACAGAGTAGGCCGGTCTTGGTTAATGTGAGGACCTCTCAGACGCCACGTGACGAGGATACGGTTAGTTGCTGCTGGAAAATGCTTTGCTGTTGCTGCACAAGAAAAACGACCCGATACGGTAATGCAAGGCGTTTAAGTACATCAAGCCAGGCTCAATTAATACAATAAGAGGTTATTACAACATTAAAGATAAATAGCAAGTATTTAATATGACACTAATATCTTAATAATTTATTAGTAATTAATTATTGTGTATGATATAAACAAATAATGATTCAGTAAAAAATGTCGCGTAATCTTAACTTTTAAACTTATTAACTTTGATTACCTTCCTAAGTATATGCAGTCATTCTGCAAATACAGTATTATATTTCATACTGAACTTTAATTAATGTCGAATTTATTTTTAGCAGCATTATGCACTACACATTTAGATAATGTGCTTTTATCTATATTAAATACTGCACGCTCCACAGAACATATCTGGATAAGGTATACACTTATCATCAAAATACCAAATTGTAGGGATTGTTTTTGATGCAGGGATTTTGTCCATCGAGGAAACAATATGTGTACAATTGGCCCTTTCTTCCAATCGTGACGTCTCATACCGAAAGTGGTTCGATTTGTTGGAATATTTACGTATTCCAAGGACCGAAACATCGCTAAATTGTTTTAACATGAGATATGATCGAGTCAAGCTCGAGACGAATTCTTTTGGAAACAATGAATCGTCGTTTATCTCATTTTCCGTTGCTTCAAACTCAATAGGGTTGAGGTCCCCGTTCCCTTGGAATATCCAAGTGTTCGGTAAAATGCACATGGTTTGATGAATTTTTGTCCGATTAGTCGTTGACCATGGGATGAATTTATTGTCTGCAAAAAATAACAGGGAAATCAATTATGTAGGTTTCGTCAGAAAATTCTCTGATCTAAGAAAAATTTGAGAAAGACGGGACACACGCTGACCTTCTAATTTCCAGGGTGATGATATCTTGACACCCGTCTCAATTTCCTCAGCTTCGACCAAAATCTCAGATTCAGTGAGAGAAAAATGTGTATGAACGAGGCAGACGGCGAGGCGTGAATGGAGTTTATAACGGACTATAATATTGCCTAATTCTTTAACCGCTTCCATCCCGTCACGTTCCAGGAAATGTTGAACGGATTGAGAAAAATTAGGAAGGAATTTATAGATTTGCGCCCGACTCACACCCAACGACATTATTGTCGATGAACTGGTTTTTCGATGGAAAACTGTGAATCAGCAATTTGCCTTTTAGCAAAAAAAAATATAACTACAAACTGACTTTATATACAGAAATTTGTGGAATTCATGTCAATAAGTTTCTGATATCTTTCGTAAACACTTAATTTCTAAGAACTGGATGACCCACTTTGAAGCTCGATATATTTGATGTGCTATTTTTTTTACTTATCGCGAGGTAAACAATTTATTGTGCGGTTCCGTATTTCTTTTTGCACCTTTGTATAGCTTAAAGTAAATACAAAGATGTACTTATTTCTGTTAAAGCACGACAGTCTACAACTGAAATACCCTCTCAAAATTCGAATAAAGATTCATAAAATAACAATTTCATACCGCCACGCCCCCCGGGGGAGGAGTTTTTGTCCCAACCTCCCCCTTGACCAGTTAGGTGAAAAACTATTTGACTGGGTGCTATTCTCCTCCATTTCAAATGACGAAACTGTTGATATCATTTTGTCGAAATTCGACATAGGGAAGTGGAATACACCCCCATCAATAGTTTTCATCTAACTCATCAATTGGGAGGGCTGGCAATAAAACTCCCCCTGGGGGCGTGGCGGTATGAAATTGTTATTTTATTAATCCTTGTGCCTAGTGTTTTAACATATAAAGAAGTACATAACACTTTGCGTTGGAAATTTAAGAGATTATTTCAATTCTACATTAACCATCCTGCAACGGTTTTATTTAGTAATCTATGAAAAATGCATTATGTATGTAAGTGAGATACATATGTGTAAATAAATACACGTATTTTTATCAAAATGTTCGTTAACATTTATGGACGTATTTACATATGCAGTTCGGTTTAAGAGAAACAAGGAAGTTCGTGTAGTTTGATGAATGTCAATATATTTACGTATGTATGTACCTATATCCAGTTTGCTTACTTTACTTTTATTACATATACAAGCTGAATTATCTAGATATGTATGTATACATAAGTATTAATCGATTTGAGAGATAAAAAGAAATAAAGTAGATGGAACTAAAGCAATACCATTCCGTGCAATTTTAAACCTTTTTGCGCATTATTTGTAACAGCAAACCTAATCTATTAATCTTAATAAATATTCTACTGTCGGATCATCATTTCATCATATAATTCAATCAGTTTCTGAACGTTTCGTCACCTTTTAAAAATTGGTATAGATGTATGTAAGACTGTAGTAAATAAGTGAAATTTTCTTCCAAGTCGTAACATATATAGATTGCGTATAAAAATCTCTCACGAGGTTTCATTAAAAATTCCGGCTCAAACTAAATATAGATTCCATGGCTTTCATTTGTATAATAAATCCGTTAACTTAAACTGCTTTCTCGTAACGGAAGAATGTTGCGATTAAAAATAAGCATGGAATTTTAAAACTGACCCATATTTGCTTAATTAAATCATTTAACGTACCATTTAAATTAACATTCCTACCATTAAGTAACACCGATACTTATTGCATAAAATTCATTAACGCATCCCTAATCGCTGGAGAAGGCGACTTGTGTACGTATAATTTTCCGTAAGACAAAGCTAAGCATGAATGGAAAGTGAGAACTAATTTTAGATCTTCTCACGTTAAAATAAGTCACGTACACAATCACATTAAAATTAATTGCCACTTGCTACATTAGGGATCTCGTGTCTCTGGTAAGTGCTGCGTACATTAAAATTAAATGTGGCGCCGTTGCGAATTTATCTTGACCTCGACATAAAAATAAACCTTTCTGAGAAGTCCAATGATGAAATCTTAATGTTCAGTTGATCACGTTTTAAAAATATTATCATACTAATTACTATAGTGCATAAGTAGGTGAGATATATATATATTTCACTGTGTTGAGGTCGATCCATATGTAAGATATTGAGCTCCACTTGAACCAGCGTATGCCAAAACGTTAGAAAATTAGAAATTAGTGATATCTCTAACGTTTTCGAAATTTCATGGTAAATAAATTATGACTTTGATTAATTTTCATGACAAGGTCTACCAAAGATTATATAAATAATATTGCGCACTCAAAATTGCATGAAATTCAATTATGTAACCACAGAATGAAATTCATAAATACTTAACTTACCATGCCAAACCAACAAAAATCACAATTCTTTATAATCATGAATGCAGAAACCATTAGTTTTGTACCAAGTTAAGTAATTAGTTCTAAATAATTAATACAGCGTTATCATTATCAAAGATTTAGGTAGGTTTTCACCTCTTACACATTTTGGTCACATTGTTCGCCTCCTCTCAGTTCCATCCGGGGCACTGGGCAAGCAACAAGATGGCGGAGGGACGCAGATACTCGCGGAAAGTTTCCATCGTCATTGAGCAAGGTCAAGTGTTCTCTGAAAGGAGGGCGTCTCGTGGGGGCGACCGCAGACGGAGTTCCGTCGCATCCGTCCAGTACAGAAAATCGGATGGGGGCATTGAAAATGTCGCGTTTGAAAACGATTCCCGCAGAGAATCGGTTAGAAATTGAAAAGAAAAATTACTGAAATTTGTTTGAAATGAAGTAAATTTTGAAAATAATACTGTCGCAGCTTCGACCAACTTATATTGGACATAGTGCTGACGTGAGGCGAAAATCGGTTCATTATTTGAAGCGAGAGTTGGAAATTGATTATCACATTGCAGACTGGGAAGTTTTATGCTCGAGGTTTAATACAGACTTGAATAAGGTGGGTTTGGAGAAATTGAGACTATTTATTCGTATTGATTTTTATTCGTATGATTTACTCAGTTTGGGGAATTTGAGATTAGTGTTTTAGTCGCATGATTGAATATGTAAATTTTTATTTAACAGGGTATCATGACTAAAGAAGTAGTCCTTAATCGAGAAAAATTTGGGACGAATCAACTAACTCCGCCGAAAAAGGTTCCGCTATGGTTAAAATTTCTGAAAACTTTGATCGGTGGATTTCAACTGCTTCTTTGGGTGGCAGCAATTCTAAGTTTTATCGCGTATGGAGTTCAGTACTCGGAAACGGGGGCGGATACCCCGTCGGATAATGTAAGCGACGATGGGGAGGATTGAGACTTTTTGAAAATATTTGCATCTTGTACACAAAACCATTATTCAAATTTTGTTATGATTTTAGCTCTACTTGGGAATCACTGTAGCCGCGGTGGTCATTTTGCTCGGAATGTTCACATTTTATCAGGAGTACTCAAGTGGGAAGGTGATGGACTCATTCGCCAAGTTGGTGCCCACGATGGCGACGGTATATTTTTTATTTTTTGAAATTAATGCAGATGCTATGTCCTTCTGATGATTTTTAATACAAAAATACTGCCCTTGATAATAATACTCAGGTAACGAGGGATGGGAAGATGCAACACGTCCCTGCAAATGACCTCGTTGTTGGGGACGTGGTCGACATAAAATTTGGCGACAGCATTCCCGCAGATATCAGAATTATCGAGTGTCAAGGACTTAAAGTCGACAATTCGTCGCTTACGGGGGAATCTGAGCCGCAGTCGAGGTCGCCCCTTTGTTCGGATGATAACCCAATGGAGACTAAAAATCTTGCATTTTTTTCGACTAATGCTTTGGAAGGTTGGTGTTTATGATTTGGTGGAATCAGTTAAAATTAGAGATTGGAAAGGGAATGTGAGACACGTCGGATTACATTTATCCTGCTAAATACGAAATTTAAATATTTTCCAAACCTCTTGGGCGTTGTTGGTCATCATTTCCGACCTGCACCTACATATCCTTTATTACGTATCCTTTACGTATCCTTTATTCAACAGGAACCGGACGCGGGTTGGTCGTCGCTGTCGGGGACAAAACATGCATTGGCAGAATCGCCGACTTGGCTTCCGGCATGGACGTTATTGACACTCCCATCGCACGAGAGGTGGAATACTTTGTAAAAATTATTTCCATCGCTGCCGGCGTCCTCGGAGTGACCTTCTTCATCGTTTCACTATGCATGGGGTACGGACTCCTCGACTCGGGAATTTTTTTGGTAGCCATTATCGTCGCAAATGTGCCGGAAGGATTGTTGGTCACTTTCACCGTAATTTTGGCCCTGACCGCGAAACGTATGGCGGAAAAAAACTGTGTTGTCCGCCAACTTCACGCCGTGGAAACTTTGGGATCCTGTTCCGTCATCTGTTCTGACAAGACTGGAACTTTGACGCAGAATAAGATGACGGTGTCACATCTTTGGTATGGGGACAAAATTGTGGACGCCGGTCTAAGCGATGACGGCCTCCCGCCAGATTTTTCAAGTGACCCCGGTTTCGCCGAGTTGTCGAGAGTAGCGGCGCTATGCAGCAGGGCGAAGTTCCTGTCAGGACAGGAAAATGTGCCAGTTATGAAAAGAAATGTAAACGGGGATGCGTCAGAGTCGGCAATTTTACGATTTTCTGAGCTGACATTGAAGAATGTGGAAGCCTATCAGAGACAGAGGCAGAAGATTTTTGAAATTCCATTCAATTCGAGGTAGATATTTAAGAAACTTGTTGCTTTTATGAAAAATTCTGATTTTTTTCTGATCTTCTGATTTTTCCAGTAACAAGTGGCAAGTATCGATTCACGAGATAGAAGGAGGAAAGTTAATGGTGGAGATGAAAGTAAGGGACAAAATTTACTGAAATTTCAAGTTTGACATCAATTTTGTCTCAAAAATATATACTTAAATCCACTAATTTTTCAGGGTGCCCCAGAACGAGTGTTAAATTTCTGTACAAAAATCCGCATCGGGAACCAAATACATGATCTGAACAATAACTGGATGCACAAATTTAACGATGCCTATAACGGCCTTGGCGGTTTGGGGGAGCGCGTGATCGGATTTTGCGAGGCCCCCATCGATGCGGCAGATTACCCGGGTGGATTCTCGGAGAACGAGATCACTTCACTTGTTGAGCAGCGTGGCATGATTTTCACTGGATTAATCTCCATGATTGACCCACCTCGTCCAGGCGTCCCAAACGCTGTAGAGAATTGCAGAATGGCTGGAATCAAGGTTGTCATGGTGACGGGGGATCACCCCATTACAGCCACCGCTATAGCGCGAAAGGTGGGCATCATTTCGGCGGGAAGTATGACCAGGGAAGAGAAAGCGGCAAGTATGAATGTTGGCGTAGAAAGCATTGATGCTGAGAGTTGTAAAGCCGTCGTGGTTCCTGGACACGAACTTTTGGAGATGTCGACCGAAGAGTTGGATGAAGTTTTAAGGTGGGTATTTTCAAGTTGTCAATTTAAAGTCGATTTGCTAAAAAATCATTCAAATTTCGAATTTCTTCGAACAGGATGCATCCCGAAATTGTTTTCGCACGTGTGTCACCCCAGCAGAAATTGATTATCGTCGAAGGCTTCCAGAGACTTGGATATGTACGCGACTTTTGAAACATTAAAAATTTTTTTATGAAATTTCAAAAATTTCAAAACTTTTTTAATTTTGTAGGTGGTGGCCGTAACAGGTAATGTTGATAATCCGGTCGATCTAACGGATCCGCACCGTGATTTTTTCCCTTTTGACCGGCATAAAGTTTTTGAATTTTTTTGTGACTTGATCACCTTTGGGGTCTAAAATTTTGTACATAACTAACAGGAGACGGTGTGAATGACTCTCCCGCTTTAAGAAAGGCTGATATCGGCGTCGCCATGGGCATTTCTGGTTCCGACGTGTCCAAACAGGCAGCTGACATGATACTTCTTGATGATAACTTTTCATCGATCGTGACCGGTTGTGAAGAGGGCCGATTGATTTTCGACAATTTAAAGAAGTGTATCGCATACCTCTTGTGCGCAAATATTTCGACTCTATCACCTTTCCTGCTCTACATCGTCCTCCAAATTCCCGACCCGCTCGGAACAATTCAAATGTTGGCAATTGTCCTGGGAACGGACGTGCTTCCAACGATCTCTTTATCGTACGAACCACCAGAAGGCGACATCATGAAGAGGCCTCCTCGAAACCCTAAAACCGCCAAAATGGTGACAGAGCAGTTGATCCTGTACACCTACTTTGTCATCGGAATGGTGGAGAGTGTGGCGGGAATGTTTGCATATTTAGTAGTCTACGCGCATAACGGATTTTTGCCGGACATGTTGATGGGTCTGAGTCCAAAATGGGATGACGACAAAGTGACGGACTTGCGCGATTCGTACGGCCAAGAATGGGTGAGTAGTTGGTTTATATTGATACAATTCACGCAGTCCTTGGTAACATTATAAAATTCGTAAATTCTGGGAACTTACAAACTTTTACAAAATTTACAAATATTTTTATGAAAAATTAGCTTACAAATTTTTGTAAACTTACTCAAATCAAGGACGTCTTGTTATTTCGTAAAAGTTTGTAAAATTATATTACAAAAAGTTACGAATTTTACAAGTTACAAAAGTCAGTTGCCTCAAGATATAAATTGTTGAGTTATGCATAGAATTTCGATTTTTTTTCAAAAAATATTTCCACATATTGTTAGACCTTCAGTCAGAGGAAGGAACTTGAAAAGACTGGGTATGTGGCCTATTTTTGTGGACTGCTTGTCTGCCAATGGGGAAATCTCTTGGTGTCCAAGTGCAGAACAAGTCCATTGTACACAAGATTATTTAAGTGAGTTGAAATTAGTGTTTTTTCTGGAAATTTTAAAATTCATCATTTCATTTTCATAATTTTGATAATTTTGCATCATTTTCAGTAATTACATCGTTTACGTGGCAATCATTGGGGAAACTGTGGTCGGGGCTTTTCTTCAATATACGCCAGGATTTAATTACTGCATTTCGTTCAGGCCTTTGAAGTAAGTTTGGCTATGAGCTGCATAATCTTTGAGGACGTTTGGGACTAATTGTTTTATGTGTTGTGTAATAATTTTTGCTATACAGATTCGCCTGGTGGCTCCCAGGATTACCGTTCACCGTGTTTATCATGGTTTTTGATGAATTCCGTAGATTTATTTTAAGAAGATATCCTCAATTCACTTGGTGGAATAAAGAATTTCTATATTAAAAAGTTTTAATAGATGCATGTGTGCTGAAAATGAGCAGAAAAAGTGGGAAGAGTTGTTGAACCGAATTAGTTTTACGAGACGAAATAAACCTAATTTTGAAAACTATTGTCCAAATATTCAGTATTTTACATGCTTGCTTACTAGTTTCGTGTTACCTGAAAATTGACTCGTTTCAAAAGGATAGAAAATGAGATTTACATTGCAACCACTCAAAAGTTAGCATCTCCTTTGTCCATAATATTGGGGGTATTCATTACGACTTCGCATTGTTAGCAACGTTAGCAAAAAATTGAAAATTCATTATAGCCAAGCATTTTGGAATTTTTTTTATCTCATAATATACACCCCCATTTTTTCATCTATTCATATTGTTAATTCTGTGGTGGTGCTTGGAGCAATACAATTTGGAAGCTTAGCAGAAAGCTGAGAAATGAAATGATTGACGTTCTCTTGATTAAGAAAATTCCATAAATATCAATTCCCGATGGTGCTTTGGCGAAACACTCCTCAAGCCGAGATAGCTAAACCAAATCATCCCCAAATTATGCATTTCAACCCATTGTATGTAAATATGTGTAATTCGTCAAGTCTCATACCATTTTGGACGTATAACTTGGAGACACGCTTTCTTGCAGGGTTGCTCCTAACTGTTCCGATTGAAAATGAACCTCCCCAACGGCGTACGTCACGAGCAAGAACCGAATCATGAATTGCGACGAGGACAGCAATATGTACATACTGAAATGTCCGTTGACATGTCTACTTCCGGATAGCCACATGTTTAGCTTGTTGTCATAAATATATAATTTTTAAATAATTCAATCATAAAATATATGAATTTTACAATTTTACACCAATTTTGATCCTCACATAAGAAGAGATGCAGATAAAATTGATGCAATACAACGTGAGAAGAATTGGGGACAGAAAATTCCCCAAATTCTGTGCTACTTCACGGATTTTGAGATACTGCTGTTTTAACTGGAGGAGAAACGTGTCTGCATTATTTTGTGGGGTATAATTCTGCACTGTGGTAATCCAGGAATCAGTTTTGTCATAGAAATGAACCCCCCACTGGTTGGCGATAGTACGGTCCAATATTTTGAACTGATGAGACACCGCACGACAAATTGTAATGATGAGAATGTCGACAAAACTCCAAGCATAGATTGTAATTTTGCCCCAAATATAAAATCCCACGGCGAAGAGGGGATGATAAGATATGTAATTGTGCCATCTAGCCAGGAGGCTGGAGTTGTAATACGTCTCAAAGATGCTATGACCTGAAAAAATTTTCATGCATGTAAAATTGCACGTACATAGATTTTAATACGAAAACCTGGCCACCTTTTTCGGCGAGAGAAAGGTTTAACTTATCAAACATTAGGTTTTCTGTGACACAATGGGTCATAACGTAGGTTGTCATGATGACTGTGTATCTCGAAAGGTGCTTATCAATGAAAATGTCCGCTGAGTTAGTTCGTCGACTAAACCATGTCCAGTCATTTGTAAGGTTGCTAATTTGATTGATAAGGCCACCCAGTGCGGATCGGCGGGACCAAAATAAGATGTAACTGTGGAACAATTAGCTGAATTATGGAGGAAACTGAAAATGCGAACACTTCATCAAGTTGCGTACATAAAAGTAAGGTTGAGATACAGGGATGGCCATGATAACTGATTAAATCGCTCGGATAGCGACCCATTCCATTGGGGCGCATTACTCACTTCTATCGTGACCAAGACAAAATTAATGACGGTGAAAGGTGTGATCAAAGCAGGAATGACGGCTGCGGGATGGAACCACCTGCAAAATTAAGATACGGTTATTTAGATTAAGTGGTTTTATTGGGATTTGTGCATACAAATTCATACTAATTACCTTATTGGTTTTAAGTTACTGGTGTCCAAAGAAAGTACACCTCGAAGATTAATAACGCCTAAAGCTCGTCCCAGAATTAGCAAGGGTCGAAGAGAGGTGGAAAAATTTGTGGGGTTAGGATTCAAAGTCATCATGTCTAGCTAAAGTGGTTTTGGGGACGATGACTGTGAGCAAGAAAGAACGGAACAGAAGTTTTTAGCAATAATGTGCATACATATGTACGTACATACAGCTTAGGTATATATTTATCTGCATAAAAGTCGTGTGGATTAGTTAATGGATTTCTAAACTATATTTAGTAGACATACATATATCCATATGTATGTATCTATGTATATATGTAGTTGCAGTTGGTACACACATTTAGCGAAATTGCCAATCTTTATGAATTCCTTATACATTTCTGTGCATTTTTGTACCTTGTTAAATGGATAATTAAATAGCGGCATTTGTACATATGAATTTGAAGTGTATGTATGTACTGTACTGCAATCAATAAGAAGTTGATAAGGTCAATGGGAATGAAATTCGTTACAATTAGTTATGGAAAAATCTATTAAATAGATTGCTTGTAAATATTCATATGTATGTACATGTATTTACATACATACCAATACAGTAAAACCAGATGCAAAAACTAACTAACTACTATTAACTACGATTGAAATTAGCAATGATTGTTATTTTATAAACCAGCTTTATTTAGATGCAGCTTTATTTTATAAAGCTGCATCACAATTTTTGCAATATACGAATTTAAGTTTTAACAATTCACAGATGAACTTCACACAATATGATTATGCATAATATTAATAAATAAAAATGAATCAGACCAAAAAAAATCCATAGTTTGCGAAGATTCTATGCGTTATAAAATAATCCGGATTATTCCAGATACGAATTTGTTTGCTGTTCATCTTGTTCTGGTTGTTCTTTCTTTGACAAACTCATTTTTATCTATTTTTTCGACTACCTGTTCAATTTTTCAAATTCTGATCCTAAACTGTTGTTTTTGCTTTTAACGACGACTGGTCCAGTATACATTCAAAAATACAATGGAAAATTCCCAGCCTGACTTAGGATTAGTGTCCTCACATACCATTACATGTACGATGTTCTTTTGATGATTAATGAGTTGCAGGGTTCCAGCAAGCTGATGGCAGCAAGACATATTTATTTATGCAGGCGATGTGCTCTTTTCAGAGACAATTATTTTTTTCCAAGTTACATAAAATGGACTTTGTACACATTTAATTCACAAGATAAATTATACCAAAATTAGGAACGGATGCCACTGGGAACTGAAATTGAGCCCAAATCTTTTGCGTAAAACTTACAAAGCTTGCGATATGGTCAACATGGGATCCAGTAAATGTAGACTTACGGGCGAAAAAGATGGTGCATGACGTACACAATACAACACTTCTTATACATTCAGATTGCATTTATGTATATTAATCATGTAGTATTTCAATTGTTCTTAAATATTTTGAGAAATTGTCTTGTAATAAAGACGCCAGTTTTGATTGACACGAAAGTCATATCATTTTCATGATCAAGTGATTAGAATTCATTTAAAAAACAAAAAATTGTCATTGTCTGTACTCACGCTCGAATACATAACATTTGTAAGAATTGCCAGTCACTTCACATCATCATCAAGCTGTGACAGTTCATGGCAAATATCTCCTTCAACATATATACAAAATAACTACGAGTTAGGAGAAGAAAAGATTAGAGGATTGTCTCGAATGAAAAAAATCTACAAGTGATTATTATCAAAAACACTCGACTTGAAATATGTACATAATGGTATATTCGCTTAATTCGAGTAGATTTATGCTGGATATACCTCGAATGTACACTTATAACTTGTCTAGTCAGCCACCGATTGTTGTCCTGCATTTATGACATCATTCATTTCTCCGTATTGTTATATTTACACAACAGCATCACATCATTCTTCATCAGCGCAATAAACTGCTTTCATCCAATAATGTAATAAAATAATCCTCGTTTAGACGGATCAATCAGTCCCTTCGGAAGTGTAATCCAATACCTTAGACTTCGGATGTTCAAGGTAAAGTGCGTGTGTCCCACTTTGCTAAATATAACCCCACCATCAGTTCTAAGTGAGTGAGTGTGTACAGCGTCTTGTTAGTTTTTCATGGTCATAATATCGTACATTAAATAAGTAGTAAAAATTCTTCAGAAATATTGCGTATTTCAAAGTCGCAAGTTTTACTTAATTTGTACAAATTTTGCACGCATTGTTCTTTATGTGACTAGCTTACATACTTTTATTTCATGTCCATGAGTGAGTTTGTTGGTTCACATTCCATGCATGGAAAGAAATCAATTTAGTTTAGTTACTAGTACATTCTATTTACATAACTTATGTACATCACGTCGGTAAGTACTTATGTATGAATTACGGATTTTCAAACGTCCAATTTCAACTCCTGAGTATGACAAGGTTTAAATTGATTACACTTGAAAGAAGATTGTAAAATATTCGTCAGGTTTAAAGTTTCCGAGCAATTGAAATTGTCATCATGGGATCGATATTTAGTTAAAAAGGTAGGAATCCCATTAGTTTCTCATGAATTATTCCAGACATTTTATCTTGCACAATTTCCTTTGAATGTCTACCATAATTCTTTTCTATTTACTTGTGAATTTATTTCGACTCTGGAGTTTCTATCGAGTGTAAATTAATTTTCAATCAACTACAAAACTATATTGTTAAAAAAATGAAAAACTGTACCCACACTTTATTATGGAATTAAATTTCTAAAAATCTTAAATTGCAGCACACTAACCGTGAAAGCACACAGGCAAATAAGTAAATACAATATGCAGTGTCACTTTCTTTAATGGAATGAAAATTAACTGAAAATACTGTGAAACTGTGAAAAAGTTCAATGAAACTCAATTTAAGTATGACATTGTCGAGAATTGGGAATTTTGATAAGGAACACCAACTCTCACTGACTCTTATGTTATTGTAAAGATATGGAAGAAAACTTAACTTTAAGGTATGAACATCATAGTAACATGTTATCTCCATAAATCGGTTTGATTCTCATATGAAACTTAAGTAGTAATTGCCCTGATCTCGAATCTTTGGATTTTCAACCACATCATCCCTGCTTCAACCTATCTGACACTACATCTGTGAGTAAATATTTACCTACTGTATTTAGATATAGCTTTAGTTTGTCATGAATAAAATTATTTTAGTGCGATGAAGAATGGCCGTGTGAAATTCGCATTTTTTGGCTTCAAATTCATCCCTTTATTGCATTAACGAGAGCATTTTTATCTTACGGAAGCCTTGTTATAATTTTACTAGGTATGGAAATATCAAGTTGGCTGCATTATGAATATTATGAACCCTACTGTAAATTTTTGGTATCCATTTCAGGCGTAATTCTCAACAGTCTTTCAGCCTATATTTTTCTCTCCACTGGTCTCGCCAGAAATGGAAGTGGCGTCTACTTAATTGCATTGGCTTTCTGCGATACGGGAAATTTGATTGCGAATATTTTACTGGGCGTGTGGAGAGGAGCAAGTTATGAATTCAATGGATATTTTATGGTTCAAAATACACTCATGAATTTACTAACTTTCAATGTTAAAATACAAATCTTAAATCATTCAGGAAAACGAATGGCTATGCAGAACTCATGGCGTTTTCGTCGAGGTATTTCAAACAATTTCTGCCTGGATCGTCGTGGCGTTCACCGTGGAACGCAGCCTCGCCGTGTGGTACCCATTGCTATTTCGACAGAGTAGGAATCGAAGGGCTAAACTGGTGGTGGGTAGTCTTACCACGGTTTTTACCCTTTTCTGCCTCTCCAAATTATTTTTAACGGGTATGTACATATATAAGTACCTGTGTAAAGTAATGATGGATGAGCATTTCATAAAATTTTATGAAATTTTACAAATTCAGGTTTCGAAAAGGACAGCGTGTTCGGCTACATTCCATGTAATTCGCGACGCTATGTTTGGGAAGGAATGGCATATGTTCGAGTTGCATTTCAAACTTGGATCCCCACCATTATCGTTTTCACGTTTAATTGTCTCATGTTTTGGAAACTTCGGAAAATTAAAATCAATAGACAGCGACTTTCAGGTGGTATTTATATTTATTATTTGCTGGGTAAATACTATCTCATATTTGGTGTTTAATGTCAAATTAACTCATTTTACTTTAGAGCATACCAGAAACCTCCCCAAAAGGCCGGGACCCAGGCTGAAACAAAGTTTTATAAATAAACCCAGCCCCACCAACCCCATGCTGATAGCGGTCTCTCTTGCCTACCTCATTCTAGTCTTCCCCTTGGGTGCCGTACAAACTGTGGAATTATACTGGAATTTACATGAAAATGTTCCAATTGCAGTGATGGAGCCGCAAAAATCTGCATATGTCCACTGGTGAGCAGTAAACTTGACAAGTTGTCCACCCACACAAATAGTATGCTAAATTGTTTTTTCTTTCGTGTTCAGGCTAATGTACAAAATTCTCTTGAAGCACATCCGGTCATTCTTCTTTGGGTTCTACCAAATTAATTTCGCCATCAACTTTTTCCTCTATTTTGCTGCCGGGGTCGAATTTCGTCGTTACCTTCAAAAGAAGGTTAAGCGGATGTGTGGTTTGACGAAGGCCTACTGTTGTTGTAGGGGAATTGCAGGGAATTTTATCAAATCCCGAGGAAATACACCTGTACAAAGTTGTACTTCAAATTGTTCCAACGCTACTAGCACGTCTACTTTGCCCTTACATGTCTACCCTTCGCCCAGCACGCTTATCCAGATGGCCAAAGCCCCAATTAGTGGAGTTAGTGACAAAGTTGGAACGTTCGAAAGCACCATTTAGTTTTAGTTATATAAGTAGTTTGTTAGCCTGTGCGGCTCTTGCAATATGTACAATTCAGTTATAATCTAAGGATAAGCTAACCTATGCATACATATGTACGTACTTACAGATTATTATAAAGTATGTGTTATCATACATATCTATCATTAATTGTTATTCTTTACATATTTACACCAAACTTAAGCATAAAAAATGTGTTAAGTTTACGTTCAGTATCTTCTACATATGTGCATACATACATACATATCTATCTACATAGTTCCACTCCACATTCCTATTTATTTATGTACATTTCTTGATTGTAATTTACAATTTATAAATGACAAATTGTAAATAGATAAGTACTTATGTACATACATACATACAGTTCTATACTCAAATAAAACCACCTATTTAATAATAATCTCAAACTACCATGCATGTGTACATACATATTTAGATGCATATATTTTACGCAGCTTCACACACATCGATGACATGAAATATGTCAAATCAGTGGAAATATTTAACTAGATAAAAATAAATACACTAGAAGTATGCATGTTTATTATGGAATGTATTCATACATGTATATGCAAGAAATAAATTGGCCAATCCTAAGTTAAGTCCTCTAAAATTTCTCAGAATGCTTGACTTATTTTTACATTGTGCACATGCTTATGTACATGGAACCCATGTGCCTTTGAGTATGGGTTCTCAAACATGAGCATATTTAGGGTACCTGTTCCAGTATTCACACCTTCCAGGATTGCCAAATTTAGACACGGTTTTGGCTGGAAGCTTGGTTAAACCCTTTGTACTCCATAAAACTGAACCCTTCACTTTAAGATAGCCCTTAACTTTCTGTATAAAATTAACGAACCAAACATTAATCGTACCATTCACGACCTGACCACCGTCCATTGTAGAAGTTAAAGTTTTATCTGAAGATACGTCCTCAACTTATCAAATATTTCGAATAAATTCTTCCTATATAGACAAAAGTTAAAGTGTAATTTAAATTTAAATAAATAACATGGAGAGCAACGCAGAATTTACCTTCGCTGAAATTCAAGAAGTAGGTCTGTTAAGGTAAATGTGAATTTATGTATTTATTTATTTTTCCGTAGTATTAATTCCTATATATAATTTTGTACCTTCCACTATGGAAGTTTAAACTAATTTGCATAGTTGCGTCAATTAAATGCATCACTTAAACATATAACTACATAAGTAAATTATGTACATATTCAAATTAAGTTAGCAAATAAAATAATTTGAAAACTACCTAATTCCAGATCCACATTCCGTGCAAGGGTTTATCAAATCGAGGATAAGATCCTTCAGTCCTCAGGCACGCCATATCTTCGTCTCATTTTGACGCAAGATTTCGGAAAGACTTTGATCGTAGCGCTTTCCATTGGTCATTCATATCAAGACGTAAAAAATGAGTATAAGGTGAGTTAAGACGTTTTTACTTAATTAAAATTGATGATTCAACTCTTCCGATTTTTGACTTGTTTTGCATATGCGCGTATAATTTGTAAAATAATTTGTAAAATAATTTGTAACATAATTTGTGTTTTCGTCTCAGGTTGGAGAGGAGTACACATTTTTGGGTGGAACGTTCAGCACGAAATTGAGGGACCAGTGTTTCAAGTCTTGCTCGGCTTTCGAATATGACCTTTGGTTTCTTCAAGTTCAAAGAGGTACGGATAAATTAGTTGTTTTTAGTCTGAAAATATGTACATTCTGATTGAAGAAGCGTTTAGTAATTGTAATTTATAATTTTCTTCATGCAGAAGTTGGAATTCCCAATGCTTCCTGGTCCTCCTTGGCTTACAGTTTCACGAATATGCTGATTCCGACATCGAGTGGAGAGCGAGATGAGTGAGAAGGTTTGTATTGGGATCTTTTCATATTATGACTTTTGCTGATTAATGCAAATAAAATTACTTTATATTTTTTCACACTTTGTATTTTAAAATAATTTGTAGTGCTAAATTTGTTATTCGATTAATAGTTGTAGAGAAATTAACATCCATAAATTTGTATTGATCGTATACATATATTTAGATGTAAAATGAAATACTTATCAATAAATTGCAGTTATTTATAATATAGATGCGATGCTAAATAGTTTAATGAATTAATAAATTCGCATAATAGCAAATAGTTGATGGCTCATATTTAACATTAGTATTTGTCAAAAAAATTGCATTATTAAGTTAACTAACCATACTTATTAAGTAGTCGTATGGAAAATACGAAATGCGGAGTAAAACATTCAACATAATTAATAGCTAAATATAGATAATTAGACTATGGTTTTGAAAATTTAGTGCTCATATGTACATAGCTTTCTACACATTGTATCGTGTGTTTCGCTTATCGTAACTAAAATTATGACTCTTATCCTGGACATCGTGATATGCTAATGCGCTCAATCTCATGAAAAGGTCAGGAAAATCTGGTCGGCTCGCTGGATTCACTTGCCAACAATGTCTCATTATGTGGTACCTGCACGAAATCAGTAAAATTAAAAACATACACTGCATCCTTGTTAAAATTGTATAAATATGCCAGAGCTTACATAAGGTCGCTAGCCAGCTCTGGCTTTTCAAGCCTCAGTCCTCCAATAATTGCTTTCACGAAATTCGAACTCCACTGCCATTCGACGAACGGCGTCGCACCCAAGGTCCAAATTTCCCACAAGACCACGCCAAAAGTCCACGAGTCCGTCTTGGTCGAAAAATGCAGCTCAGAAAGGCTTTCTGGCGCCATCCAGCGGAAAGGAAATACCTTCAAGAAATGCAATAGAGATGCATTTGAAAGGTCATAAAAGATAACTATTTTGTCACTATATCTCCATTATGTACCTCGGCTATGCTGGTTTGATACACCTGATAATAATAGAGCTGAAGCGACATTCCAAAATCAGAAAGTTTAACGCGTCTTTCTCCATCCAAGAGAATATTTCTTGTGGCCAGGTCTGCGTGGACGATCTGCAATGACAAAAATTCAAGAATTGGATTGTTTTTAACCAGCTAAATTCTATACCTTCTTATCCGCCAAGAAAACCATTGCTTCTGCCGTCTCTTTAGAAAACCGTAGTAATTCTCTCTTGTCAATATCCCCATTTTCATCAATAGATCTCAAGTAATCCATGAGTGATCCCGATGCACAATACTCGAGGACAATTCCTACATCTTATCATATATGTAATTATAAACTAGCGTATACACCAAAATTCTAATCCACAAATTTCATTCGTTAGTAAACACACCACTAAAATCTGACTTTTTCTCCGTCCAAGTACAACATCCCAGAAACTTCACGAGGTGCCTGTGGCTCCCGACTTTTCTCAAAATGGTCAACTCCTTCATAACAGCCATTGCATATTCCAACCCTTCGACCTGCTTGAGAACTTTAATGGCCACGAATTGTTGCGGGACACGATTCATGAAACACGACTGAATCCACGGAAACATCTGTCGCTCGAAAAGAACGCCTTTGTAAACCTTGCCAAATTGTCCTCGTCCTACTTCCGGTTCGTCGCAGAGTTTCAAATCCCTCGCTGAAATCCGAACCGAATTGAAAAAGGCTTGGTTTTCTTTAACGCGAAGTTTGTGGAATTCTTTTCCCATTGTTTCTAAATCCACGAATTTAGGAGTTGGAAGTTTGAACTGGATGACTAACTCGATCACGAGAAAGTTGAGGATTTGGTATTGAATAAAGTAATAAACCATTTCAATTAAAAACGTGAGGAATGAGTTGTCAGCATCTTTTCCTTCAAGGAAGCTTCGAATGTTCACCATTAAAACCATGGGGTAGACGAGTATGTAGTTCAGTACGTAGAACTTTGCGACTTTTGAAATGTCACGCTACATGTAGAAATTAATTATTAATTGTATATTGAATTCTTTAGCATACGTATCAATAATTAGTTTTTTAATCATTTACCTCTTGGATTCCTCTGTAGATAATGAATGACAGTGGAAATAGGAGGAGTAGGAGAAGCACCTTGGCAGCATACATTCCGAGCAGTATTTTTTCTAAAATAAATAATACGATGACAAAATACAACAGTAAATTGAAAAAAAATGTCAAAAAGTATAAAAGCTTAAAACTGATTTATTATTTACCCGGCCTCTTGTCTACTGGTTTTAGGAATGCGTCCACAAATTGATAACTGTGTATGTAAATATAATGGAGCAATGGAATCTGCACCAATTGGTTAATTTCTTAAGTAAAATTTTCCAGATGTTATGTATGATATTATTGCTGCATTTCTTACAAAATAAAATAGAGCCTGAGCATAAATGATACGTCCAATATTCGCTTGTCTAAAAATTGTCCAACATTTGCTTTCTTTTGCTTCTAGTTCCACTATGTGAACAATAAGACAAATCATGTCGAACACGAGATAAGCCCACCAACCCCAAATCCAGTAAATCGTAGTGGGCATAACGCCACTGATTGGATATTGTGGTTCCAACTTGCCAAAGTAAAGCTGTGTGTGGGTCATGCTGATGGTGACCTCTACAGAAAAGACGGCATTCCGAGCCAAATACCAGCAGCGGAGAAGATACAGTGATTTCTGAGACATGGAAACTTAATTTGTAAATTGATAATTTAGTTTTTAAGCGTAAATGCAGGCACACCTTCTGTACAGCCCTGTCTAAAATGGCGATCAGTGCGACTTCTACGTAATGAAATGTTAAGCATACGACGTAATTGATGACGAAACCAGTACCTAGATACATATGCAAATCGTAGTTTTATATTCGTACAAGATACATATTTAGTGTTAAAATTAGTGATGAATTATGCATTAATTATATGTATTACTCATGGCCGTGAAATTAATCCGGTTCTTGGATATCGCCCATATCTGGGTGGATGTCAGTATTACAAACATCCCCTATTTAGACAGCAAATAAATAAGTGGATTACATGGATGTGAGTATGATCTAATTATACTTTGCGACTTACCAAAGTAACAAATTTTTGAATAAGCAAACACCTTTTGCTATCCGGCCATATGCACCTTTTCTTGTCCATTGTAATTTCCGTGTAAAAATATATATAATAAATTATACTTATCTCTCGAAGATTCGATAGAGTTGTTGCTTCACATATTTGTTAAACTTAAATAAATTGTGTGCTTTGTAATCTGGATTATGGAAAAATGTTGCAATTGCTACGCGATAAGAATCTGTTGCAAAGAAACTGCATAGACCTAAGTATGTAATATCCTGTTATACACATCCGGTGCATTTGTGGTCAAAACTACATAGGTGGTTTTGACATAAAAACTAAATAAAAATAAATATTAAATTGCATATTATTTATTTACTTATGTATCTATTAATAATTTTGTTAGTTGTTAGTAGGAAATCCATGGTTGTGCATACAACTGCCGATTAAATGGCGTTTGACTGCATCAGAAATTTTAAGTTGTTTTATACACTTTAGCCGTTAAGTTTGTGCAATTAAATTAGCTGGTTTGTTTAAAACCTAGGGTAAGAAATATATAGATTTATGCAGATTAAGATGTCATTTGTTAAAAATATGTAGATGCTTATATACTTATTATGTACCAATGCTGAAGATAAAGCTTGAGCATATCATTATGTACATATGTATGTAAATACATACATACACAACTTAGCATTGCTGTGATAATACTGCGTATAAGAGACCACATCCTGACAAACTTATGGATCAGGCGTATTTGTGAATTTATTTATGTATATATGTATTTACGATGGATAAATTACTTAAATCCGTCACTTATGTATATGCAAAAACTATCTATATTTTTGTTCTTCAAAGCGATTCAAAATGAGGGAGATAAAAATGTTTGTATTGTCCAACATATTTTATTGCAAATGAATAAACGTTAATTTATGAACAGATAAATTTGATAGAAAACGAGGGTATTTTTTACTCAAAAACAATATGTATTTACATGGATAAAACTCGTTAAACATTTCGCAATTTTCCAATTTTTTTTCAAACTCATTCGATATTTTAACTACTTGTGTGCATAATCTGATGTTCATACTTATTTATGTACTTCCTTCTGCTCTAGAAAAAATCCAGTGATACGATTTTGTGAGTCATGTTAAAATTGAAGTAGGTATCTCACCTTAAGATTCTCAAGAACAGTGAAATTTGTAAAATAATTCTCTATATGCAACATTTACTCAGCGACTACAACTAGTAAATTTTAACAGAAATGAAAAATTGAACTGATAACCGATTCTAAATTGAATGAAATTCCAATGCATTTATCTCAACACTAAATCATGCATCAAAGTAAGTCGAACAATGGCAGTGCTTAAAGCGAATGGGGAGCTTAAACTCTTTCCTGAGCTCCATAATCTTTTCCAGATTTTGTGCGTCGGTCTAAAATTTGCCAAAAATTTTGGTACCAAAGTGTCACTAAAGCATGGTATGAAAACACACCCGTCAAAAACTAAAATTTACCGAACAATCCCGGAAAGTCAGCGACTTATAGCCCAACGACACCAAAAGAATGTCCCACTTGCTTATTGAATATTGCAACAAAGGTGCATCCATACAAGCATCTTTCACTTCAACTGTTTTAATCCCTAATTTCAAAAAATTCAAATTTACGAAATTTCAAGGCAAATTTCTACTTAAAAAAATTCCCCAACCTGAAAATGTCGTCAAGCTCGTTAACGAATCAATGATATTAATCACATGTCTACTCAGCGTTACGATAACGTCCAAATGTGTCAGTCTCCAGTTGTTTAAGCAATCGACTTTCTCCACCTCCATGGCTTGCGCACCCATTTCGTACTTGAGCTTGGTAACGTTTGGCCAAATCCGGGCTAGTCGCCGCATCACGATCGGCTCGTAATTCGTGATGATGTGAATGTTCAGGCTTTCCAGGCCGGAATGTGGCTGAATTCCGTGGAGGAAGGGTTCCATCCTGAACGCTTGGGGTGCCTGGACACGTGACCTTCTCCAAAGGACCAGCTCACGTAGCTCGATATGCTTCAAATTGGGGAACCTTCTCTGATACAGGCATTTTCCAAGCTGGGTGTACACCTCGACCCCCACGACATGCATACGAGTCAGCCGAGGCATGGCGGGAAGTTGAAATTCAAATATTGGCCTGTCCTCTAGCATCTTCAGCCAGCCGTTGAAGGACGTGAGGTCAGACGGTATGCAGGCGAGGGTAAGCTGTTCAAGCGTGTCCGCTACTTGGGTTACCATTTCGGTTACGGAGGGCAAACTGAAGGTAGCATCGGGAAGGGGGATTGACGAATTTTCCGGTTTTTCATGGACAGGACACCCCACAAAGGTGAGGGCCCTGAGTTTCTTGCAGGTTACCAAGGATGGATAGAAATTGTCGGAGATTGACAATTTTTGTAAGGACGGGGCAGCGTCGATAAGTCCCTGGATTAAGGGATGCAACGGGAATAAGGCTGTGGCGTCCTTTGGGCGGGGGTGGCAGGCGACATACTCAATACGTTGGATGGATTCTCGCTTAGGAAAAGTGACAGGAGGAGTTTCGTAACCAGTGACAACCGGCTCGTGCAGAATGATAGAATGCAAAACGGGAAACTCATTGGTTAAGAATGCTTGTACGAAGTGGGGGTAAAATTCCTTCGTCATAACGAAAGTGACCTCCGTAGTGAAATTATGGGTGTAGGCGGCCAGCTTGGGAAAATCTTCGTAACGCGGTGGGGGAAGGGGAAGTTCGACAGGTGGGCGAGGGGCTTTCATGCTGAGGGGGATGGGTGTCATCGGTTTTGGGTAAATTAGCTCCAGCCGACGAGCCAGCTTGGGGTTGAAGACGTACGGCTCTTCTGGAAAGCCACGTGCAAGATTGAGAATCGTTCGATGTCCGAGATGAGACGCTCCAACATCGCTCCACGTGCGGCACACGAGACGAACCTCTTTGACAGTGGGGATGTCAAGCTTGAAAAATATGGCGTCCAACACCTAAAATAATAAATTAACCGTTATTTTATGCAATTGAATGCATACATTTGTAAATTTTCGGCTCAGGATAATTAGCAAATCATGGGAGAAAAATGTATGCCTATTTTTCACAACTTACCACAGGGTTATCGAGAGCATTCATTCTTAATCCTTTTTAAATGGAGAATATAATATTTCAAAATTATGAAATCGGTCCTTGATTCAATATTTAGTAGGAAACCTGCAGTACAAGTTCCAATATTTTTTACGGCTCACATATGGATAATTATTCAGTTGAGGAGTTTAGAGTGTGTGTGACATGGATTGTTTAATGTTAACCCCGTCTTCGTATATGCATGTCTTCGGGGACTGTTTTGATTTTTTATTGAATTGTGATATCACAACCATGTTTCTTACGTATATCGTTTGTAGTTAATACTGCATTGCTGGAACAAACGGGTGGGTGGGTGGATTTCATATAAAACGTGTTCAATTGAACTCTTGGATACGTAAGAGTTACATAAATGTGCACGTATGAAAAGTGAACAGCTTTTTACTGCATGGAAAACAAAGATGCGAACGAATGCATGTTGGTAATCCACGGTGTGCAAATGTAAATATCATTAAACTACTAACTAAATATATTTATGTGTAGGAAATAACTATATATTTATGTACGCTGTAAAGAAACTGGCGTGATCTCAATTGTTAAAATTGATTCGCATTAATGTAATGCATACATACATATTTATATTTTTGCTTGAAAACTGTTAGCAGAAACTTCTGCAAAGCAAAGTACGTTATATTTATGTAAATGTTTAGGCAAGTGTCCATATTTTAACAAAGATGAAAATAACGGTATTCAAAATCGGGGAAAATAAAATAGTCAAATTGTGTAACTTTGCACCACGAAAACAGAATCTAATTGTTGTTTATATATATTGTTGTTTATATGTACCAAAGTAAACACATTTCCACGTGAAAGAAAAACACACATTTGGAAACAATATGTAAGCTCAAATTTAAAATGAACAAATTTCTGTAAGTTAAAAATGTGATTATAACTTTCACAACAAAAATCCAAAATGTTTATATCTACATAGTGTAAATGCATATCTATTTAACGTGATTTAGTAAACTTTACAGATGATTTTTTTACAAGTTCTGCACGTTTTTGTTACCAATCATCCTCATAATCCAACGCCTGTCCTCCATACACTTTTGTCCCCCCAATTTCCAAAGGGATTTGATCCCGTTCAAACATGGTGTCCAAAATTTTCAAGTTGTCTCTTTTATTGGTCCCGTAAATCTTCAAGGACCGACGTGTTGATTCGCTGAGGAGCGCTGTGGCTGCATTAATCAACGGTTGAGCAATTGATGGAGCTGGTCAAAAATTAGTAAAGCATGCACATAATCAATGATGTATGTAAGTTTCGCACTATTAAATATATACAATTTGCGAATCAATAAGTTATTTTGTCAGCAGAATTTTGACAATGATAAAACATATTTAACGGTCTTACTGTTCAGAAGAATGAGTTGATCGACATATTCTGGGTAGTGTGTTTCATATGAAAGAATGCCCCTCAAAATTACGGGAATACCTAAGAATAACCTAATTTTAAAAAATTGGCCAAATAATTCGTAAATGTGGATATTCTACATATTTCGTAAATACTTGGAAATTTAACTACTGGTGAAAAATTTAGAAGGATACATAAATAGAAAAAACATTTTACGTACATCGTAGGCACCCGTGCTCTACTAGATTATACCCAAACAAGTTGATAATAATTTGCCCTCTCGTCACGTTTTTGTACTTCTTCCCCAAAGTGTTCACTATTTGGGCTGCTTCCTCCAAACCCTTGTCCACGAAACGGAGCAGTCTTTCGGTTTTCCCGTTAACGACAGATTTCCTGATGTCGAGCTCGTCCACGGAAACGTAAAGTACTGGAGATAAAAAGTTGATGCAATTTATAGAAAATGTTAAGTTGGAATAATTATGAATTAATAAACGTATGGAAATAAACAGGAAATGTCAAACAGTTTCGTTGACATTTAAAATATGTATCAAATCTTATCTTACGCGGTTGTGCAGCTCGGTCTTGACCTTCGATATGGTATTTGAAATCTCTGGCCATGTCGCTCCAGTCCTCACTCGCTGAAATGAAGTCCATCCTGTTTTCCTCTCTCCATTGGATGTTCTGATGAAATGGATTTCTAATTGGTCCATAATTTGTGTTTTGAAATTAAATTGTGTTACCTGCAGCAGATAATTTACTGCGTCGGGAATATTATAGTTTTTCACTGTGAATAAAATATTCTAAAAGTAGTGCACATGCCAAAATCGGATATCTTGACTCAAATACCCTACGCATTTTTTCTCATCACTATTTTTGTTACCTCGTAGCCAGCGGATGAGGTACATTTCCTCAATCATATATTTATGGGGCAGCTTCTTTGAAACTATTCCTGCAAACTGAGTAGTAATTAAAATTACTTATGCATATTTATTAATGCTAACTTTTTAGTAATTTCTACAGCAAATCCTATAAACACACCTCGTCCAAAATAGATTTCTGTTTCAGCGTTAGTGTAACATCCCTGTCATAAGTGGAAACTTGATTTCTTCCATCACAATTAATTACGCCGATAAAAAATGCGACAACAATATTTATAGAATTAACTAAGGTTTTCGACATTGCTGTATATTTATAATTTATCGCAATGTTTGCGGAAATAATTTTAGCGACTAATGTACTGTACAATTTTGTAAAACAGTTTTGCGAATCAGTTTTTCAAGATTTGCATACATAAGTACGTAAAATAAGTAAGAAAGTATTTATTTACACTAATTTGTATCGTGGTCAGTAACATTACGCAAGCTAAGCAAAATCATTACTGACCTGGATTTTAGTCCGGATAACGTTAATATTGCAGATAAACAGTGAGTTAAACATGCTCAATTTGCATTGTTGTTCATCCAAATTTCAGAATTTTGCTTTCTTCGTACATTTCTTCATTTGTATTCTGGGTCTGAAACCATCTTACAATTGGACATACTACCTCTCATCTATTTAAATAAATTAGAATGTGTATCCATTTAACATAGGCCATTCATGATTTTAGTGGACCGGATTATCTTCGTATAATTTTCTCGACTTTCTTGTATGAAGAAGTTGTGTGCAATATGTGAGAAATGTGTGTGGAAATTCCGGGTGATTATAATTATTAAAATACGGCAGGGCCCTATTTGTAGGGTGGATACGAAGCCATATTTATTATGCTATTCGTTGCATTGTATGTAACACAAATAAGTATGTATGTGAGCAAAAAATGAATTTATTTAAGTACATACATATTTCCTTATTGTATTTGGTTTGTATTTGGTATTCATTTTTTGTAGGACATGAACCTAGAGAATTAAGAATATCTATATAAGCCAAAATCAACATCCTATTCACACTTTATTTTATGAGTCTCTTGGTTGATGAATTTTTTCTAATTATGAAATATGCATGTACATATTAGTGCAAATCTTCATGATGATCTCACCCTCAGTAGGAATATACATCACCGAGGAATTTTAATCCCTTTAATTTTAAACATTGATTTATTACTGACCAGGAAGGAATACTGTAGTAAATAGTAAATTTATAACAATACCAAACTTTGTGCATACTTGCATTACATTAAAAAAACTAAATACTCTGTACAAATTAGTAGTCATCGTAGTCTAGCGATTGCCCACGGTATCTCTTCCTTCCACCAAGATTTACTGGGATTTGGTCCTTCTCAAAAATTCCGTCTAAAATTTCCATATTTGTCTTCTTATTTATCCCATAAACCTTGAAAGAACGTCTCGTCGACGGACCGAGCAAGGGACGAACCGCATTTAGCAGCGGTTCTGCAATCGTTGGTGCTATTAAAGTTGTGCAAAAATCATCAAACCATATTTCGTAAAAATTGTAAATATGTATGTATGATAACCTTACTGTTAATAATCATGAGGTGATCGACATACTCTGGGAAATGAGCTTCGTAGGATAACACTGCCCTCAGAATGGCAGGAATGCCTAATTTTTACGAAAAAAACGATTATTTCGAAAATTTTAGGAAATTTAAAATTTAGATGGATAAATGGAACAATGTTTTACTAACATCGTAGACATCCATGCTCTACCAAATTATACCCACTCAGATTTACTATGAACTGCGCCCTGGTGATGTTTTTGTACTTGTTCCCCAAATCGTTCACTAGTTGGGTTACTTCTTCAAAAGCTCTATCGACAAATCGAAGGAGCCTGTCACCTTTTCCATTAACGATAGCTTTACGAATATCAATCTCATCCACAGAAAGGTACGCAACTATTGAAATTCCAAAAAATGCATTCAAAATTACAACGTCAGAGATAAAATTTTATGAGAATATGAAATTGAACCCACGTGGCTGCCCAGCTCGATCCCTGCTTTCGATGTGGTACTTGTAGTCTCTCGCCATGTCGGACCAATCCTCGTCGAAAATTCCATCCATATTGTGCTCCTTTCTCCATTGAATGTTCTGATAATTTTGAAGAAAATTAATTTGTGACATTTTATGATATTTTCAATTTCTGGTGTATAAGAATGTACCTGAAGCAAAAAATTGGCCGCTTCGGGTATATTGTAATCTCGAGCTGATATGCAAAATTTAGTTGTTTAAGTGGAAGCATAGATTGATAATTTGTTTGCAATAAGACTTTTTACTACCTCTCAGCCACCTTACAAGATACATTTCCTCCTTCATGTAACTGTGTGGCATCTTGTGCGAAACTAACGCTGCAAACTATGAGGTGTATATAAATATGAAAACTTTTATGGATACATAAATATGCATAAAAATTATGCATATTTATGCAAATAGTTTTAATTTAATTTTTTATACCTCGTCCAAAAGCGCTTTCTCCTTTAGCGTGAGTGTCACATCCTTGTCATAGGTGGATATCGAGTTACAAAACGTAGCACTGATAAAAAACGCTATTAAAGCCAGTGGATTAACTGAATTTACAGAGTTGGGATGCATTTCGGTTTTATCGCTAATTCATAAACTTGCAAAAATTTAGTAAACTATACAAATTTAAATTCATTTATGTATCTAACAATGAGAAATTTAGATATTAACAATTATCAATTTTTCTAACGATGAAATGAAGCGAATCAGAGCAAATATGGCACAATGCAAATATCCAAATGCCAAACTAGACTACTTTAATATTCTGTAATATTCACAATCATAAAGTAGAAATTGGGGTAGTACAGGTTTCTACTTTTCTTGTACTTATCATACATCTCCATCGGAACTGACCAGCAATCCATACCCATTCCATCAATATATGTATGTAGTACATATGTATATATGTAAATATATATCCCTACACTTCCAACGCCAACCATGTCATTGCGACCCACTAATGACTTACACAGTCCAGAATTTATGCGCATTTATTAAAACTCTGGCAAGATTTTTGCACATAAAATATATACACATAGATATTTAAGTATGCAATCCATCACTCGGGAATTCCGCAACACACACATAAAAATAATCGTTCCTGCAACCGTGCCTAATTATCTAGGAGATAATTATTGCCTCCCCTCATCTTAATGCTCATCAAGACCTATTAAATTAGAAATTACTTCATTCATCCATCGGGGCACTTGATCGTCATGCTAAAAGGATTTGCGGATGGAGAAAATTTTGTAAGAAGCATTGAAGATTTTTTAGGATTGGGTAAGATTGTGTCGAAACTTGTAAATTTATTGCGATCCAAAAAATGAAACAGTTTACTTTTTGTCCATGAACCACGGAAGAGAAAGAATTTCGCAATCATGAAAGTTTTGATGTGGAAGAATACATACAAGGTCGCACTTGGAACAAAGTTGAATGATTTGTTGGTGGTGGTCAATAAAGTGTAGCAAACTTGGTGTTTTTTTGGGGGATGGATGGGAAGCAAATGTGTGTTATTTACCTACACGTAGGTATGTATGTAAGTGTGTAGGTAATTAGCAATAAACATTTGTATTAGGATATCCATTACACACTTTTACAAGTGATGTTCATTGTAAATGGCATGTTTCTCATCGTTAACGTGATAATGGTGATGCCTGGACAAAAAGTGGGCTGGTTACACATATATCGTCGTTGAATATGGAAGTAAGTATGTACATACAATTTTACAGAATTTGATGTGATGATGGAATAAAACAATTAGTGAATTTATGCCATTTTGCGTTTTACTTATTACTAAGTTTCTTTTTGGTGGGATAGTTATTCTGGATTCGTATCGTAAAATTTTTTCAGGAGTTTGTGATAATCAAGTATTAGAAAATGCATAGAATCAATATGACTTGGTACTAACTTTCTCATATTATGATCAATTTAATTACTTATTTCTGATTTAATCTGAAATATTTATTTACTTATCATCGTTCAACATAATAAACAATAGTAATAAAACAGCATTTTCCAGAAATTCATGGAAGGCACATACGTGTCTATTTACATGTTATTCTATTTACTTCCACATTCCTAATCTCTGCAATCTTAAATTGAATTCTCCACTTTTCTACATACAACATAAATATGTTTCCGAAGCTAATTCTTTATACAGTTTCGTCGCGGGTTTCTTTCAGGGATTAAATGAAGAAGCATATAAATATTTCTACATATAGAAATATTTTAAGATCTGATTGCTTACAATGCATATATGAATTGCGTATATGAATTGTAACAAGTACATCCAAAATTTATTTTACTGAATGAATCATTGTTTACCCTGGGCTCTTAACAAAGCGCATTTTTCTACTACGGCAAATTGAACTATGTAACTTACAATTAGAATTAAAATATCTCACGATTTAAATCTGTTAATGCACAAATTAATGCTTATTTTTCCGTGCTACTTAAAATATGGTTCCATTAAGTATTTTCACAGATCAATTGATAATAAACCTGTTTCTATTTATGCATGTAACCAAATCCGAGTTTTACATATGTAGTTTAAATGAAATAAATGCGTTTTGAGACACGTGAAGTAAACATGTGCTTATTTCTGTTTGCAATCTTATTAAAAATCTGTTTTCCTTAATGAACCAATAAAAATGAAACTGGTCAATGCGTTCTTTAGGATGAGACTGTAAATAAAATATCCTGATTTTTCACCTACTTACTTATTTACAAATATCTGCATTGAATGCAGACTGGAAATGTCATACCAAAAGCATCGATTTTATGTTAAAATTTATATAGTGGAACAAGAAAATTCAATTATGCTGCATAAATGACCTTAGTCACGAAATTTCAGGTTGATCCAGTATTGAGATAATGAATAATCCATCCAACCATCCCTTTTGAACAATCCTAATTACATGATGGAGTTTTAGTTAACGTCAATCATTAAATAGAATAAAGTTGAGTGTGTAAAATACAAACTCGTCGAAAGGGGGATAAGTACGTCGTCAGTCGTGGGAGACAGCATTCGTAGAATTGGGCAGGTCAGGGTTCGCATAAAACTTAAAAAAAATAAATGGATTTCCCATGCGAACTAGTCTAATGGATTGACCCAATATATAATATATACATACATATCTATATGTATGTATAGGTATATATGTATGCATGTACATATTAAAATATCAGCACATATGTTAATATACACATCGTCGGTAAGTATGCATTTGAACGCAAATCCTGAGCATTTCGTAAGTCATTTAATAAATTATTACAAATATCGATTACGCAGAAGTCGTCTGGTAAATTTAAAAATCATTTGTCACAAAAATTCGGAACCGTAACCAACGAAAAATTCGCTACAAAAGTCAAAACATTTTATTTCAATGTATATATATACTATGCATAAATGTACATATTTATGTAAATATATTTTACGCACAGATATATGCACATATTAGAATCTACATATGTACATACATACGTACATCACTTTACCTATACTAATCTTCATACCCCACAAGTTTACGTGAATTAATGCTGCGTGGATTAATGACACAATTTTATATATATTTACATAATAATTAGTACGTTACTTGTCCGATCGTTAAATTAAACACTTTTGCAACAATGTCATACAGTACATACATACATGTTTATCTATTTTTGAATAATGATAATAATTTTACAAAGCTTCCAGTCATCCAGGATTCTAACAACGCAGTAATAAAACCAATTGATACGTATTTTCGTACATATAAGGAGACAACAATTATAGCCATTTGCGTCACCTTCACGCCCATTTCCTTAACGTGCTGCGGCTTACTGATCCGAATTGTAATCATGAACTTACGATTAGTGCTGATACATGAGCATGACGATCAAGATCCCAATCAAAAAGGCGTATGTATGTACATATGTACGTCGAATAATTCGACGTACAGACAACCACTTACGTAGAGGATGTCGTAAAGTCTAGTGTAATAAAAAATATGTTATGTTAATATTGAATCAAAATGTATTTTATTATCACGATCAGTCTCACATTTATCACACCTGTAGTTGAACAGCGAATGAATATTAGATTATCAAGTTTTTATGTATCACTTCGAAGCAAATAATGTTAAATGTTAAATAAGTAGCAGTATAGGAATTTTAATTACCCTTGTGCATTGTAACACTACTGATGCAAGCAAATGGTGTTTAATCCCGTCTAAAATATGTCATGCTTGCATACGCACACCTGATTAAAAACATCGTAAAAACATTCAAGAACTTGTATAAATAATACACACAATATAATAAAGATAAAAACTGAATAGCCGACGACACCGCTTATAAGTAAATAATACCACCATACCAATAAAATTATGTAATCGAGCAATTTATATAAAACTAGAGGATCACTGACGTATCGACATACTTAACTTGAACTAATTGACACTACAGGTTCATCGGGAACTGTAAAAAATTCCTCGGAAAGGGAACGTTACAACAGATAAAATGAAGAAAATTGTAATTGTTGTAATTTCCGTCGTTGGTAAGTAATGCATACTGCAAACCATTGAATTGAATTTAGCTCATCTATGTATATTATTTTATTAATTTCAAATTCGAAGCTGTTCTAGTAATCGCTGCAATAATTGCAACTGTGGTTATCTTGGTCAGAGACAAGGATGACGAGAACGGTCAACCGGAAGCTGCTTGTGCAAATTTGGATCTTAAATCGGCACAAAATTGTACCAACGATCCAAATTTACTTACAAGGTAAATCAGAATTAATTTCAAAATTGATTTTGAGTTTCAAAATTGTAAATAATTTCAGTAAACTTCCGGCCTGCTGCGTCCCATACGAAGATTACTACCTGGCCCGATTTATAGATGGGAACTCTCCCCGTGTCGACAACTCTTTTCCACCTTGGATGAACCACAATTTGCTTAAATGTGGACAGAAATTTGCCCACAACAACTGGTTCAGTTTAGGACTTGCAGCTGCCCTTGGGAGAGCGGCGAACATGAATAACCTCGATATTCGCGACGTAGCCATGTTTACAGGGGTCATGTCGACCCAGGCGGAAGGGTGTGAAAAAATTCTGGCATCCTTTGGCGCAAAATTAACAGTAATGCTAAGCAACTTTCATCCCTAAAATGATGAATAGGTCATAATTTTCGACATTTCCAGGTGTGGTTCCAAGACGTGCAATCCAATCCACCCACCAAAACTCCAGAGAATAACGACTTTCTCCAAAGTGTGAACCGAATTCGCTGGCTGCATGTCAAACTCGCCCGCGACATTGAGGCGAAACGTCGCCAATCTGGTTACACGATTGACGAAATTGTGGATCCAGCCACGTACGAAAATACCGAGATAAACGATGCCGTCTGGAACGCCTTTAATGACGACTTGGTCAATTCGGACATTCCCGCCGAAGAGAGGGACCCTCCACCCATGGATTTTATAAATTCTTCGATTCCCTACTTTAATCAGCATTCCATTGCTCTCTTTCAATATAATGCCTTCGCGTATCCTGTCCTGATTGGAAAGGTGTTCGGAGTCAATGCCAGTGACGAGGAACTTTGGGCTTTTAATCATCTCAATGCCGTAATCGGATACACTTTCGGACTCGATGATAAGTACAATTTAGCTCTGCAGCCAGACCTGGAGTCACTTAGGACGTATTATGCAAAGATATTTAGAGGGTACATCGTCCCAGGATTTTTCCATGTGCACAAAAAGACGAAAGTGACGATTGAAAATATTATGAAAGTAAGTACATACAATTTAATTAAGGATTAATTAATTAATTACAATTATTTATGACTTAATAATGCATTTATGTAAACAGGCAACCCGGGTAAATACACCCGCCTGGACATTACAGCTCTACCTGTACCGCGTTTTGACAATGCTGGTCGAAATCCCAGCCCCAAATTTGTTCTCTTTGTTCACTGAAAATGACAAGTTTCATGATCAGAACCTAAATGGCAACGTTCTTCCGAATATTGCGGTTAACGAGACATTCAGACGGATAACGAATGAGAACGGAATAGCAGACCTGCTGAAAACTGGGGAAAAGTATTATGGCAAAAATTACACGACGCAATGGGGGCGAGCGCGATTCACATTTCTTACCCCGGTAGAAAATATATAGATAATTAGCCAATTCACGTCACACCTCTTGCATAAGGCCCGTAACTACGCAAACTTGTGAATACGAAGCTTATGTAAGAAAATTTTTCTGGTAATTTTGCTTACGAATACAAATATTTATCTGCAAAGATAAGCGGTATGTTCGTCATTCGTAAGCTTTTTTAAGTGATGGATTTTTGTATTTTCACGAATTTAATATTTTATTGACGTCAAGCGGCGTATACATAAGTTACAAAATTGAAGTCACAGAGCGAATTTCGTAAATAATGTATATAAACTCATTATATAAATAAGTATATATGAATATCCTGGTTTATATGTATTTAAAAAATAAAATAAATTGTTCATGAAAACATTACCAATCCACAAGTACTTTGATCATAATCTTAATTTTGTGGACGATTAACGATGGACGAGCCATTTTGGAAAGTGTAGTGTAACTCTTCCCATGCAAATCTTTCCCAGATCGACATACATACCTACGTACTTATAATACCAGTTCAAACGAATAAAAATATATATGTACATGAATACTGATCAATATTTTAGTATTTCATTTTCCGTTTAGATAGATAAAGTATCTGAGATAATTATTAATGTTGATACTTTGCCAATTACGATATTTTAGGTTTGTCAGTTCATCAATTATTGGAAGTAAAATATCAATGTCGAATAAATTCTAGTGCAAACATAACAACTGATATTAATAGCAGTGCACCCCACAAAATAAATATTGTGTCGATACTTCCTCCCATTTTCTGCCCCCGTTCGTTCCCCTTTTCATGTCTGACTCCATCCCTTATCCTCATAGATTTGATTATATCCAGAGTCGAAGTCATTCTTCGTGTTCGAAAGTCAAGCTCACGCTGCATGTTCTTTGCCCGGGCGATAATTCCAGTTTCAAACAGGTTGACGAAAAGCTTAACTACTTTAAACGACTCGGTGCCATCGTACGCCTGGAAATACCAGCCCCCTAGCGTCGGAGCGAATGGAGTTTTCCCAACTGAAAACTTCAGCCAGTGATAGTTCCAACGGAGGTGGTCAAACCAGGAACTAATTACTCCTGCGGTATCAACAAATACCGACTTTCCACATTGAACTAATTCTTCCTCAATTGAAGTCATGATGCTCCGAGTTGTTTTATTTTTCTGTGAAACTGTTACTGCTTCTTTTGTCGGGTAGAAGGATTGGTCGTAGCTGAGGAGTTGGTAAATTAGGAGATTTAATTTGTCGGACATGGATGTACTCTGACTCACAAGCGTAAACAAATAATAGGTCAGCTTGGGGGAGAAAGTTGGTCCTCTAATGGAGAAACTAACCATCGGAGGTGAGAAAACTTTAAAGCAATCGGTAGTCAGGTTTGGAAAGATGTTCGTTTTTTTAATCCATGCGATTCCCAACATTCGGTGTCGCAGGGTCTCATTCTCTTGAAGAAAGGAAATATCCTTGTCCCGATTTGAACAGGCAATGTCCTATAAGTGAACATATAAAATTAATTGCTTAAAAAATGTGATTTTTAGGGACCCTAGCCAAAACCGTCTTCTTACTGAGCTTACTCTCTACAACGTCTTATTTCGAATCACAAATCATTTAGAAAACTTGCGAAGCTCTAAAAATTTATGTTGTGAGAAAATTCATGAAATATAACTTATATGTAAATATATCTCGCCAATCACAAACACATACTTTGGCATAGTTTCCATGGACTTCTGTAATTTCTGATGGTTAGGATGAGTTTGCAAAATAGTTTTCCGAAATAAAAAACATGCCCAATTGCTGGGTAAACTTACGAAAAAAATCCCATGGTTTTCCAGAAAAAGTGTTGCGAAGTCTGACAAATTTCACAAAACTTCGCAGGTTATGTTGTCATGCTCAATTTATAAAATATTTTGAAAGTTGACGTGAGTATGCTCACTGCTTTCCACTAATTTCGCCAATAATTGAACATTTAATTAAAGTTACACTCGATCGATTCCAAGTTGTTACCCACTTACCTCAAGCATTTTCGGGAAAATAGGAACCGAAGGTGCATTCAGACTACTAATCATCAAACTGCGATAACCGTTCGTCAAGCTCGTCGCAGACACTAGCCAACCGATTACCAAGAGACGAAAGAAATTTGTCCGCATCACCTCGGTCGTCATTTGGGCAGCCTGTTCGAGAACGGTCGTCAAGAAATAGAACAAGACGAAAAATCGATGCTCTTCAAACTTCATGGTAACGAAGGCCTCTCCAACAATTACAAGCGTCCCAAGAGAAAGTGCAATCCCCACCCAAACCAAGTTTTGGAATGGTTTCGTATAAAACTTGAAACTTAAGTCCTCCTTGTAATGACACGTTACGAAGGCATATTCTGTGGTTTCAAGAGCAACAATTGAGCCACGAATAGCGAATTTCACGATGTTAGGCACGTCTGGAACTAGTTTAATCCTGAAACACTCTGGCTTAAGACAGTCAGTCTTTCCCACCTCGGTGAAGTTGAACTTGTACATCAAAATTTCGTACAAGATATATCTCGTAGCACTGTAGGAATTGTCCTTATTTTCGTTATAAGTCGCGCTCCAGTCTACCATCCAACCCGAAGGCATCATTATCGTTGCATAATATGATGTTAAATCTGATGAAGGATCAATGTAGGAACATTTCATAGTTGATAAAATTGGGACACTATTTTCGAACTTGCTTGTACAAATTGTACTTTTTCTGTTTTCATGGGAGGGAAGAAATACCACGGCAAAATGTGGAATGATTCTATCCTCGGGGATGTACAGTGGTACAGGAGATGCTTCTTGACGTGCGTCCAACAGCACAAGGATATAAACACGTCCAGTCGGACTATACGTATTCAAGTATTCTTTGGAAATGCTGCTGCCATGGTCAGAATACATGGAGGAGTAGAAATCGAGCAAAAAACCCAACGATTTTGATGTCTTGATTTCCAAGGGGGTTGAAAGTTCAATCCGTACGATGAGGAAACGACAATATGGGGAGGACATGGCTGATTTGTGCACATTGCGGGAGGGGGAGGAGTATGTTTCTAATGCTTCAATCGTGTGCAAAACTTGTTCAGGAAGGATGGAGATGAAAATGGGTTGTTTGGCGTTGAGAAGATGTAAATGGTGGGGTTGTATTTCAGTACAGATCAAATGCGGTGTGCAACCGAGGGGGATTTTGTTAATTATATTGCCCAGTTTCGGGTTATTTGCAGTCCCAAATGCTGTGACGGGTTTGAAATGGAGGAGGTAAATGTAAAACGTGAAAAATGAAAATGAATGCATTATTAAAAACAATGTGTGTGTAGTACCAAAACTGAGAGACAAAAATAAATGGAAATTTTCAGTTATTGGTATGGATTAGGTAAGCATTGGTATTATTTAACTTGTTGACATAAATGTATGAATATTGTGAAATGAACAAGATGGAAAATACGATTGCCATATTTCCTGGTAGTACATAACGTATGTATTTTAGGAACTGGTAGGTATTTATTTTAGGTATGTACATACATAGATTGGTAAATGGACAGACGTAAAATATCGACTCATGACCATGTTCACGTAAATGATTATTACAAGCTTGTTCTATTTTGACAATATTTCAGGCTATGTATCAAGTTACTTTGTGGAAGTGCAAAAATTTAGTAGGAATTTTGGAAATAGTTTGAAACAAAATGATAGAAAATTGTAGTGACGGATCCTGCATAATTTGAAAGCAGTAAAGTTCTAAAAGTTGGATAGCTTGCTAGTCTAGCGTTATTATGTACATACATATGTGGCCATGACATGAGAAAAATCTACATATGTGCAACCTATGAATACTACGAATGTGCTAGAACAGAACATATTTAGTTTTAAAATGCCATTAGCATTAGCCAATTTAAACAAAGTTAAACTTAAATTTGAACAAATATAAAAACGAAATTACTTAATTTGTATTGAAAGTAGATACTTATAGTGGGATAAGTAGAAAACATATTTACTAGTTTCAGATGAATGCATGCTTTCGTATATTTTCTCCACTCATCATACATATAGACATAATACATAATTTTCGATTGATATACAATTTTTGTCAATAATATTGACTCAATACTAGATGAAAATGTACATTATTGAATATGGAGCATAATTTGTATTTCCAGAGTAAGATTATCATTTTACATACATTATCATACTATATGATATTCTGTACTTATGTATTATACATATTACAGATCGTATTTTTTTTTTAAATTCAGATATGGACACTTATGTACGGAGCTGACGCTTAGCTTTTTTTCCAAATTAATTTAAAAATAAAATGATAATAAATTGTAAAATGATAATAATATTCTGCGAATAACATAATATCTGCACTTCACTTTTCTGAGAATACAATTTTATACTCAACATATTTAATTGAACAAAATAATTGTACTACAGATATGTATGTACTTATGTAGGACACATCCACACACACACACAAGCAGCAAAAGAATTTTTGTCTTAAAATGGGTTTTTATGCTAATTATGTATGTATGTGCCCATGTGATTTTGAAACCTTAATCTCGTGCACATACATACATATACATATATGCAACGACTGATGAGTTATTCCAAATTCTCCCTCCGGTATTTTCTGCACATTTTCAAATTTCAATACATAAATATTTTCATAAATAACCAATACCCATTAAGACTTATGTCTGAATGAAAACTTTGTATCGGTGTTGGTTTTGATATGTAATTATTTAAGTAAACACATATGACGAATTACATGAACAATAATGAACATTATGTATGCACATAATTACGGTGTAGGTTAGGTCACTGTTTGTAAATATTTAAAATGTTCAAGGTAGGCATGACATGGGTCGAATTTAATTGCAAACGAAGCTAGAAATATGCATGTTTTGTTATCTCTCGTAGATACATGAGATGATCGTGACTCAGACCACGTAGCCGTTTTCAATTCCAATAATTCCTCTTATCTGTCCGAAAGTATTTGTGTATGCATGGCATGTACTACATGGACCATACTTTGCAATCTGATAACACTACCAGGAAAAAATACCACTACATGCAACTTTCAGATACTTAAAGCAAGCAGTGTATTTAGTAGCGTCGTAAAATAATTTCATAAAAAACATAGTCGTTGCCCCATCACTCATCAGATCTAACATGAAAATGGAGACGAGTAATACCTTTTGGTACCAATTTCTTCTAGCGTCAATCTTTTTATACAATTCCTGCTTAGGGTTAGAATATCCCAATATTCGGAGGGATGACTCTGTCCGGGACAATTATCACGGAGTCGAGGTTGGTATATTCTTCGCATTCAAGTACAAATTCAAGTACAAATAAATATATATTTAATTATTAAATTTGTCCATTAAGATTGGAGACCCGTACCGTTGGTTAGAAGAACTTGAAACGGACGCCACAAAGGAATTCGTTTCGAAGCAGAATGCCATATCGAAAGAATTTCTGACCTCACTACCAGATCGGGACAAGATTAAGGAGCAGTTGACCACACTCGCAAATTACGAACGGTTTGGCGTCCCCCGAAAAGCGAGTGGGGGCTACTGCCATTTTTACAATAGTGGATTGCAAGGACACGAGTCAGTTTTCTAATTATAACGTATAGCAATCCGAATACTAATTAATGACGCTTAATATTTACACTATTTATGGTTAGCGTCCTCGTAAAATTGTCAGATTTGTCGGATAACACAACCGGAAGTGTGATTCTAGACCCCAACGAGTTGTCAGAGGATGGCTCAATCTCAATTTATCCGTATTATGAAAGCATCTCACCGGACGGGACAAAGTTTGTTTATCCCCTCGCCACAAAAGGGTCAGACTGGTTGGAAGGGCATGTCGTTGACGTCACCACTGGGGAAGTATTGCCAGATGAGATCAGGTTCACAAAGTGGCCCGAATTCGCCTTCAGCGGAAATAGTGATGGTTTCTTTTACGCGGTGCATAGCTAATTTACATATTTATTCGTATCAGTCAGTACCAAACTAATGGGAATTTATTAAATTAAACAGCGATTCCCATTAGGAGACGATGGAAACCCGATAACAACAAATTCACAAATTTATTACCACATGCTTGGAACGATGCAGGAGGATGACTTTTTCATATTTCAGAATGTGGAATATCCAGAGTGGTTCCTGTATGTTAACTAATTTTGTAATTATTGCGATAATTATCTATTGAATTATTTACCTTAGTTTGACCGAGTTTTTCTCAAATAGTAAAGCGGAAGTATCACATACTGGTGACACTTTGATACTGACACCACAACCAGATTTTAAATCAAATTCGATAGTTGTTGCAAATCTGGCCAATTTAAATCCCATTGGAAATTATTCAGATATCTCGTTCATAAATGTCTTCTCAGCTTTGGACGATGTGGCGAGATTTATTGTACGACATTATAATAATCCAAATTGATCGCACGATTTATTGATAATGAATTGTTTTAATACGTAGTACGTCACAAGCAGTGAGAATAATTTCATATTTTTGAGCGATAAAGCTGCACCGAACTTCCAACTTATCCAAGTTCATATTAACTTCGAGACGGGAGATGTGACAAACAGCACGGTTTTGGTGGGCGAACATTCTACCCGGGTTTTGAAGTGGGTCAGTCCCGTTGGAAGGTAAATAGCTGGTTCAACTATTTAGAAAATTCCTAATTGTGATGTCTCAATGGTTTATTTCGTTTCAAAATTTCTGCAGCGACTTTTTGCTCCTCTGTTACTTTGAAGATGTGCAGCACAAACTCGAAATACGTCACATTTCGGATGGGTCACTCCTTCAAGAAATCCAGTTTCCATTTCCTGGCGTCATCAGCGACAACCATGTGACCGCTGAAGACACGGAATTTTTCTTTCGACTTGAAAACCTAGTCCAGCCAGGAGTAGTGTTCCGGTGTTACTGTATTTCTCCTTCGGCTTGCCTTGAATTTAAATGCGACACTTGGAAATCTATGACCTTGGGAAACGTCAACATGTCAAACTTTTTGATGGAGCAAGTTTTCTACCCGAGTAAGGATGGGACCTTGATTCCAATGTTTATCGGTCATTCGAAGGTGTGCAAATTATTTATTTAATCTCCGATAGTTAAGTATTTTGAGGGAACGTTTTCCGTACATAACTACCTACTTAATTCTCATAGAAAATGTTTCTAGAAAATTTTAAAGATTGTGTCTCATTTTGTAGGACATTGTAATGAATAGTGATAATCCGACCTTACTTTTCGGATATGGAGGGTTTAATGCGGACGTTCTCCCAACTTTCTCAGCCTTGACGTTTACTTTTGTTCACTATTTTAATGGAGTTTATGCATCTGCAAATATTCGGGGTGGAGCGTAAGTTCATAAATATTTAACATTTTAAATATTCATTGAAATTTTATTCCCACTTTTGTGACTTTTCTGGAAACCAGAGAATATGGAGAGCGTTGGCATCAGGGTGGATCACTGCTAAATAAACAAAATTCTTTCGACGATTTCCAACATGCTGCAATGTATCTGACAGAACGAAATTTCACGCGACCAGCAAAGTTGGCAATTCAAGGTTCGTCGAACGGTGGCCTGTTGGTGGCGACGTGTCTCAATCAAAGACCAGATTTGTTCGGTGTAGGACTTCCGGATGTGGGGTTAGTCAATTTACGATGATTATCATTTAAGACAATTTTATGAAAGAATATTAAAAAAGCATAATTTAGGAACGTTTTTAAAAAATTGTTGTGATTTTGATCATCATTTAGTTTGATGGACATGTTGCGATTTCACTTGTCGGCAATCGGATTTGCCTGGTGTTCCGAGTATGGATGTTCAGATAACGAAACCCACTTTCGAAATCTTATTACATATTCCCCAATTCATAATATTGGCCTTAACAACAATTCTCAACAATTTCCATCCGTCTTGGTCACCACGGCAGATCATGACGACAGAGTTTTACCGTGGAATAGCTACAAGTACGTGGCGGAATTGCAACATTCCATCGGAAGTAGTCCGATGCAGGTTGGTTAATTGGTTTAATTGCATTTACATAAATATTGAAGCGACAATTAACTTAATTCAGTTGCAATTCTCCAGGTAAATCCAATCATACTGCGAGTTTCTGCAAATGCAGGTCATAGCGATGAAGGGACACCTCTGCCACAAAAGGTACGAATATTGTTCACAAAAATAGAGACAAAACCCCGTAAATTTCTAATTTGATTTTTTTGTGCCAATTAAACAAACTGTCAGATAACCTCTGAGATTTTGTGGTCTCTATTTTTTAACGACCACATTTCCGGGGTTTTGCATAAATAATTTCCTCCGTTTTTTAAAAAATGTGCAGATTGAGGACTACTCAGATTCATACGCGTTCATATCGTACCATCTTCAACAGCAAGACGTTTCGTCTGGATCTGAGATTGCAAAGACAGTATTTTTGGTGTACATACCAATAATTTTCTTAACTTTTCTTCATGTGTAAGTTAAATTAAAAAATTTGTTGGTTTAATTCATTATATTATCAATCGAACATAAATAAAATATTTCAAGCCGCTGTTGTTATTGATAAAACTCGTCTCGGCCTTAATAATATGGAAATGATTTACAGGATTAAAATCGATACTATCAAGACTATGTAATTTGTATAAATAAAATCAATTTTGTAAAACCAATCATGCATCATTACTAGAAAATGGTATAAAAAACATAATAATTCATTACTCGTAATGCGAAACAGAATAGCAAAAGCAAACAAAAAATTAACACAAGCAATATGTAAATGAGAGTTGCGTATCATTTTCAATTTCGTAATTTTCGCCAAGCCCTTCATTGGCTCACTTTCTAGACGGGGCGCCGTCCCCAGATCCTTCCACCAATTTCGCCTTACCCTCCACGACGGCCTCGTCATGAGTTTTTGCACCGTTCTTTTTGTTCGCCAAGGTTGGAAGAGCCTTTAATCTAGCCTCCTGAGTGTCTGCTTCTTCTACAGGTGCTGATTTTATTGGGATTTCTGTATTTGTATTCATACTTTCACAAAGATGAAGCGAAACTATTTGTGAGATTAATTCCTTCGTGAGCGCCACATGACCTTTCGACGAAATTATATGCGATGGAATTCGTCTGGTGAGGATTTTCCTAGGTGGTGGCGTTGTGATAGGTGACGAGGAACTTGTCGACGGACTCGATGTTGCAGAATTTGTAAAGGGCGATTGAGGTGGAGTCGTCCCCAGCAGGAATGTGCCATTAATTTGCAAATCTACATTGTAAGGCAATAATTTAACGGGTGGGGTGACCCTCCTGATTTTGCATCGGGGTGGCGACGAGGGTGGGCTTAACGTGGGATACATATTTCAGGATTGAGTGAAATTAAGTCACTTGATTTAAGTGACCTCACCGTGGTACGAGAATAATCTAGGAAAGAAAGAAATAAAAACATGACACATGTTTTTCGTACTGGTGGAAACAAGAGAATGAGCGATTGTAAATCGTCAGCTATAATAATAAAAAAGTAAATATAAATGTCACCTGCTTGATAATATCAATTTGATATGCTAATGATATTTAGTAGAAATCACTCAAATTGTTCAAATTGGTGGAGTTAAATATTTTTTTGAAGTGTCAACAAACTCAGCTGTTTCATTACATATGAAAGTATTTGGTTACCGCTGTCACTTTTGACTGCACTAAAATGAGAAATTGTTCATGTGGCAATGAACTTTAAATTGAAGGCCGAGGAGAAAGTTATGAAAGATGAGAATTATCTACATTATTTTGCATTTCATGAAAATCATGAAAGCATCAGGCGAATTTAAATTTTCTCAAATCTTTTCATTCATGACCTCATATGAATTCGAATGACCTAATGACCACACCCCACACTCGAGGAGTTTAAATGAGATATGGACTTAATTACACACTTAAAAAAATGTTGTCCTTTTGTAAGTAAAATACGCTAAATCCAGAGTAAACTTTGCTTTATATCGAGGTAATGTAACTTTGGACTTACTTAAAATCGCACAATTTGCTGAATTTAGAATTCAGAGTGCATTTACGTTTCAAAAGGGTAACATTATTTTTAAGAGTGTATTTCAATCTATAGATCTTGGTTCAGTATTACAAGCTTTATTCTTAGTGAGGCAAATACCTGACAACGAAAAAAATTTGCTAAGTATGCATTTACCCCACCCAAAAAAAGTGATATAAGTCGATTTCTCAGCCATTTCTCAACCGATTTTGATGAAATTTTGCACAGATCATTGATAGGTAATTTAGAAAAGATCTGCCAGTCGACTTGGCGAATCTTTGATTTTTACCCAAGTTATGTGCCAAAATGTGCAAAAATTTTCCCCTGAAAACATATTTATTTTTATGATTTATAAGTGGTGTATCTCAGCATGCTCGCTTATTGCAAATATTTTAGTCAAAGTCATTCCGGACATTTTAAGCGCAAAATGACCTAAATCGGTTAGAAATAACAGCGTTATTCAAGTTTGAAAATCAAAAATTTAATAAAAATATTCAGGGTGCCGATAACAACGGCGGTTGTGCAGTAAAAATAATGTCTTTGACAACCAATTACAAGTTTTAAATAAACAAGGCCCCAAAAAATGGGAAATCTTAGTGAGTCAGCGCAATCACAGTTAATAAATAAAGTTAGATTGAATAACTTTTGCATCACCGCTCTCGGGATAATTTTTACTGGGTCCACTGTAAATTAAGTTTTGCATACGCATGAACTCTTGCATTCATTAAATTAGTTGAGATTACAAGATGACGTTTTTACTATTGAACGAGAAGTTGGATAAATTAATCGATATGAAATGTAATTGTGAACTGCGTTTTAAAAGAAAGAGTTGAAAGTCTACAATTTCGATATATAAATTTGGATATCCTATTAATTCCTATTCTGATGAAATCTCCAGACCCTTTGAGGGGGGAGCAATTATTCTAAATGATTAATTCATGCTTCCAGGAAAAATGATACCGAGAGCGGTGATGAAAAAATTATTCAATCTAACTTTATTTATTAACTGTGATTGCGCTGACTCACTAAGATTTCCCATTTTTTGGGGCCTTGTTTATTCAAGTGTAAAACATCTACATATAACGACTCGAGTGACATAAATATGCAATTAAATTTATTTTATTTAGCTATCGCATTCCCATTTCGACAAATGCTCTCCTCCCAAACTCTTCACCCCGCTGGACCCACTCCAGCCTCCGATCCTCCCCCCTTATCATGCCTTCTATCTCCATAAAACATCTCCATGCTTGTCTCACATTCCCAGAATTCAACAAGCGTTCCCCGTTCTTCAAAAGTGTCTCAAATTCCCGAATTTTATCCACATTCTCATCTCCGCCCTTCAACATTTTCCAGTCCTCGATACACGCGACACACCCACATTCGAAGCCATACCCCTCCCTCAGCCACTTCCTCCTCTCATCCCCCCTCATTCTGCTCCACGGCTGTTTGTAGCTGATGCACAATTCTTCCCCTGCCCCAATCTCCCTAATCGTTACTAAAACTCCTAAACCGACCCGCGGATTTTGCACCCATACACAATTCGGATCACAGGAATGATTACATAACGCGGTCACTGGGAATACCCCGGTGGCGTAAGATTTCGTTTTAATCGTTAAATATTTTTCCCTCGCGCGGGAATCCCAAAGTGGGTGGGTGATTGGTCCTTCCGGAGACGCCCAATCGGACAGAGTTATCATGTTGTGAGGGAGGGAGAATAAGTGGCGAAGGGTTAACCGTGAAATTGTCGGTTGGGACAAGTTAAGAAAGTGTAAATTTTTTAGAAGATGTCCGATAAAGATGGCTTTGAAGTGGGGCGATTCTGCAGTAATTCTGGTGGGGTCGAATGCTATGGAATGTGCCATTAAGTTGGCGACAGTTGAGTAGGATCTGGCGTCATACTTGGATTTTGTGACGGATTGGCCTAAGTCATGGTCCCGACTTTTTGCAAATATTTTGCAAATGAGGAGGCACTCGTGGAGGGGTTCGATGTGGTGAAAGTATGGGTATAAGGTGGGAAGGTTGCCGTATGTTTTGGTGAAATTTTCCATACAAGTACTGGAGCAATAAGTCGACTGTGGAATAAAATTTACAATTAGCCCTTAATTATATATGTAATTAAGTAATTCATATTTGACATGTTTGCTTCTTCCTTACAAAAACATCCTCCTCATCAGAAACGCCACCAAGGATTACTTTTCCACAGCCTGAGCAGTGCTGTGTATCCCAATTGGTCTGTTTGTCTAACATTATTGTGTACCCGGCGTCAATTAAGATGCAATTTCCTACAACCATTAATACAATTAGTACCATTTAATACGCCAACTCTCCACTAAATCTTATGTAAATTATGCCCATATTTAGTTAACCTGCTTTAACTTTCTCCTGCCCAACATTCCTCAACCCACGTCCTTTTCCTTCTTGTGTAAAAATTCGTACAAATTCAGCCGCCCCTTCGATCTCATCATTATTTTTTCCAACTTTCTCCACGATTTCTCGTAACAGTTCAGTCCCAGGAAAATGTTTGCCATGCAAATTTGTCCCATTTTCTGATAACGTTTCCAACTTTGCCTTCCTTATCTTCAACTTATCCACAATTTCACTGTCACCCAATACTTCTGCATAGTCTAACGCTTTTATACAGTCGGTCAATGCGTCTTCATATTCTTTCAACCCCATCAACAGAGCGGATCGATTTGCAAGTGCTAGGCCTTTCTCAGGGGATTTGGCATGTGCAAATAAAATGGCGAGATTGTAAAATCGGAGAGCTTCAGAGATTTTCTTTCCTTTATAAGATTCATTTCCAAGGGTTCGGAAACTATTGGAAAATTGGGATGATTTCTTGATTCCTAATAAGTAATTTAAATAATTAAATGGATAAATTATGCTGTTTAAATTGTACATTTTATACATAGGAAAGTTTACTTACTCTCAAAATATTCATTGGGAACGTCTCTCCAACTGAAATATTTTCCCAACACGTCCAGCTTTTCATCCTCGGTAGCGCAGCGACTCAGCAGCCTCGTCACATTTTGCAAATCTTTATGAATATTTTGCTTAAAAATGGACAAGATCGCATCATAGTGAGAATTATCGATGAAATGTGCCGATCTGAAAATGTTTTCCGGATTTATTGCAGACATTGCGTATGTGCATGTAGTGGGTGAGGGTTGATGTGATGTATACAGTTTGTGATTTAGAAATAAACTAGTGTAGAAGCCCGTCAATTGACGTGCAAAATAGGCCCGTCGATAAGCCCGTTACCCCAACATTAGTGAAGTTAGCCTCTCCTGTTCTCGCTGCAGAGTGGAGCGAGAAAAGGAGAGGCTAACTTCTCAACTAAGCTACCGACCCAGCCAGCCAGCCAGCAGCGATACACTCGCCTGCTTTATATAGTTTAGATGGTGGAATTGATTTGGATACTGGCCAGCTCGGAAAGTATGTGTGAGACTGACGTTGGCGTATGTAAACGGTGAGTTTGATGCGGTTTCACTTAACACAAACTTGTACCTATATCGCTTATCAGCAGCAGCCTAAACGAGTGAGTGTGTTCGATATGCGTTATGCACGGCTTAAGATTCGTTCGAAGAAAAAAAATATTGGCCCGAGTTTTATTTTTACTCGTCGGTACAAAGTAAGTCGCAATGCACTTTCTCGTGTATTTATGTATTCCAGAGTGTTTAAGACATTAAAAAAATCTAACGCAGATAAAGATTTGCATCTTGCATTTGGATTTGCACCTTGTAGAAGATGCACAAATTTCAAGAAGTGAACGTTAGACAAAAATATAAAAATTAATAACGTTAATTTGTTGACTAACTATGCGCCTGGATTTTCTTCTAGCTCAGAATAAGCTATTTAAATTTAATTGAATGAAGAAATGCTGCTACGTTTCTACTTAAATCCCGTTAAAATATTCTAATACAAATTGTATTTTATATTATACAATACAGATTTTTTAAAGTTTTTTTTTCTGGAATTACCTATTTTCTGTAATGTCTGAAACTACATAGCATGCCCAGGCTACCTGTAAGTAGCTCTTAACTTTAAAACCGTTGGAGATAATAAAAATCTGATAGGTGCGTTGGATTCGTCGTGCGATTTTGCATAAAAACCGCTAATCAATTTTTTAATTATTGCAAAGCATATCGACAGGGAGAATATTAAAGGCACGCGGGCGGCGATAATTTTTCACCAAAAAAATGAGAGGATAAATGGCGAATTTGAAAAGTGTGACAGGAATCGAACGTGCACTTTAATTTAGTCCAACGGACTATAAAAACGTTCGTGGGGACCAGGTCGACTAAGAACAGTCAAAGAACAATTTTTTGAAAACCTACAAGGACCACAACCATCGTGAAGGCGCTGAAGTTCAGAATCCGAAGTAATTCTAGAAATTCTAAAAAAAATATTTGACCACGGAATGAGACAATTTGTCGAGAATTCAGTGCGTGCTTTAATCAAGGGCTGGAGGCCGTGTCTTCGGCGCTGCATGACTTCGTGGGGAGGAAATTTAGAAAACTAAAAATTGTTTTCTACTCAAAAATTAACTGGCTTTCCAGTAAAATTTACTAGAAATTCATAGCACGAAAACTGTTGAAGCTACAGCGTTTCATTTCACTACCAGTTACGAAGGGCCACCCTGTAGACCGACTTGGAAGTATTGGGGCCATAGTGTTATTTTAGCACTCAAAAATTATATTCATGAAAATGCACCGTATGAGTTATTAAATATGTAATTTAGTGTTATCTTGGTAACTATAAATTAGTAAGAATTACACAGCATGCAGAATTTCCTGATTAAAAAACTCATGATTTCGCCATTCATTTCAAAATTTCATATATGTAAATGCTTATTGTTTCTCCTTATAGACATGTACATACATAGGTACAACATGTGCATAAGTAAATACATACATTTTATACTTACTTGGCAAGCATGTTCATTGCACTCATATGTACTTATGTAATCTGGGTTCAAAGAGAAAGGTTAGTTAGTACTCAAAACTTATTCTTGGGGGTCACCTCATTTGAATAAATCTCACTATGCGCATTTTCGGCGATACGGGTTTTCCATATTGAGTCAACTGTATGCTTCTCACAAATACGTCAAATATGCAAAAGAAGTGACACGCCGGAATAATTCTAGAGTATGTGTGTATGTTTAAACCGGCATTTTCTCCTCCACAGTTTCCTACCACGTGTAGTATTTAACATCAGCACGTACACAATTTCATAAAAAATAAAAGACAAAATAAATAATCATATTTTTAAACCACAATTACATATTTAATTACAACTTCGAATATGCGGCGTCAAAATGGAGTTAAACCAAGAACAATTAAACATAAGCATAATAATCATAACACAACAAACGGAAGATCGTCCACTCCGGATAATTCGTATTGTTCTCCCTCCAAAAATTTCTCCTGGATTTCTGCCGCTCTCGTGACCATCATTGCTTGGGCGCTGTACAAAGACCAACTGTCCGCACAATACAACCCCGCCGATTACATGTACCAGGTCAAGGCCAGCCACATCCTGAAAAATTATTGCCACCTCGTCGACGGACTAATCCAATTTATGAATGATGTAAGGATATTTTTTTTTAATTAATTAAAATTAAATTGTTGGAAATGTTTAGTCTTTTAATGTGTGAATTTTTTTTCTCAGACGGAGCAAGCGCATCTTAATAATCCTATCGTACTTTTGCTAAAAAACAAAATGAAACCGATCCAGAATCGGATCTCCAGTTTGAAAGTGCAGACTCAACAGTACGAAAAAATGGAACGGATCCCTGGAGGACCCCAGCATTTTATTTCAACAGCAATTTCAGAATTGGAGGAAATCAGGGATGTACAACTATCCCAGTTAGATTCTGAGGTGGGCTTTAAAATTATTTATTTCAGAAATAAATTATTTGGGATAAAAACCACCCATTTTTTTATAGGTTGCAAAAATAGTTGGCGGCGTGCGAAAAAATATCGACACCTTTTTAAAAACCGATACCCTAATTCGAGACTTATTCATCCAGCATGAACCCACAATTACATGTTTGCACCACGAAGGCATAAATTTCCGGGATTGGCACGTTTGCGAGAAAAGTTTGCAATTCGTGGAAAACGTGACGCCATCCCCGCTCGCAACTTTAATTCATTTCCGAAAGCAATTGGAAGTCCTCGCGGACAAATTCGCTACTCGAGAAGGAATGGTTTTAGTTCTGTTAGACCAGCTAAAGAAGAACGGCGTCACGTTAAAACTTACGGGCGGAAATGATGAAAGAAATCCCGACAAAGTTTCCGAAACTAGTGTGAACGATCCCGCATTTTTGCAAGGACTGATGAAAATTTGGGAAATGTGGCAAGATAATGATGAAGATAGAAATCAAGCGTTTGGAAATGGGATGGAGGAGTACTTCCTGGAAAGCGTGGTCCCCTTGATGGAAGACATCGCCGAGGAGGTGGCCTCCAGTCAGGACATGTTTGACGAGGTGGGTTGTCTCATGTCAGCGGGAATACAGAGGGCCGAATATTTTGCTGAGAAACATAACGCTGCTCAGCCGGATAAGTTGTACATGGAGATAAAATCCTTTATAGAAAAGGATATTAAAAATTTGAGGGGGCGAGTTGAGAATTTGCAGTATCAATATTATAAAGTGAATTATTGATAAGTATTTTATTGTAATTGGTTGATAGATATGTACGTGACAATTTACTTAATTATTTCGTTACCAAGAATTAGATGACTACAATGACACATTATTTGTGGAACTTCCTTATCATTCGTTTATTGCTTGATCTATGTACGTACGTGACAATTAGCTTAATTAAATATTTCGTTACCCAGAATTTAATCGTTTCATAACTATGACGCATTATTTGTGTAACTTACTTTTCTTTCGTTTCGTTACATATTTGTAAAATAAATTCATCCTTGCCAAGTTAAATATAATCGTTATCATTAATACTATTTCTCAGAAAGAATATAGAAATATAGATATTTATGTGCATCTAAAGATAAGCGCAGACTCAAGCAGTCTACGGTATGCAGTTATTGTGCAATCAATCGCATCCCCCTACTCAATGACATTCGAATCTGTTGTGTGTAGAAGAGTTGTTATTTTACCCGAACATTTTCATGTGGGGGTTGACAACATGATTTTAATGTGGCCTCCTTGAATCTGCAATTGACTTTAATCCACCCATGTCAATATTCATAATACATTTTCCAAGTATTGCATATTTGTCACTTTGAGTACAAGGGTTGAAGTTTAATATTTGTACTCGTGTATAAACGCAATCGTTGAACCTTTTCTCTACCAAAATAACCCTTCCCTTCCAAGAATCCTGGAAACCACTGGAAAGTAAGGGTTCTATCACTTTAAGCATTTAAATCGTGCATATCCTTTACATTCGTGGCATCCAAAAATAAAGTTGAAATTTTCCAGCATATTTAAAAACGCTGTCCCCAAATTTTTCAAGTCACTTGAATTTCAACCTCCAAGCGATTAGTTTCTCATTTAATTTTCTCTCAAAAATCGACATTTAATTTTCTCTCAAAAATCTACACTTAATTTTGTCTGAAAAATCGACATTTAATTTTCTCTCAAAAATCTACACTTAATTTTGTCTGAAAAATCGACATTTAATTTTGTCTGAAAAATCGACATTTAATTTTAAACCACACTTATAAACGTATAAACAGTTTACAAAATTTAAGAAACATGTCTCCATTAGTTCTCGTGTCATTTCTCGTGTTAATTTGTACACAATTTTCGCTCATCGCTGCCGCGATTATTACTCCTCCCTCCGCATCTACGTCTAAGGCACTTCTATCGCACGACGAATTATCCCTCCAATTCGAGTGGTTCCAGGGACTTGTCGAAATATACAACAATTTGCAATTTGACGAGAAAACGGTAATTTTTTAGCACATTTCCCCCATTACAAAATTTATTTATTATCTCCATTTTGGCTTAATTTGATAAATACCTTGTAATTCAATGCACATAATTTGCATTTGTGCATTTGTATGTACATACATACATACATACATACATTCCATTAATAAATATTTTGCTTATCTTATTGTTAGTTGGACGAATTCCTGGACCATTTTGAGAATGAACTTATCTTCCAAAAACAAACAGCTCTTGGCCTTCCCGACCTTCACTCGAATTGTGCTAACTTACGTAATCAACTCCTTGAACTTGAGGACAAAATCCACAACGGCACCAACTTGGATGCAGCACAACTCGAACTCACCAACATTGAGGAGGATCGGGTCAAACTTCGCAATATGGGGATAAAAATTATGGGCAAATTTGTAAGATTATGAAATTTACTTGTTCTCTCCATGAAAATATATTTGCATATTTACATATGTATAAACCTTAACATTTTTACCGGTTTTGATACACAGGTTGCTTCCATAAGTTCAGAGGAACACGAAGATGAGAGCAGTAAGAAGCATGAAATTGATTGCATCAAGCGGGGGGTGGCGAGCAACTCAGAAATTACCACATATTTTTACAACAACGTGCTAATTCCGGAAGTCAATTTTCTCGCCCACTCAGAAGATGATAATGACGTATTAAGCGATGAAAGCGATGAAATCCGGCAAGAAATCGAGTTTGATATATCTGGGATGGAAAAAATGTCCAAATTGCTTGAAGATGCGGTGGATCTCGCTTATGATTATGAATTTCTTGCACAGGTTTGAAAATTTTAAATATCTTTTAAATATCCTAAGTAGTTGGTGATGTGATGTCAAAGGTAAATTTATAAAAGATGAAATTATTATTTATTTTCAGAGTCCTGCCAATGCAATCTATATTCCCAACGGAGAAACATTTGTGAAAATGGGGATGCTTGAGGCCAAACAAGAACTTCAAGATTTTGTCGAGACCACAATTTCAACATTTATCAAGGAAAATAAGGACAACTTGCAAAAATACCGGCCCGAGATGGATGGCATGATGACTAGATGTGCAGACAAGATTGGCAGATTGGAGAAGTTGGTAAGACTTAATTTTGAATGTATATAAGAGTGACTGAGCTGATTTCTGATATCATAAAATGAATTTTTTTCAATTAATAGATCCGTGAAATTGACCAAGTTCGAACGAAGAATATGAACTTTTCGGAAATGTACATGTCCTGCGATGAAGCAGTCGTGGAATTTGAAAAGCAATTAGAAGGTGCACTGTTTTACTAGAGATGTGTAGCTTGGTAGCACATAGATATGTAGTCTGGGGAGGATTAGATATAAAATTGCATATAGATAAATATATAGAGATAACTTACGTTAAATAAATATGTATAATTTGAATATATTTCTCATTTTATGTTTTCCGTGCATATGTATTTTCGGCAAATTTTGATTACACAATACTGCATTATTTCACCTCTATAGTGCATGAATCAGAAAAGTATGTATCTATCTATAGTGCCAAGTTGCGGAGAAAGTGGACAGGGACTTGCATTTTTTTGTCGTAATTTTCGTACAATTGTTCAAGGTGATTAAATTCCTGAATGAATGTTTGATATATTTAAGTAACTTTGTGACACAATTTGGTTGCATTTTACATATATAAAGCATTTTACAAAGCATGCTAACTAAAAAGAATAGGGGAGCAACTGGTTAGGAAATACTACTGCTTTCTCCTCCTTTTTTGTGCCATATTTTGGCAAAATTTGCAAGTATTTCCTCCGCATATTGGACGAGCCTGGAACCAAAACATGTTCAGGTCCAGAATGAACGAGCCTCTCACGTGATGATAATGAATTCAACGGATCTGATGCAATAACTTAATGACCAAAACTCTAGTCATTTACTACACCCTACTAGCAAATTCTCACTGGAGGGTTGTGAAGCGTCAATGTATATGTACGTGCATATGTAGGTATGTAATCATTCTAATAGCTTTAGGAAATATGTAAACAATCATTAATGAAGATATTGCACAAGTCATCGAGACATTGTCACACTTGACATATCAAAACAAGTCTGATGAGCCAATTCACTCGCGTGTTTGCATAATATCACATCATCATTGAATCATAAATAATAAGCATATGGTGAACCATGGCGTGAAAATGAGGCACCGCTAATATAAACATGTGACGACACAAATAGCTTACGTAGGTAAACCCCCAACTTGACGATAAGTATTGTCAGTGGCAAGGGACCGTCCATAAATTAAGTCACGCAAGAGGGAGGAGGGTCCAAAGCTCCAATGATATCGTCCCTATGTGATACATGCCAAAGGGGGGGTGGTAAGAGGGGGATCTAGAAATTCGCGATTTTTGCATTGTTCGCGATTGTTTTGTGGCATAATTAGTGGACGGCCCCCAAGTAATTCATTACACATGAAACGAATTTTGGCCCCATCAGCAACACAAAATCTACCAAGTTATCACACTTCTCCGGTTTCAATTATCCATATTCGTAGGTAGCCAACAAACGAAGAAATTATACAAGAGGAATAACTGCCAATTAGACGTGTCGCGATTTGAGACAAGAGTTGTACCTATGTAAATACCATTTTATTAAAAGTTTTGTCTGGCTGTAATATTTGTTGAGACGTTTGATTTACAAATGAGGCTAAAAAATGGTGCGGTAATCCGTTCTGAAATCCTTCTCGTTCATAAGTAGCCGATCCACCGATCACGAAATTATTAATTATTGACGACGACTTGAAAAGTACCAATATTGCGTGTCAGACAGGGACCATGATTTTCTAACGATTCTTATATGTACGCAGTCTGGTTTTATTACCTACATAAATGTCTTCTAAATCCAAGGACGTAATACTTAGGCCAAATTAAATTCTTTACTTTCACTCCTTAAATTCTCAGTTTTCTCGAGCTCATCGATCTGCCAAGAACAAATTTCTTGCGAAAAAAGTATGTAATTGGATAAAAAGCTAAAAATTGCGACAATGCCAGTCACATTGTTAGCTCATAGAATTCTTTTTGTCTTTGTTGTCTTCTTTACTGATCAACTTTTCGGGTTTGACCGAATCGTAAATTTTATTAGACAAATTTCACGAAATGAAGCATCCGAATGTGGGATATTTTTTATCAGAAAAGCAAAACTAGGTGAAGCCAAGGATGGATTAATACGCAACGTGGTGGTTAATCAGATTGGAGCCGTTGTACCATATTATGGCGCTGAGTATCTCGAAAGCGAGCAAAATGTAAGCAATCAGTTATTGACCTACCCACCTAGCGCGAATTTGATGAGGATGTCCCCCATCTGTAAATTGGCTGTCATTTCTATGGGAGACTCGCCAGATGGAGTCGACAAATTTCTGAGGGAAATAAAAAAGTGAGTTGTAAAATTTCAATGAAATTTACGAATTTCGCGTTAAACTGTGCAAAAACAGTCAGAGTTCATGGATGCTGCATCCTGCTTCCATGTTTATGAGGATGCATATGCACTTGTATCACAGCATAAAATATGTACACAGATCTCGAAATAACTATTTATTTATAAGTGTTCAGAATCTTAATTTCCTGTTAATTTACAAACAAGTATTTTACATTGAAGGAAAGTGTCACCATTTTATATGCCGTTCGTTAGCCAGAATACGGATTATTGGATTTGGATATCAAGCAATTTGGTAGAACTTGACCAGCTCTTACTATCACCCGTGTTTCCAGGTAAGCCGTGCGTGTTTATTCATGCGTTTAATGGCAAAGTCGATAGCCGTTTTCTGAGTAATACAATATCAAACCATTCTATTTCTGTCAATAAAGAGTTTTAACTTTTGCCACAAATTGTAGAGTTAAGCACTGATCGGCATGGTCGCTCGACCATTGATCGATTTACTGATCAATTGTTTAATTCTCGGGAAAAAATAGTATTGGCCGATGGTCGCAAAAAAAATTAGTTCATGGTTTGAGATGGTCGCTGCAAAATGGACTATGCACAAAAATTCGAGCCAAAGTTTTAGCGATTGGACCCATAGTGCGATGGTTGATCGGTAATATCTATGCCGATCACTGGAGCTAAATCTGGTTGATATTTTCTGTTCAAACCTTAGTCGCCCAAACCCAGTCATTTTTTCCGTTATTTTTTCCGTCCATCCCTTTTAATCTCCAATCCTCAATTTCACACGCATCTTTTGGATTTGCAGATCAAATCAACTACAAGGTTGGCGTTGCACTCGATCAATCTGGAAATTTGGTTATACGCTCAGTCTGTTTCTTTTGTGATAATGGGAACCCAACCTTTCTAACTTATTCAAACGTTCGTGATCCCTTCACGTTTACATATTTTCCGGACTTCACGGAAAACCTTAACGGGAAGATAATCACGCTCTCCGTTCCCCGGATTGTATCACTCATCGAGCAAGACCCCGATATCAATGGTGGGATTAGAAATATCAAGCGAGGCCGGCATAAACAGCTTTTCAACGATTACCTTACCTTGGCTTTAAACTTTACGTACCACGCAATTCCATCTACCGGCCATGGGACGGGGGTCAGACTTGCAAATGGGACGATGATTGGTGCGTAAGGCATACCGTTGACATACGAATATAGTTTTGACCTCATGTTTCAACTTGTTTGGCCTCGGTATTACTGGGGTGAGTGGGGTTCACTGGTTGCAAATTACTAAAACTTCGGGTTTGCTGGGTTTTGCCTATAATTCAAATTCAATGAGAACAATGTTCCGAACTAATCAGAACAATGTTCTGAGCTTCTTAAACTTATGTACATAAGCCTTTTGAATGTTGTCCATCTCTGTTTCAGGGACTATGGGCGATTTGATGTCCGGCAAGGCAGATATTAGCGTGGTAACGGCAAGATCTCGTAGTCGAAGTGCGTAACAAATTACATATGCAGTTCGTTCGGAATAGGTAGTCGATCGGCCAAAACTTTTGAGTTTTTTGATAGCACGTCATATGTATAAACTCCCAATCAATTGTCATGTTAAATTCTCGATAATTGGAAATTCATAATTTGTTGCGTCTCGAGTTTCAGGAGGTGGTCTTACACCCCACCATGTATATGTTCTCATGTGTTTGCAACAACATTTCAATTAATATATACCTATATAAATTTAGAAATTTTCACTGCAAGCTATTTGGCAATGTCCGACATTTGGCCGACACTATACCCTTTCTGGACGAACCATATACCAAAGGGAGGGCGGCCTGGTGGATACGAATTTGACCTTGAATAACCCCGGAACGGTTTGTCGTAGCGGGTCAAAATTTTGAACAGACGAGCATGTTATCCTCAGATAGTTGTGTGCAAAATTTCAGCCCTCTACTTTGAAAAATGCCTGCCCCACAGCCCCCAGAAGCTGAGATAGTCATTTCAAATAGTTCCAGAAAAAATCTGGCTCGTGCTTACAAAAAATTTTATTTAAATTTTCTGTTGAGGAATAGGAGTGAGTTATTTGTCACATTTGACGAAGCACTATTTTCTCTATAAGTTACTAATTGAGCTCGAAGAGCTTACTACACGACAAATGCCGAAAAAAAATTCACGAAATTTGGTGTTTTCCCGTGAGGAGAACTTTTGTAAACAGTTTTAAGTTGTGGGTGCAATGTCCGATCGTGGTGTCCTCCCTGAAAGTAAAAATGATCTCGCTGGAAGATATTTTTAGACTGATTGTGATTTTTATTAAACAACTTGGTTTTAAGGTTTTGACAGTACATAGGAGACATTCATACATATGTAATAATATGTGGTCAGAAGTGACCATACAAACTACGCAGAGTTATGCTCAAACGAAGTGTCCCTTCTAATGAGGCATAAAAACAAAAGGACCCTTTTAATCCCTTGTCCTGGGAAAAAGGTTGGAAAATGCTCAGCCCTCATAAAAGTCGACAAACTTAAAAATTGATAAATATGGAAAACTTTGTTAACATGCATATTTTAACACTCCCACGTATCAAAGTCCCCCAAAAAGTGAAGAAATCTGCAAAGCAATATGCTGACCGTGTCTCGAAACCACTTTTAGAGTAACATTTTCCTAAATAGCACGGTAAAAAAATAAATAAGGTAATTTTTATCGTGACGCAGCGTCTTCCCAGACGATAAAGTTGACCCAAGATTATGCAAATGACCTTGAAGCTAGATTAGGAATAAAAATCATTTCGAATAGTGAAATACCTATACAATCCCCTGATATAAGTCAAATAGACTTCTTTGGGTTCGGATACTTAAAAAGAAATTCTTTCTGCGGAGACCGAATTTTTTAGACGGAGTTTGGAAAAAATTGAAATGAGTGTCTCAACTTCTGGGGGCTGTACGGGAGGCATTTTTGAAAGTAGAGGGCTGAAATTTTACACACAACTATCTGAGGATAACATGCTCGTCTGTTCAAAATTTTGACCCGCTACGACAAACCGTTCCGGGGTTATTCAAGGCCAAATTCGTATCCACCAGGCTGCCCTCCCTTTAGTATAAGTTACATAAACAATTAAAATCTATCCAGCTACGAACTTGCGGATTACATATGCTAACGATTTTCATTCCTGTGTGAAAGCTTCTCTCGTCAGTTTTACCGACTCGACTTTCTTTCGTACCAACTTACAAATTTTCACCAGCACGGGTTTACGCCTCTTCAGTCCATCTGCATTGCTATGGTAACTTCAAAGTTATATATTTAGAATTCGATATCACAAAATTTGCCCCAAAAAAGTAGCCACAAGTTACAGATATGTTAATTGGAGGTATTTATCTAGTTGGTTCATTTTATTACAGTTAAGGTAAAAGCGGACAGGGATTTTCACATTTGAGCTGTGTAAAACTCTAGATTTTTTCTTATGGGACTTGACTTACGACTTTGCCAACGAAAGTACATATTTTTAGATCCGTTCCCTATGGTTACAGCTGCAAAAAGACGAGATTGTAGCTGTAATAGTCTGAAAACATATGCAAGCCCTTACTACAACAGAGCTCAAAATTCCGTAAATATTTTACCCTCCCCTGGAATTGTAAGAGGTTACCTTTTTACCCGAATTAATAGTCTGATTAAAAAAATGGAACATCATCGTAGACACGATCGGAATTGAATACGTACAAATTTTACTTTAAGGTCGTTCGATCCATTGATGTGGACTTGCATAGGAGCGTCCACCCTTGTGTCGCTTCTTGTCTTCAAGATGATCACTGTCTCGCTCAACATGTTGGGCATGTCCGACGTGATGTCCTACTCCCATCGGGGCGTCATTAGTACAAATCCGTGGGGCATCCGGCACCAAATCTTCTTCGTCCTCACAACCTACCTCGATCAGGACTGCGTCCTTCCGAGATGTACACCGCTTCGCTGCATGGCTGCGCTATGGTTATTTTTTACCCTTATTATCACCACGATTTACAGGTAAGTAGGTAGAATAAAGTTCAGAAACTTTTACTCCAACTTATTAACCTTTTAAAACGTATGGAGGCTTTTTGGCCTCCTTGGAAACATTGCGTTGCTGCGGAAGGAAGTCTTTTAGCCTCCTAAAATTTTCGAGCTTACTGCGGGAGGAGGTCAATAAACCTCTACGAATTTGTAGCTATGGTGCGGGAGGAGGTCTTTTAGCCTCTACCCAAATTTTTTCTCCACTGCGGGGGGAGGTCAATAGACCTCATTAAAAAATATTTTTTCGCTCTTCATGATACTCTTCATAACCCATAATAATATCTTATATCATAAAATAATTACTACTTACTTGATCAAATTTGCACAAAAATACACTCGAATACAAAATTGTGAAGGTGTTGAATTTTCTACCATCACATTGCAAAGAATTTAAATGAGCAAAAATTTATTTTAAAATACTCAAAAAACCCTTCCCACAGTAACCGTCTATTTAGCGTCCCTGCTTTCACGAAGCTAGATTTTTTCTTTGGAAAATGACTCCCGAATCATAACCCAATAATCACAGTAAATCTTCCGCAGTAACGCCTTGGTCATGTCATTATACACACGCTTTAAAAGGTTAAGGAGCTACAGTATGACGCGTTAATGCGTTCCTACATACATACATCTCAACCCTGTTCAGTCTTTAAATGAAAATTTCTAAAATCGATTCAATAGTTTTCCAATTTTTGTAACTTAAATGTTTAGTTAATTTTTGGTATTACAAAATTGTGGGCTTGAGAAAAAATAGTTTATTTATTTGCCATTTGTTCACAATAAATTTCCTCAAAAATTAATAAACTAATTTTGTTGTCAAACCCGGGTTTGTAGTCCTACCAAAAATTAACTGCACACTTAAGCAAGTAAAGCGAGTTTATGCTCAGGGCTAATAAATCTGAATCGATTTTAGACAGGTTCATTCAAAGACCTGAATATGGGCGGGGCCAGATGAAAAATTCATCCTGCAGAACAGAACCTTAATAATGCACAATATGTGCTTAGATCCAAGATGGTCAGCCTGCTCGCCTTCCCGTTGTACGAAGACCTACCAGAATCTTACGAAGATCTCGTCAATTCTGATTATACTTATGCCTTTTTGCGGGAAGGCGACTCAGGCTGGGATTTTCTGAGAGCATCGACTCACCCCGTTTTCGTGAAGTTCGTCGCCAATATGGAAGTCATTGGGGCAAAGGGTGGCTTGGATTGCATGCGAGGCGTCGTCACCAAACGCAAGTACGCTTGCATCATATACTCGATAAGTTCGCCGTATGTGATTGCCAGGAATATGTCGGACGCGGAAGCGAGGGACTTGGTCCTCGCCCCAGAGACGACGTACATGGTGAGTGATGCCGGATTTTTTAAACTTTTTTCCAAGTGTGCAAATCAGTGGCCGCGGAAGCCGTGGGGACATTAAGATTAAAGGACAGGAGAGGGAGGAGCTTATATGACATGGGAAGATGATGCAGACATCGACAATCGTGAGGACATTGTCCCTCTGTCCCTACGCTTCCGCGACCACTGCGTGCAATACATGGACATTGTATGACGACGTTCCTTCCCACAATTTGTAGGTCTTTGTCGGTATCGCCCTTCAAGGTGGTTCCATTTACAGGACGAATTTAGACCGATGGCTGAGCCGAATACACCCCTTCCACTTGGAGGCCATCTGGACAGCGCAAGACGAATATGAAACCATTCGCTTGCCAAGAATCAAGTGGTTGCAGGAAACTAACCAAACGGACGAGATGACGCGTGATCTTGAAGAAGTGAATAATCTAACTTTGAAACACATTTTAGGTGCGTTTTACGCATTAGCGGCATGTCTCCTCATTTCGTTGGTATTATTTCTACATGAGCTGATCAGGTTCCGGATGAGGTGCTCAAATTTCGGGGAAATAATCTTTCCACACGAGAATATTCAAAAATCGATGTGGATACAATGACAAATTGTTAATTTCGAATATTAAAAAAATATATTTGAGCTTTGCATTTTTAAATTTTAAGCAATGTTAATATGCTACGAAAAAGTAATTATCAGAGTAATAAATTATGCATATGTTGTCGCAAGCTAATAAAAAAAGGTCAGTATTAATTGAGAACAGGAGGATCTGGTACTGTTTAGCCTTCACATATTTTGTACATACACTAATCTCCGATGGATGTTTATCACTTGGTTCTTTTATGTAAAAATCGTTACCAAACTTGTTCTAAAATGCAAATAATAAAAATTGAAGTTTGAGCTATTTATCTACTAAAAATGATAAATCACTTTGAAATGCTGCGCGTACTTCGCTACTCATTGATGTATGCAGGACTAACAAAATTCCACGTTTATCCCATGACAAAAAATGAAACGGAAAAGTTGCTCTGCGAACTGAAGAGTGAACTGCAAAAATGCATAAATCAAATCTATTTTGCATTACATGTATTACAAAATGTCAATTATTACGTATTATTATGCCTACCTTAAAATTAGGGCAATCAAATTTTACTTTCTTCAACCTCTTCAATGTCAAAAGTAGCTGGAACAAGATTTCCTTGAAGTCTTCAGTCTCACAAAAATCATCCATCAGACTTCCGTTGTCATAACAGGACATCTCCAGCTCGAAATATTCCAAGCACGCTGAATCACAAAAAAACTTAATATTGAATTTGAAGAGTTGTTACTTCATGCTCAACAGTTTAAAATTACCATTCTCAAACACGCCCAAATTATTGGAGAGTGTTTTAAAGAAACCTCTACACTTTAAAGGGTAACATAACATAATTGTTATCCGCCTTAAATTCAAGGAACCAATCGCCCCCATAACTGCGTTCAACTCGGCTTTGTTCATTTTGAAAGAGTTATCCTGCACGACACGTGACACAGCGTTTCTCGGCATCAAAATAAGTTCGAGATTTCGCAAATTTGGGAACGGGACCCGTACCTTTGCTAAAACTTCGGGAAGAACGATCCCATTTAGCGACAAGGTTGATACGCACGGATTAATCGCATTAGAAATGTTACCACTACAAAACACATTTAGTAACAAATCACCACTCAAGTCTTTCAATTGTATCGTTCTCAAGTTTTTCATCCTGTTCGACATCACGTGTTGAATTTGAATAGGAAAAATGTTGGGGTGGATGTTTGATAGTTTTATCAAATTTGGCATCGTTGCTGGAAGCTTGAATTTTTGAGGGTCTACTTTTCGCGTGTCGACTTCACTGTAGAGGTGCAAATATTGCAGCGAATGGGCAACTTGAAATACAAGGTTGGATAATTTGGCCAAATCTAACTTTCCCAGACCAACATATTCGAGTGACTTCAGATTTAGTTGCGTACCTTGGTCGGGCAACCAGTTACCGACGAGGCGTAGATTCAGCAAGTTGACGGCACAATTGAGCAAACCTTGGTATAATTCGCGATAAGCATCGCAATTCTTATCGATGCGAAATTTGATCGTGGACAGTTTTTTTCTTGGTGCAAGGGGCAAGTATTCATCATTCGGAATTTCGGAATTTTTTTCTCCCCGACAAATGTGAACGTCCAAGTATTTCAAATTTATGAAATTCTCCCGAGTTTGAAAAAGTTTATATAAGGCTGGAAACAATGTAGGATTTAGTGTCATATCCAATTTTTGTACGTATTGATTAAACAGGGTGATAAAGCAGGATAGATTTTTGATGTCTGTGATATTCAATTGACCATTAACGCCTTCTTTGACACATGTTAATTCATTTCTACAGTTTCGTAGAGTTATATTGCGAGCTAAACTGGGAGACAATCTTCGACATAAATTTGCAAGTTGTATGTCGCTCTTTGATTTTAAATTAATCACAAGTCTATCATCATGAAGGGCAATATTGTTCCAAGAGTGGCATACTAACCGGGCCACTTTGGGGGAAATATTTCCCAGTATTTGAAGTAAGATCTGAAATTAAGATTACATTTTTATGCATTTGTTATTTATCTTGAAATATATGTAGATTTAAATTTGAATTTAAGTATACCAGCCGATTTGATAGGGCTTCTTCCATTTTGCAGAGAGTCGATTTCAAGTCGATTTCAAGTTGTAAAGTACGTATGTAGGCACATATATATTTATTTTTCTAAAATTGGGTATTTTTGTTCTATATTTGGTCATTAGCTGGTTAATGAGGCACATTTGTGAATAATTGATACTGTTAATGAATACACTAATTATCATATGTACATATGCATTACTTGTAGTCATACCCACAATTATATGCATATTTACCTGAAATTAGCCATTTTACTTTGGACGTTAAACTTAAATTAATCAACTTAAATCTTGTGTATCGAGCTTTCCAAGCTGATTATGCTCGTCTTAACCGAGCTCTCCCTCCGTGCCCTTTTCCCCTCCGCCTTAATCCTCTTATTTGTAAAATAGCCAATCGTATTTATAAATCCTCCACAATTGCACAGAACGACAATGGTGAATATTCCGACAGCATAAAATGACTCGTTCTTCTGAAGGCGTAGTCCAGTGGCACTATCGAATGCGATCGCCCAAAAGAAGAGCGCGGTCGGGAGGTACAGGATAGCCCCGATTTTGACAAAGGTGACCAAGCACATGGCTGCCGTGTCGTGATAGCTGTGAGAAATTTGGCCAATTTGTAGTCGCGACTTGTACGAGAGGACGACACAGCGGATGGAAGAATACGCCGTGATGGTGCAGATTGCTTGGATGGTCGTAAAGGTCGTACTGGCGATAACGTTGTACAGTGGAGAAGACTCGTGAGCTCCCATCCTAAAGATTTATATATGTAACATTTAAAGTTTAATTTATTTGACTTGTAGATATTTATTAGCGATGAGAATACCAAAATCTTGATAAGCCGATGCTATCGAGTGGAACCATAATGGCGACAGTTATCCCGGCGAGTGAGGCTGCCACGATGTGCAGACGGTAATCCCACCTCCCGGTCGTTACCCGCTTTTCACAGGCGACGTCAAAATACGTGTAGACCGCGATCAAGGCGTACATAAGCTGTTGGTACCTGTCATTCAATAATAAATTTTTATGCAAACTGATCAGATCACAACATCACATCACTTGTAAACTTTACAAAATTGCACATCTTACCAGAGGAGAAACATTGACGAACAACCGAGCAGATAGACGACCCATTTCTCGGGGTACACTCCGGTCACCAGGAGGACGAGATGATCCGTCCCATGAATGATTCCAAATAGGAAATCATTGATCGCAATGTACAATGGGAATCTGTCGGCCACATTTTTCCTCGATAATTTACACCTTTTGTGAACAATGCTACAAATCACGACGAGGCAGGACGTGGCGGATATCGAGGTCAAAAGTAGGGCTAAAATGTGGACACTGTAAAATAGTGCGAAGTCCTTATTTTGATGGGATGGGCAGCCGGATTGGAGCGGATCCTGGGAGCAGGATGACGATGCATTCTCCATTTTCAGATAATTTTTAAGTTACAATTTTTATTGGTACAATTTTAACTTTGAATTTTAGTTGCCCCATCAGGAAAACGTTTCTCGTTAAGGACTGGACCGTGTTTTGGAACTTGTTAACTTTTTGGATTTAGTAATTATTCAAATTATAAATATTTAGGAACACATGAAGAGTAAAAATTGAGGTTTATTTTACAATACTCACATATTTGCGGGTATGTATGCGTATTTGCACACAATTTTTGCCAAGCTTGTTATTAGGTATACATTTTGCATTTTATGTGTGCAACTATGTATGTACCTAATGCTTAGCACAGATGCTGGAATAATTTGGAGTATGGCCAAATTCAAGAAAGATATTCCATGTGCGTGCCATCATCTATTCATTTTTAGGAACCTGTCTGAATAATAACATACCAGTCTGAATCATGTAATTGTGGTTGTGGTCGCCATTCATGTCTGCGGATGAAACAATCTTTAAAATTATACGGCAGCTTAATGAGTTTAAGCGTTTCCGTGAATCTGGTGAATTGTGCATAAAAACTTGTCCATGACAATGACACGTCCCGGCATATGTATGTATGTACATATGTAAATACTTACATACATACATACATAAAGTATGGGTACACACAGATATCCAGAGATCTCCATTACCAATTCATACCTATTCACACATGTTCATGTACGTATATAATTTAATTTAGATTATAAAGCGTTGGGAGCAAGGTACATATGCACCAATGATCTGGCACTAACAAGGTTTCACTTTGTACCAAATATCAGCTTTCTACCAAACGGCGAACTTGTGCGATTTATTTATGTATAGACAAAATTAACAAATCTCATTTGACAACTACATACCTATATTAATTCTTACAGATAAGTTCATGTTGGTTAGAGGAACTGACTAAGGAGAATGCGGATGAATGTACATATGTACATTAAATCTGCTTTAAATTATAAAGTACTTGCTATGTATGTTAGACTAATCTAATCATATATCTAATCAGGGTTCCAAATCCACAATTTTCATGACTCGTTGATCAATAAATTCACTTTCAGAGGTCAATATCTTCTTCCCTTATTTTGCAGGGTTGCTCAACTAGAAAAATTGGTCGTGGGTTCAGCAGTCGTGTGCATTTAATCAGCCTTGCAAATTTTAATAACATTCATGCATGGCTCACGTGCAGAACTGCAGTGTCACGTAAACGAAGACAGGGATACCATTCATGTTTGATATGTTGTCAAAATTCATACAGTAAACAGTAGGTAGCGTACATACTTACTTCAATTTTTGCATACAATCTGCCGATGTTTGTATTTTCAGCAAATGATGTACACACATTTTAAATAATTATCGAGGCTAATAAATTATCCGCTCTAGGAATGTATTGCGGTCGGGCATTAAACCGATGATCTTGACAAATTGCTTGTCATTATCTTTTTCAACGCATGCAAAATTTCACGAAAACAAGATCCCCAAACAAAGTTGGATAAGAGTCAGCTTGGAATTGCAGACTTTACAAATTTCCGACCATTAACCCAATCACTGGTTAAATTCTTACGTATCCCAGTATTTATGACCATTTCAGTTTAATCACTGGACAACACTGCATTTTCATTTTCAGCGCAAATAAATAAACTTTTTAAGTACGAACTTAAAACGAGTTTCCAGAAATATTAAGCAGTCTTGGCTTAGTCTGTGTAGCAGTTAAGATGTTGCAGGACCTCCTCCCCTTCGCGCTGTATCAGTGGGGGCGTCTTCACTTATACCGAAGAAATGGATATGGTGCAAAAGAATCAGAAAATCTGTTACGAAACGACTCAATTCCGTGAGCTGAAATAAATTGTTTATTCGAAATAAAATTTTGCTTATTTCATGGGCAGACCAAAATTTTTGATAACTAAAATATTTTATTAATTCTGAAGAATCGCATTTGTTTGAGTTGGTTTAAATATAATTAAACATGATTATAACTAAATCTTAATTAAATAAACATAATTAAATACATATTTATCTCATGATTTTATTTGCGAAAGCTCATCTTTGCTAAAAGTACTTAGAGTTAATGTGATTGCCATTTTCAGCTGGCGTGGATTGGAAAATCTCAAAATCCTTCGAAATGGAACGTTATCATCTTTTACGGATAAAGCGATCGTCTCCATTCATCCCATCCGATCCACTCCCACCGCATCCGACCCTAATTCTCTCGTCCTTCTCAACCTCCGCGACAACGAGGTTTCGAAAATATCCAATACGACCTTGACCTTTCTCCACCTTTCTGCAGATTCCGACCCCACGGAGCTTACCGTGGGAAATGATGAGCTTGATGGGGACTTCTCCCTCCTCTACGCATCCGACATGGACCCGACTTCTGGCAGTGTGACCCTCCTTCTCAAGGCAGAACTTGCCATCTTCTTCTACACTTATGCGAAATCTGACCCAAACACCATTTCATATTTGGCGGCGGATTATATATTTTCGAGAAACAAATACCATGACAATGACCCCAACTATCTCATGGTTGCCGACAAGTTCACTTCTCAACCCGATTGGGTGGCCCTGTTTGCCAGGATCCCAAACGCCTCGGGTTCTGGAAACAAAATAGAAATCTACGCCCTCTGTCAAGCTATTAACCCGAAAAGCGATTATCAATTTTGTGACCCAGGCGAGGGCGGGGTTACGATTCCACCCGCGCTGTATGAAACCTTCGCCGTTTGGACGACCCGAGCGGGATCAGCATGGCCAGGCTTGTTGTGGGGCATGGATGGCGAGAATTCTCTGGTCGGGTACAATTTAGATGTAGACCCGACTCCGATGGTTATGGTGGAAAAGGAGCGAATCACACTTCCGGTGGGGATCACTTCGAACGTTACCCGGGTAGAATTGATGGCTGTGGACGATAAGGTGGACTATTTACTCGTCCATTTGGGGGATGCGGGGGACGTTCTTGCCTTTAAAAGTGAAGGAGGACAGAAATTTGTACCGGAGTTGGTACTATTTGGTGGAGATAATGGCGGTGATTCTGAACTTTTGACGGAAGCGGGGGAGGTGAGACTAATGTTAATGTTTTAGGGTCAAAAATATAGTAAATATTTACATAATAATAAACTAATTGGGTATGACAAATTATAGACTTTGATCTCTGCATCGAAAGGACCGCTAATCACTCAGACTGATCTGGCCCCGCCGTTCTCCCTGAAATCAACACATCCCGCTCAATTTATTTGGAAAGGTTCTCCCCTCGCCCGTGTCCACTCAATCCCGCTTTCGGGCAAGGACGGACCCGTGGTCATTCTCGGAAACTCAGAGGAAGGCGGGGTCAATTGGGTCGTCGCGCAGCCGGAAACCGTGGGTCGGTCGCCCTACATTCCATCTCTGAGGGAATCACTGTCTTACATCGCCCCATCGAACCTGACCTTGCCCCACTTACCCTTCCCATCTTTCCGCCGCATTATCGAGACCAATCCAACCACTCCCTCGATTATCGCCCCCATTCCATCATCCACCTTCATCAATGCGCTCAACATCCAAAAGGGAAAAGTGGAACTGAGTCTCATGCTCATTCCGGAGATTGGATTCCGTGTGGATTATTCCGGCGGAGCGATGCGTCCCCCCAAAAAATCGATGGACGTCCCCCTGATCGGGGAAGGCGGGTGGAACTCGAGACGACCAACTTGGATAGGCATGGATCCCGGGAGTGGTGCGTCACGTTGGGATGCGTCCTACTTTCTGATTCTCAACTATAAAGTGTACCCTCTCAAGGAAACGACGGTTTGGGACGATTATTCAGAAGATACGGATCCCACCAAGGTCACGCGGACGTTCGTGGTCAAACCTTCCAAGACAAAAGATCAGCCAGACGACCATGTCATCACGTATCGCGAAGATTCCCAGACCTGGGTCGTCGTTTCCAGGGATAAAACAAATCTTCAATTCGGCGGGACCGGTGCGGTAAGAAATGGATGGAACAGCGGTCAGTGGAATCTCGATTGGACCCCGAGAACTATGGAGTGGGCCTTGATAAAATCCAGCGTTATTGACCCGGACGAAACAGGAAACACGATCACGTCGTCATTCACCTACACCGAAGTCACCGGATTTATGGATAATAATGCCTCCGAGGGGGAGGAGGGCTTAGGACCGCGTCCTTACACGAAGGCACTCCTCCCTGCCACGTTCTCCTCGAGCAACGGGGGCACGGTGAACTGGACCTGGGACACAACTCCGGGACAGGAACGATTACAAAGTTTCCAGCTAAACTTGAGCGGAAGGCGTCAATCTGTCCAATTCCATTACGACCCAAATAAGGCCATGTTGTCACAGATTTCTCAAATTTTTGAAGACCCTCAAAATCCAACAACGTTACTCGAATTCGGTTACGACACGGAGCACTATGAGCTGATTAACAGCATCAATATTCCAGAACGAGGCCTCCAACTGCGGTACAGTTATGAAAAGCTGCAATATGCAAAAGAGGACGAGAAGGTTGTAATGAAAATCAACGCAATAAATGGAGCAGCACCTGCGACGGCGCATGGCGTTGGGATGTCCTATTTCGACAATGGGGCAAGTTTAATCGCATGGAATGCGGGAGATGGCACGTGGACTGATCTTTCACAGCTGGTGGAGGATGACGATAATCAGTGAGTTAACGGCGTTATTTTGCCCAGATTGAGAATAGATATTTTATGCAAATTTTCTTATGCATCCCTTTTAACAGATTTCTCAATTATGCCGCTTACACGGTCACACTTGCCGCCAAAGATAACTGCGTCTTCCGCCTGATCACGGGGGCCCAGGATTTCATCTCGGTCTGGTGCGTCATCCCGACAGATCCCAGTCCGTGGAGTTTCAAAATGAAGAAACAACTCCCATCACAAAATCGGGCGACTCTGCTCCCTTCCGGTTTGTTAGCTCTACTTTATTACGGGAACGTTCCCACGCTACAGCTGGAAGAGTGGAAAGAGGGCGACACTCCCGACAAATCGGATTTCGTAATCCTAACCACAGTCAACATGGGCGGTGATTCACTTCCTGATGCAAAAAAGGTCACTATTCTCGACGATCGAGTAGTTTGGCAGACTACGGACCGGATTTCTTGGGTGGTCCGAGGATTAGGCGGGAAGTGGTGGACATCCCCGAAATATTTAGACGCTTTTCCCACATTACAAAGTTGCTCGGACTTCTTCGCATCCAAATTTGACTTGGGGCCGAAAGGGGAGTCGAAATTCCGAGACGCTTTCGACCCCTACAGACTACAAGTTGATGGCCAGGCGAGGGGAATTTTCCAAATGGGCTGCTACCTCTCCGACCCGGCCAAGAATGTGATGACGTCTTCGGGACAGATATACGAATTGACCTCGGCAGGACAGCTGGTACAGGGCCAAAGTTTCCAACAGGGTTTCGAAACGCTTACGGACATTAACATATCTAAAAATGCCACATTGGACGATGGAACACCGATCACGATCCACTTTAAATATTCCCCACCAGACAAAGACCATCAACGGTATCTCATCAGCATCGAGATCGATGATCATTCTGATTTGAATATAAACGCGACCCGTCAATTTCGCGAGGATAACGATAAACACGACGACAGATCCATTTTGTTCAAACCGGGGGAGAGGCTTTTGTACCTTCTTCCACAAGGAAGACTTGCCATCGGGGGGCCGAACAAGACGGAAGAGATGCACGTATGGGTACCCGAAGAGAGGATTTTGTCGACAAGGGACGATCCAAGGACGTGGGACAAGCAGATGCTGAGTGATCAGGCAGGAAAAAAATTCGATTTAATATTGAGCAATAATTTTGAAATTAAACGAACCGATGAAAATGGACCAATTCAATTGTTCAACGGAGCAAAAACGCTATTCGATTTTGGGAAGAATGCATCCCAACTTATGAACCAATACCCGGGTAATTCTGACAGGAATTTTATTTGCGGGGACAAATTTTATTCATGTTGTTCCCTCAGGTTACCTGGTCTCTACCCAATCAGATCCCGCCGTCGTGCTGTACACCCACCGAATTGGCGGGACCGATGTCGAGGTCGTCGAGGAAGACGGAATTCGACGTTACGTTGAAGGAAAGTATCTTCACGCACAATCTTCTTCGCAGTTCCTCGTTTCAAAGTTGGCTTCTGGAGACCAGACAAAGATCGAGTGGACGGGTTGGTTGCCATGGAAACCGACCGTGGTCGTGAGCCGGATGGAAATTCAGGGTGGACCAGAACAAGATGTGCGGGTGACGAGGCTGGAGTACACCGCGGGACAGTTGACCGCTGACAGGGACGTCGTTTGGAGTAATGTCACCATGATTAAGGGCAACTCTGCCAAAGAGTCGTCGGGATGGACCGTGTTCACCTTTGATCAGTACAAATTTAATGCGACGTCGGGATATGTGCGACAACTGTACGACGGGGATGGAAATTGGCTCAAGCAGATGGAACAGGTGAGTGATGGACTTCAGCTTTTAATTAAAAAATTTCAAAATTTCCTTATTTTATATGCAGAACAAAAACGATACACAAAACGGTACTAGCACGACCCAAAAATTGTGGGATAAGACGGGTTCCTTCCCAATTACGACGCTAATTCCGTTTAATTCTACCGAATGTCAAATTGGATACGTTGCATTTCAGCCGTATGAAAGTTGGGGTGGTGATTGTGGGTGAGTTACTTAATTTTTTAAGGCCTGTCCAATAAATTAAGTCGGTAAATCCTAATTTCAGTAAGTTATGCACATTTTAAATTAAATTGTGAATATTCTCGCCAGGTGGCAGTTCAACAACGCTTCCGTTATTAATTCCGACGATGCTGAAACCGATGCCAGCCTAATTTCTGGGAATCATTATCTCAGTTTGACCCATCCCGGTGAAGCGCTAACCTTTGATGTCCCGCTGGTCAAGGGACGATCTTACTTGGCGGGATGTTGGGCGAGGTCGAAGGCACTTCAAGGAGAAAACTCCTCTTTGGAAAGTCCCATTCTAACCGCCTGGGTCGATGATCAAGGTCTCGGTTTCATGTCGAAAGTCGTCTTCACCCGAAGCACGTGGAACTATCTGCAGGTCAAGGTCATCGCAGAGGAACTCCTTCCCTTGTGGGAAACCTTGCTCAACAAAAAAATCGACATCGACAAGGCCAACTTGACCCTGAAGTTCCGTATCGAACCGAGTGACCCTGACTTTGGCGTTGATGTCGATTCGTGTCTCGTCGCCCCATTGTCGTGGAACTCGGAGATTGCTGTTTTTGACGCAAAAATGACCCGAGTGTCGGAAAAGGTTTTGGGCGTGTCGGGGTTGGTGGTGAGTTACGTGTACGACGACTTTCTCCTCAGTGGAGAAGCGGTCGTAACCACAGATCCGATGGGCAGAGTGACTCGGATGCAATTTAACGTTGGTAAATATTTAGGAAACCAGAAATAATTACAAAGTTTAAATTATGTCATTACATAATTTGCTGATTTGTGGTGCAGACGGCGGTAAAACTGGCGGACCTTCTGTTTTATTGGTTGAATCGATGGATATGCCAGGCTGGATCCACTCTTATGGGACTAATACGGTCCCATCCGGTCAAACGTTTGGACGCTACGGTCTGCTGCACAGTAGCGATGACGAATCTAGTATCGATATCTTTAAAGATGGTACTCTTCCGCCGGACAGATTCATGCTGCGTTTTGCTTACCACTTGGCCGAACCGAAATGTAGTCTGACGCTTAATATGCAAGGGCGGCTAATCACTCTGGAGAGGAAAGGGGATTCATTTTCTTCGGTTATTAGATCCCCTAGCGGAGGTAAAAGACAAAACTATAAAAATTTAAAATTATGAATTATGAAACTTTCAACGATTTCAAATTATAGAAGAAAAGAAGATACCTCAAATTGGAACAATACTCATTGGCTCGCTTCCAGAAAACCGCATCTTTGTATTCTCTAGCGATTCTGGTGTTTTATTCGAAACCGACATTGGTCCTGCCACCAAAGCTACTTTATCACTTCAAATGTCCCACACCGTTGCGATCAACCATGTCATCATCCTGCCTAATCCTTCCTTCACTCTGTCGCATTTATCCCCACTCGGCGAAGAATTGCAAACTGCGGTGATTCTAGATGATGGAATTCTGCTGAAAGAAACTTTATACGACGAACAGGGCCGTGCAGTTGCTGCAACTACGTCAACCCATCTTCCATGGTCAACGGGTGACATGCTCCTCACCTACCGATCGGGTTGGGTGACCGATTTCTCCCTGCAAAGTCAAACCATGGCGGGACAAGTGGTCGACCTCAATCCATCCTCTCGCGGCGTCCCCTTCACGTCAATCATTTTCGGAAATACTCCTCCCGGGTTGAACGAGTGGGTCGGAGAGGGTCGACCCGGTGCAGACTTCTCAGCCAAAAGCGGTTACGCCATTTCATATTCGAAGGAGGGCGATCCCGGCGCAGAAGTCTTGTTTCCCCCCCAAACAGGATTTTACTACAAGACCAAAGTTGAACCGGGTGGATTCCGACAAATCTCCGTGTTTTCGGAAAGTCTTCGAAACATCGTTGAGGGAAACCGGGAAGTTGTTGTAGCCACGATTACTCGATCTCCGGGAGGGTGGACGACGTTGGTGACAAATAATTTCGACGAGAAGGGTCGCCTGATCGCTACTCTGCCACCGATGTATCATTTCCAACAAATGACGCTACTCAAGGGAAAAACTTGGGCGGAAATTGGGTACGATCGTAGGAATGCTCCGTTTGGAATTTTTTATGTGAGTAAAAATGCAGCCATTAATTTACAATGGATAAATTTTCTCTAGAAAATCTGTTGAAAACTAGTTAGCTAATTTTTATATTTCTAATTAGGATTACGACGATAAGGACAAGCTTATTCGAAAAGTGACGCCCGAACTTGGTGTGAGCGACAACATCTATGACGCCAACGGAAAAGCCGCCTTCGTCATGAGGAAAACGACCGAAGATGACGACACTGCCGGAAATTTGCAACGCGTCGTCTACTTCGACTACGGTGATGGTGCCAGAGTAAGCGAATTTGGAGTACTGCAAGGCTGCAGCCCATCCGGCAAAAATTTCACGGGAGGAGTCAAGCAGCCCTCGAAGCAGTTGAAGTATTTGGGTTCCGTAAATGGGGCCTTATCAACCACAGATTTCGTTTTCAACTATTCTCCCCCGGAAGTTGGAGAAGCACCCTACGTCCAAATGGTACGCTTTTGACATAGCGACGACTTTTTGTAATTAATTTTATAATAGTACCTCAATTTTAGATTGCAACAGATTTCTCAGATTTTGCATAAAACTGACGATTTTGCAAAAATTTTAAAATTTTATATTCTATTTTCTAAAGTATACTTCAATTTCAGATTGAAAATCACCTTCTCAACAAACTCCCCTCCAGCGAGACTCACCTTTCCTGGAAATCCTCCAACGATTCCTCACCCCTTCTGACACCCACCGTTCGATACACGTACACGCCAAAAGGTGACAAACTCCTCAAAATTCACTACGCCACTCAAGCAACGACACTCGTCTATTCGTACAACGCTCTCGGCTTCATGGACAAAGTGTTCCTCGTGCGGGACGACACAGAACCCGCCTTGCTCGCGAATTTCGAATACTCGGCGTCAACCGGAGGAGTTGCGATTGAACGGATTTTCCATACCGCAGAACCGCCATCCAAGAGTCTCGAGGTGCCCCCATTGACGACAAACATTGAATACAACTCTCCCGGGTATCCGACCTCTTGGGAAAATGCATTCTTTAAGGAAGAAATCAGTTATACGCATCCAGGTTATGGCGACGTGCCGATGGGACAGCCCGCTTATCCGACCGCGTTAACTTGGACGGGCACATGGGGACCCGCTAAAACGGTGGGTTGCATAGAATTTTGACTTGTATCGAGGGGAACTTTAAACTCTTTGAAAAAATTAATTTCAGGTTACCCCTGAACGTATTGCTCAAAGTACTGGATTAAAATTATCCTCCGCCACCAGGTGTCATACGGCTCTGATTGCGGCGAGATATTTGGACATCGAAGGCTACATCCTGCGACGCTTTGTTCCGGTCCTTGACGTAGAAAATTTGCCAATCATATGCAACTTTGGAGAGTATGCTTGGGGCATTGAAAAATTAATGGGGTCCGTAACGTCACTCCGTGGTTACGGCTACTCATTTCAGTACGGAAACTACAAGGAACTATTAAAAGCGAAGTTTTATGACCCACGTGACGTTACTGAGCGTCCCTACTGCACAATTCCTCTAACGCTGACCACACTGAAAAATGCTTTAGACAAACCGCAAGATACGGTTAAGAATCTTTGGAAGCAGCTTGGCGATAAAAAGTACATTTTAGAAGATTCCGACAAAGGTCGCAGCGGTATTAGCCATGGCGAAGCTGGAGATTCTCTTTTAAATGGTGTTCAAATGACGGCTGATCTTAGCAATCTGATCCCAGGCGAAACACTTTTTGAATATGCCGAGCCGATTGGGCGTGTCCTTGGAACCCGGATTGGAAAAACGTTTGGAAAGAACGAATTTTCCGACATGTTTGTCAAATGGCAGGAAAATCTTAGCAATCAAACGGATGTGATAGTTGACACGATTTGGTCAATGTTTAGTAAACAAGGCTATCTCGATGCCAATGGCGCAGTCACGAGCAAAGTTCTTGACGCTGGGTTCAGCTCAATCGTCTCCAGTATTCAGAATCTCGACGTTTCCTCCGTATTCAAAACCCTGCTCGACTTTTTCCTTTGCGGCGTCAACACATCCGCGCAGGACATGCAAGTCTACCAAAGTGACATGCATGGAAACATGGAGCTCTTCTATAACGGTCAAGACCGCCTAAATTTTACCTACAAGGCGGGAACCAATCAAATTTTGGGCTCGGTCTTAACCCTCCCGAGCGGGGAGAATGAATCCAGAACATACACCCACGATATCAATGGCAACTTGAACTCTATTTCGCAAGATGGAGCTGTTCTCCTCAACCTGACCTATGACCCGCTGACCAATCGTCCCACCCTTGTCAAGTTATTGGACGGAACTGAACTCCGATTTGCATATGATTACAAAGGAGAACGTGTCTTCAAGAAGGTGTTCGACAAAAATGGGCAGCTCGTCAAGGAGATTCGATACCTAGGTCGTGACCTGGACAGAAAAGTGCTGACGGATCAAGTGTTGACATATTCGTCTCCAACTTTGCCGCCTAAGGTGGTTACGACATCCTACTTTTACGGGCCTCGAGGCCTGTTTGGGTTTCTGAGGGATGGAACCTACTACACCGTTCTCGTTGATCGGATTGGATCACCGCGATTAATATTGCGAAATGGGGAGGTCGTTGACGGTTTCAATTATCTGCCGTATGGGAAGGTTTCGTCCACGTGGAAACTTGGGAATGTCGGAAATCATGGAACTGATCCAATACTGCGCTACCTATTTACAGGTATGGCAAACTTATTCTAAAAATCTATATTATAAGCTGGAAATGTTTGTCTGCAACGGAAGTGAAAGCCTTTTCCGTGACGGAAGTGGAAGTGGGGAAAGTTTCACTTCCGTTTCCAACCGGCATTTCCAGCTAATAACATAGATACAATACAAAAATAATTCGGTGGAATTATGAGCAATGCCACTTAATTTTCACGAAAATCAAATAAGCCCGCGGAAGACGGGCTTATACGCTAGTAAACTATGTTCTGAACACCTTTAATAATAATCATCAGGCCAAGAACTAGACGAGGAGACGGGCCTTTACAACTTTCACTACCGCATGTACGACCCCACCTTGGGCCGCTTCTACCAAGTTGACCCCGATGAGCAGTACTTCAGCCCGTACAAATATGCCGGGAACAGTCCAATCCTCATGGTGGATCCCGATGGCCGATTTGGGTTCCTCATTTTCTTCATCGCTGTTGGCTTAGGCCTACTCTTCGGCTATCTTGGGATGGCGGCAGCCAACGGGACGTGGGACCCTACCAAGTGGCACTGGGACAAATGGCAAACCTGGGTTGCCGGAATTATTGGATTTGTGTCCGGGTTCTTGTTGCCGTACGGTTTTGTAGGGACTGCTGAAGCATTGGTAGGCTATCTTGGAATTAGTAGTGAAGCAGCGGTAGTCCTGACTATAGGGTTGGGTGTGGGGGGAGCGTATTTGTCGGCGGCAGCAAATTTTAATGACTTCAACCCGGCCCACTGGGACTGGTCGTCGTAAGTGATTCGAACTATAATTTTAATTTGAAGTATTTTTCACCAATGATTTTATGGTTTGACCTCAAACAGGCCTGGGGCTTGGAACGCCCTTTTCAACGGCTTCGCTTTTGGAAGCAACATCGTTGGAGGGGTCAAGGAGGTGTTTGTGTTCTATGATAAACTCGATTCTGTAGCCATGAAGGCTTTGCTTATCGGCGGATCCACTTTTACCGGAGCAGGACTGGGATATATTTCTGGAGTTATGGCTAATCAACTCGAGGATGGCAGTTTTCAATGGAATCCTGCCAAGTGGAATGTGAACGGGGCTACTTTTTTCGCAGTTGTTACGGTAAATTAATTCGTCTGAATTATTTTAGTCTTCCTCATTATTTTAGTATTATATTATTATTTTATTATTTTATGTAATGCAGAGCGTGATTCAGCCTTTTGAACTCACTTTAATTTATTTTCTTATAGCTTTATTTTTCGTTTGTGAATTTAGTCAATTGCTTCAATGTATAGCCCATTAGTTTGCCTAACGAGGTGCAATCGATTTTCTACTCGATTATCACGTCTGACACTTTTTTGGAGTTATTTTGTGCCGTCCGCCCGTGAAAAGTTGTCCAAAACCCATTTAGCGCCGCCTTGAAAATCTCTGCTTCAAGTGCTCAAATCCCAAATTATCTATTTGAATAATGTCAGGCGACTCGTCAATAGTAATTTTAATTTAAGTAAGATTTATTTTTGGATGTGAATATTTCGTGCAGTTTTCGCGAAGTTACTTTGAAATTCTTGATGTAAGACGGCTTGGGGGCGTGTACCGGGTCCTCCTCCGCGTTAATCTCATTAGGTCTGAGGGAATGACCCTAAAAAGTGTTTCCTCACTCATCCCCAACATTTCGTTATGCTTATCTGTAGTGACGGATTTTTCTTGCTGACGAAATGTGCAATCTTCTGCAACGCGTCCTCAGTCCTGGCTGATCTTGGTTGCCGTTTAGGTGGGGATAGAACTTCACCCGATGCTGCCACCCTCTTTATGTGTATGTCATTTACTATACTGAAAACGTAGATTTCAAATCTGACATTGAATCCATATATCGCCAGCTTTTAACAATTTGGAAAACGCTTGGGGTATCTTGGTGCACAGGACGGGGTATTTTGTAAACTGTTCCTTGAATATCTGGGTTCAATACGTGCAAATTTCGATAATCCAGGGTGTTTATAACACTTGTTATCTCAAGAAATGAAAGTGAGTTCAGAAGGCTGAATCACCCTCTGTACTGCTTTCTCGCTTATCCAACAGGGCGGCCTTGGTGGTGCCACCCTACCGGTTGGACTCATAGGGTTGAAAGATGCGCTTTTTGGGTCGCCTAAGGAGGCAGTCCCTTTCGCGGACGAAGGACAAGAACTAATGGAAATGTCTTCCGTTCGACATGGAAGTATAAGCAGCATGGACACCGTTACTATGGTCTTCGACGATTCCGCGAGTCTCTTTTCAGAGGGAATCGAGGCTCTTCAAGACACCGTGAGAAATGACGACGCCTTCATCGACAACTCGTTCAATCTGCCATACAACACGAATAACGATGGTAAATATGCTTCTTAGAAAATTATTTGAATGAGTTATAAATGCAGGGTCCTTGTTTTTATTTCAGTGGCAAATTTTGTGAGAAACACCGATAGAAATCTGCCCCTGATTACTTTCATTGTAGAAAATCTCAACATGAACTTGGATAATTTAATTAGACACCTCGGTCCTAAACGAGCGAGATCTTTGAGATTAAATGCTCCTATAAATTTCACAGAGCCAGCGATTCTGGTTTTTCTGGCCAACAATGACTACATAGTGTTGGAAGGGGTTGGAAAGGGTTTCCACCCGGATGGAGGCGTTTATCTCTTTAACTCGACGTCAAATCCTGACCTTTTTAACATGCTGGCAGAGTCAACAGGACAAGTGGGTACAATTCCGGTGGGTAATTTAACCGTGGATATTGCAAACTTTTTAAGTTTACGGAATGCTGCTGCGATAACTACATTTATGACTACCTGGGGCAATGCGGTGAGGTCAGAGTTAGTTAAAATTGCTGGGGTAGAGCCATCTCTGGACAGTGCGGCGTTCCAAGAAGAAGTCGTGAGAAGACTTATGCACGCAATAAATAGCCAGCCAAAACTGGATCTGAGCAAGAATGAAGTTGTTAACTGGGTTGTTATGACCGCGATGGAGGGATCTTTGCGGGACGTTTTGCTAAATCCGATTAAAGAGAAGGTTAGCAAAGATATGCAGAAATGCAAAGTCATTCGAATTGTTGAAGTTAATTTAGCATTATTTTTTATAAGGACGATAATGCTAGCGACCAATTAGTTGACGTACTGGGTCGAATGGGACAGCTCGTGGCAGGGTCAAACATTGTGCAGATTATTGCTTCAAACCAGACGCCAAATTATACCGATGTTATGCTTCCGCTTTCTGAACGATGGGATATTCCCACCAGTTGCGTACAATCGGGCGAGATTTGTGTAAACGGGCCACCGCAAGTAGAGGTAACTTTTTATTAGTAATTAATCAGTAAAATATGTTAATTATTTAATTGTTTGATTGACAAATTAACAGGTCGGTAGCGTCCCGTTTCTAACTTCTTTCAAGGCCAAACCTGAAAATCACATTGTTCCCAATTCCATCCTCTCCAACGACGGCCTTGTCCGGGGGATGAATATTTTGGACATGGTTGACTTTACAAACGTGTCTCACGTGGATCCCCTTCTTGAAAAGTTGACCAGTTTTGACGGACTTGATGGCTTCTGCTACTTTAATAACGCAACTTCTTGTCCGAATAAGGAAAACTTGGGTAACGATTCGTTTGAAAATGAGATTTTTGTTAGAAATCGAGTAAGACGTGCAGCACGGGAAGAATCTGCTACGTCCAGTAGCTCCAGTCTCCATGGTTCAAACATGATAACTCGAAGTGTTAAATTGATTCGGGGGTAAGCGGCTGGTTAATTGATTTGCATATTAATCTAATCACTTTTATTGCATCGATTTACCAATCTCTTCCAGACTTTGGGACAGGATCAGCCCAGTCAAGCCTAAAACGGATAAGTCTCACCCTACGCAATCGGATATCTTACACAGTAAAACGAGGTCACAAAACCAAGCTGGGTCACCTTCTATGTGGAAAAAATGTGTCCCTTGGGCGCACGACGGGCTCGGCTACGTCGACGGATTCACCTGCATGGGCAACAAAGGTGTGGTCTCGGTCGTCCCACTTTCACACGAGGCATTGGAAACCAATCCAACCTCGTTGATGACCACCGATTATGGCGACACGTATCGAGACTGTACTTTCTACAGGGACCCGACCCGACCGTTTGGTTCGGCCCATTGCACAGGCAACAAAAGCGAAATGCATTACACATCTTGGATGGAACAAAGACCGTTTGATCACTTGAACGACCACCTGCTCATGGTGGCATTGATCCTGCATTTTATTCGAGTCAGTAAGGATGACGAGGATAACGTGAAATCGGATCTGATTTCCACGGATGACGAAAAAATGACAATGTGGCGTCAAACCCTGGACGATATTGCAAATATGTTGGAGTTCTTGACTATTAGGGTATGAATTAATTTGCCTATTAATAATTAGATTAAATAGCAAAAATATCAATAATTACATAAATATATTTAATTGATCGGTTTGTTTAGAATGATGCTGATCAATGGTGTAGCGTTTGGGGACGTCGTCTTCTCCAGGACAGGATCGACGATTGGGACACATTCTACCGAAAGGGAGCAGCAACCTTGGAAGAATTTGAGATTTTCGAGGAAGACTTGGAGGCTTTGTGTGAAGAAGTTGGCGAACTGGTGGATAATGCTATGAAGTTACTGTGAAATGTTCAACATTTTTTAAAATTATTATACATGTAAATTTTATTTCATTCGTTTACCCTTTATAATCATGGAATTCAGGGAATCCTTGATATTTTGTTAAATCCGTAAGCTTTGTAAAATAGATTTACAAACTTTAACAAAAAAAGTTACTCTTGTGAATAAATTTTCAAGAATTTGTAAACTAGTTTTCATTAGATATACTGATAAACCGTAGCAAAGGGGTGAAGTAACGCTGTCACTCATCGTATGTCAAACCCATGTCCATTTTTGAAATCCTCGCCAAAACTAAGCGGTCAAACCAAAAAACTCGGCATCTTTGACCGTTTACCTCATCACCTTGGAGCCGTGACTTTATGACCTACAACGCCCATCTTCGAACTCATCCGTACTTCAAAAATTAGAAACATGCTGGCGAAAAGCACAAGTCGAAATTCCAATCCGTTCTAAATTTAGACGAAAAGTTAACTTTGAGACATACGGACAGGATATTTCCATAAGAGATTTCGCATCGCTTCAGGCCTTAATAAAATACAGTTTCATTTGCTATTATAGTTTGTTCCATGTAATAAATAAATATGTATGTAGTTCATCACTCGTAGCTACCTACGTAAATAAGTATTTACATATTTCCTCTGTGTACATATGTATGTATGTTAAGCTTAATTAATAAATAGAGTGTGTCCAGAAAGTTTCTCCCTGTCAACCAGTAATGATTTTTATTATCTTACAAGGAAAGGGAGACTCAAATGTTCAAATTGCCATATTTTTTTTAAGTGGCGAGAAGGCTTAATATTTACCTTTGGGATCGTGTAATAGTGCCAAAGAAATTGCAAAATGAAACTTACAGATGCAAAAGCTAGCAACCAAGCGCGAGTCATCGGGAGGAACTTTTGGACACCCTCTACGTGCAAATATGTTTGCATTTGTTTGAGAGGATAATATTTAAACACGTGTAGAATCCCATTATTAAGTACGTACATACATACGTAGAAATTTGTATGTAGCTCCTTTAAGCGAAGTTCTTCTTGCATACTCCCAAATAGTTTGAAACTCTGCTTTCAGACATCGGAAATTTATCTGCTTATCCAAACAATCATGTTGCTGTAAATATTTATCAATATCCTGCCGAAATCTCGAATCAAAATATATAATTTAGAAAACATGCAAAGTCACCTCAATGTGTAAGTTTAAATACAGACATTATTTCTCTCATCATATTTACACTGCAGGATAGGCATCAGACACAAGGCAAATAAACGTTCATAACCTAATTATTTATTTATACTACCGGTTTAGAAATAAATAGCTGAATGAATTCTTTAAATTATAAGACCACGTAAACTTCATATACTCACTTTGATGGCACGATTAGCTTAATTGTCGTTCACCATTCATTAAGCTATTTAGATAATTTCCGGATAATTCGAGTGACATAATGTCGCAAAATCTTCAACACAATTTCACGGATTCTATCCGCTTGTTCAAATTTGAACTTCTTAGTTCCAAGATCCACCATATTATCCCGTACTACTTCGACACCGTCTCACAAACGGTCAAAGTTTACCGCAATCCTATTCGATTATTTGTTTCCCGATTACACTTGCTTATCGTCGGAGGTCTTCTGACGCTAATGTTGTCGAATCTTTCTGCACCCCACACCATGCAAATAACTTCCTTGACGGACAAGATACTTGGCGTCTACTTCTGGACATGCATGTTTTTCTTGTGGATCATGACGTGTGACATTGATCGCAAAAAGGAGGAGTGTGCCCTTTTGTGGAATACGCATCTCTCCTTTGAAAAAGAGTACTTGATACGTAAGAGAAATTTATGAAAAATTGATCCTTATTTATTTGTAACCATGAAAACTTTGTAAATTTTACAAATTCTTTTGTAAACCTTACAAATTTATTTAGCAATTTACAAAATTCTAGCCTTCCTGGATAAGAACCGACCTATCAAAAAACTTGGCATTTTCATGGGAATCTTGTCCATTTCAACAGCAGTCGGAGCACCGCTGTTATGTTTGTTAAGAATATTAATTGATAATTAAAAAAAACATTAAAAAGGATGAGATTTATTTTAGGTTGTGCTCTACTAATTTACAATCCTTGTATGCCACCATATTTGGGATTCGTATTTTACAAGGAGGATACAAATCAGTGCAACCTTCCGGAAGGATGCACTATACCGATGATTCTTCTCTTAATTGATACAAGTGTCTTGTTTACCGTTTTTTCTCTTCCCCCAATACACACGTTCCACGGAGTGTTTTCAGGACCCTTGTGCCTTGATACGTATATCAAAATGCTGATCAGGTTTCAGATTGTGTTTGGCAGTAAAATTTCAAGATTGGGCCCGAAATAACTCGTAATTTGTCTTTTAGACGGATTAATTCCATATCCACTGACATTTCGGACCAATTGGACCTGGCATTTCACAACTATCGACAAATCTGTATCATTGGTCGGATGCATAACGATTTGTGGGGAAGTGTCTTGATCCCGGCGATTGTCTGCACTTCGTTTATCTGTCTAACACTAGGTATGCATTACCTTGTAATTTTATGAAATTTGAAAATTATGCAATTTTAGCTCTAGCATAATTTCTCGAAAATTTATAACATACTTAGTTTGTGCACATGCACATGTACCGTGGAATTATTTGAGCGTGACACCTCATTTGCATAAATCTCAACATAATTAAACTAATGCGTCAAAATGTGCAAATGAGGTGACATGCACAAATAACTCAACTGCAAGTTCCGCGACTGAAGGATAATTTCTCAATTTTCAGGATTATACGGCTGCATCATGCTTCACGATGATATCGAGTGGCCAGGATTTGCCGTATTTATTCTGGGACCTTTGGACGCCTGCTTTGTCATCGCTGGGATGGGATTTGCATCAAATGTGTACAAAACTTCGACCGAGTTCATCCAAGTTCTGCTGAGACGAAGTGGTTCATTTTTCCGTGATGAGGCATCAATTGGAGAGAGTCATCGTCACCTGTCTCGATATTGCAGAAGGGTGGCACGGTCATTACCATGTATAAAAGTTAGGCTGGGCTCCACCAATTATTTTGACAAAACGACACCATTGATATTTACGGATTTCTGCATTTCACAATTAGTGAATATATTGCTCGTGTCTGCGTAATGGTTCAGTATATATGTATTTTCGTATTGATTAAGATATATGTTACTAAATTACTGTTGGAAATGTATAGTTACGTACATATGTATGTATAATTCGGAGATTATAAATGTGTACATAAATCGAAACCTTTCGCTATGAACAAATAACATTTTGACATTGTAGAATACGTAGATTAAGGATGAGCGTAATTAGTAATATTGAACATGTAAATGCATCCATCTGTACCCATGAGCTGTCAGATGTGAGCTACGGGGGGTGAGGATGATGATGATGGTAGCGGTTGAGAGAGATGCGGAATAAGTGTTGACTCTACGAGTTGCCAATGCAGAGTGATCTTTATTATACGGGGTGTGAGTATTATATACTGATACATCCACCGCCACGTTTTTGAAATTTTTGTATATATAAAAATTTCGAAGCCAATTTGATAATTACCCTATGTAACTAAATGTACATAACAATGGGCACACTAGTACTACTTAAATGTTCAAAAACTATACAAATATTATCACTATTCACTATCTAGTACAGTTATACAGTGAACACCCTGTATACAAATCTTATGTGCTAAACTTATGCATAGATACATACGAATAAAAATGTTGCTGGTGTTGAATCAACTCACTGCACTGCATACCTGGGTGATAAAAAAAACTCGCCAAACAAGTCTTATCTTTTCAATCGGTCGGCAGCATCACTTCAACTGTATCACAAGGCAAAACAGCACCATATGTACACTATACATAATAAAGTTCTATTCCTACTGCGAATTATACCATGCTTAAATATCACCATATAAACTTACGTAGGCATATTAAGGTGTCCTTTAACTCACAATTAAATGTACAAACTGTTCGATACACGCTCTAATACAGCAAAGAACACTCATCCCCACTGAATTATACATATTTAACACTAACACAATCTTTGCAATAACACCGGAACCCTGCAACTCACTCCGCATCTTATTATTCGCATCTTATGTTCTAACTTACAGATTATTAACAACTCGTGCATAAGTACTTAGAAATAATAATCATACATACATATATATAGTGAAACCGACTTATAATGCACTATCTACGTTATAAATTATTGTATACAGAGAATTCAGACACGACTTGTTTCAAAGACAAAATTATATGCATAGGAATCGTATACTGCTTTCATACTGGCATATATTACATTGCATAGTAAAATAAACATCCATACATATATATTACTAGCTTATACAAGTTCTCAAGGCAGTTTAGTTGCTACCAAAAGTTGCAGTTGAGCACTTACAGCATACATAGTAGTTAGATACTGAAGAAATCCATCGATTCGTGAGTTGAACTCACCAAATAAATACATTGTGTTTTAATAAATAATCAAAAATGGAATATCTAAATTTGGTTTCAAAAGTGTACTTAAGTACTACTGCTACCAATTACAGAGAATCAAACGAATATTACGATTTTTCACAGTCACACAATTTGCTTAAAGTGTAGAAATCATACAGACATACATAATGCTGAATTCGTCAACATTTATCCATGTGGTGAGGGTAGGAGCTGAGCTCCTATAGAAATTACTGTGATTATTGCATGTGAATAACTTTGCTACGCGAAATTTACATAGATGATGATTGCTACAATTTAACCAATGTTTCAATTGAAAAAAAAGATATTACAATTTTGGTTGCAATAGTGTTTAATTACTACATAATTATTGGTGACGTGAGATTTAAAATTTATAAATATTACTAAAATTCAAATTTGGGAGGTACAAATACAGAATAGTGTAGTTAAGAAATTCTACAACTACTTTAAAGATTATCCTCAGAATTTTGGAAATTCTAATCAAATTTCGAAATGCGTGGAATTGAAAATATTTTGACAAGTCTGAGTTCTGTGACATAACTTCATATACGAATTTTTTTGAACAAACATATTATAACTAATCCCTAGTCAGGCACGTTACTCTATATTATTGTCATTAAAGTCCACATAATGATTTTTTTGATATTTTGGTTCTTTTTTGTACATAGCTACACTCAATAATAAATCCTGATGGAACGACCCGACATATATCTGGGTTTGAGACAATTTTTAAGTACATACATACTTTATAACTACGATGTTGATTATTTAACTTAGTCAATGAACTTCTAATTTTTTTATAAATCACATGCATGGAATCGAATCAAGGTTGACAAAAAGCAGACAGCATATTTTAGATAAGTGCAACATAGTTATTTATGAGTTAGAAATTAATTTCAGTTGTTGGGACTAACTTACAGTTTGCGAATCATAGCTAATTAAAAAATTTTTTGTGATTAGTTGCAGAAACACTGCGCGATTGCACTCGCTCCTCTCTTCGTAATAATACGCAATCCTCTCTCGCGTCTCAGATGCAAAAGCAAATGTTGCTGTCACTTCTTCTCGGAGCAGAACATGCGTGAAAAATGGGATGAGTTTTGTGTCCATCTGAACCCGGGCAAGACTAAACATTCGTTTATAATTCGCTTAATTATCCTAACAATTCATAATTTTTAATTTACGTGTAATACATGTGTTCATAATAAATTACAGAATGCTCTCGACATATTTGACAATTATTAAAAAAAATCACTAAATCGTGTAATCGAATTATTAATTAAGGAATATGTATGGCCCTATCATATAGCGTGTGCAATTCCAATTACAACACTAGCGCATTAGCATTACATACAATTTTATAGCCAGCAAATAACCACAATTTAACAACTATCAAAACTATTTAGCAGCACAATGCGTTCGTGTAACTAACTATTGTCATTCATACAACACACCCAATTTTAAATAATCTGAGTTCTTATACAATCATACTTATATGATACAAATTAGACTTATGAAATTAAACACAAAATATACTATGCATGAAGTTAACAGTACAATTCATATACAAAATACTATGACAAGGCAATATAAGAATTATTATTAGGCACTATTTAATTAAAATTATACAGTCGCTGCTAATATATAATTTATGTGAGAGTACGGTGTAATAGGCTACTAATTACTTTTGACTGATTACTTATTTAATTTTCTCTCCTCCAAAGCCATTCAAAAATACAGAATACAATGTGTAACAAGCTACTGTGTCATACGTGCTCCTGATTACTTTGATTGGTTGATCAGGTCAATCAATGTACTCGTGAGAATTGATGATTTCAAGAGATTAATGCAATTATCAGAAACTAATTACTCATTCAACTCGAATGTATCTGGGAATTGTTTTCCTCTAACATTGTTCACTCTTAGGATTGGGTTAAACAATACAAGAAAAGCATATATAATTTTAAGTGTTTAAGGCAATCACAATTTATGACAATTATGGAAACAGTTATCTGTTGGTTTAATCTGACTGGTAGTGGAATTTCGAGTCAGATCTAAAACAATAAAATTAATTGGTGATGGGTTTAAGATTCATTTGATAACTATTCCTCCGTGAATTGTTGGACACTTCATCTTGTCACTCCACTCTTTATTAAATCCGCTTTGGTGGTGGTATCAGGGCACTTGATTGTTATGGACAATTAATGCTCAATGTCATTGAAAAGTAGTTAGTACTCGTGCTTAATGAACGATGCTTATGATTAGCTAATACATAATACTAATTATCTCACATTGCCTTCCCGTAACATAATGCTAAGTAGTGAATTTATGTAAGATACGTATGTACATACGTAAAGTTAAATATTCCTTAACACCTAAATTCTAAAGCTTACATACACCAGCATTACACAACTAAAATTAGGCTACATATGCTATACAAAAATTTTCTCACTATGTATACAATGCAAATTTCTTGGTTAGGTTAATGAAAGCTATATATATTTTTTTATTTTCGGTCGTCGTCTATGTCGTGATTAAGATTTTCAGATTAGAAAGATATGATATTTGTTCAAAGGAAAACGTCATAGTAACCGAAAAAAATAACTCTTCTGATGATTTTGGATACTGAACTATTTAAATTTTGACTTGTAACTACTTAAATTTTGAATAATTTAATTTTTAATGGTTGTATGATTTTTTTTGGTAAAAATGTCTATAGACTGGTAGAACTGGTGGATAATCGACAGTATCGATATCTAATTGTGATCTGAATATTCTGCCTACATGAGTATTATCCCATGAAAAGACGTTGCGATAGGTACGAATTAAATTATACAGCTTTTCCTTAATTGGAAGAGGTACATCTCCGATCTTGATTTTTGCGAAGTCAATGACACTCTCGGGAATGTTCTTCTTCACGATTGGGGTACTGTTTGAGATTGCGCGTGGAATGTCGTTAATCTTTAAAGTGTTGGAAAATTTATCCTGCACAATGGTGGACGAACTAAATATGAAAGGGTCATTATTCGCTTCATGCGCATCACTACTGATGTTATTGACTTTTATCCGCCTACTTGGTACCTCAAAATCTCTCCCAGTATAGAATGGAATTAACCCGAAGTGGGTGGAATGCACACTCTTTCTTGATTCTAATACATCTACTATGATCATAAATTATAGAAATATAGTTTTATAAGAAAAAAAGTTGGTGGTTCATTAGTTTCTCGTCGTTTTAAGAAAAGCACTAAGTCGTAGTCGTTACTGTTGGTATTTGGTCAGTTCGGTCATTCTCCTGTTAAGTACGTCGGCTTGGATACTGGTTTTGATCGAAGAATTGCGCTTCCCTCTTCTTGATTTGTTACTTGCGATTGCTTCATCCTGACTCTTCGTTACAATCGGTTTGTTCTGACGTGAACCTGGGGTCAATGTTTCTTTTGCTACATCGTGATGGTTCAACAAACTGCATCATGACTCAAAATAGGTGTAGTCCCTCATGGCATGGAAGATTTGCATCATTTATCGGAGAAATGTGTCATTTATCGGAGAAATTTTTGATTGATTGATATCGGAGACTATATATGTACGGAGACTTGATTCTTTTGTTTCTTTGTTTCTTGTGACGTAGATTGAGCTCTGGCCGTTTGTATTGCTTTTTGTTGCTTCGTTTGATTCTATCGCTTAAGATATAAAATTGCGCCTGGAATGCGGTATATCTTCTGAGAGCGTCCTCCCCTTGTCGCGATTACGCGTTAATTTGCGCGTTGCTGCAGCTGTAGTATATTGAAGGCTTTGTTTGTTGCGTAGAGACTGAGATTATCTATTATGCTTATTAATAATGTTGTAAATGACGCATGATTCAATGCTTTTAATTCTTCTTTGCTGATGCCATGATTTTTCCTTGCTGTTTTCGTCTAAAAACTGGTTTGACCCCCTTGACTTTCCTTCATATCCCTAGAGCTTGTACTGTTTGCAACCAGTGCTTTTGGGAAGATTCCATAGTAACTTTTCACAGTCCATGTTGTATAGCAATAGCGTCCCTTCTTCCATCGCAAATTTGTAATGAGAATTGTTCTTTTTGTTCATTTTCCGTGGCTGTGACTATTAGTTCAGAAAAGAAGATAGAAAAGAAGAGATAAATGATTAGTCTGTAGATTTTGCATCACTGACAGTCCATACGAAACCAGTCGTAAAGTAAGATATGTTGAGAAATTCGTAAGATTTTAAGAAACTTGTAGACCCTAGAAGATTGTCCATGTTAAATAGATTGATGCTTTGGCGTCTTAGGATTAGCGTCATAGAAAGTCACGTATTAAGATTTTTATGACAAGAGTTTCTTGACCGATACCTTAGCTGAAACATGCTACTAAAGAAACAAGGCAGAAACTGATTATTAAATAAAAATTGTTGTTGAATCACGTATCATGTTCATTGTTATGAAAGGTTAATAGCTTCATTCGCCTACTTGTCACCTCTAGAAAAACTCCTTTGCGCTAGCACATCCATTAAGATTGTGGGCACTGAGCTGTATAAATTTCAAGTTCAGCGACTCTACAGTTAATGACCTTACTTTTATTCAAGTTCGTGAGCCTTATAATTATAATTTCTGTTGAGCTGTGCATGATTTTTATATATCTACTCTTACTAAAAAAATTATACCATTACCGATAAATGCAACGAGCCTGTGCCGTTGATTAAATTTATTATCCTAAAAACGGGTTGGTTTAGCGTTTTCTGCCTTTCTCTGATGATGTAGCTAATTCCTAGTGATGTATTTAATCCCTTTATGTACATACCACCTGCCGACTCAATCCGTCCGCTCCCATCTCACTACATAGCGGTGCCACGTCTCTCGCCTCTATACTGGTTCTGCCTGCGCTTCAGAGCATTGCACTCGTGGGTGAAATGCCCAGCCATCCTGTGGAAATTGCAATAGGGAAGGCGATCCTGATGTGATTGACCCTCGCTGCGGCTCCGTTCAACATTGTATCTTCTCTTTGATGATCTTTGTTGGCACGAACCTCGATAATATATAAACTTCTGACCCGGAATTCCTTCAGATGATGATGCATTGCCCGGTCGTCGCTCCTTGCGGTCTTGATTACGGGGTTGATCACTAATCGTTAATACAACTAGCATCTTCCTCATAAAGGTCCCAATTAATGCATCCAATGCATCGTTTCTTTCGGAAGTGAAATATTTATTGTCACTCATTGTTCACAAAATTGTTGAGTTCGTGGCAATATTTCATTCAAATTAAAAGTTAACTCGTCTCCTCTTCCAGTATAGTTACCTGACTTTCTTCATATAATAGGCGCATAAGCTCATTAAATGTAATCACGCGTTTTTTAAATAACTTTTTAATAACTACAGACAACTGAGGATTATCGATCCCACGAATTGTTAATCTCACTGCTTCTCTTTCCGCTATTCTGCTAATGGGAAAGCTTACTAAGGTGTCTTTATATTTAAGATGCGCTCGTTTGATAAAGTCGTTCATGTGTTCACCTGGTTTAAATTTTAGTCCTTTGAACGTCTTCTTCAGGTGATTAATAATTGCTGGGTTGGGTTCGCGAAAATTCATTGTGGTTGAACTGGCAGCACTTACAGAGACTTGATTCACGCTCTGTAGAACACACCTTTATCTTTCATAATTTTAAAGTTTTTCATGAAGTCATCAATTTCCAAAGTATCAATTAATTGTTCAAATGTTAGCGCAGCTCCTGCTGATATCTCATTCTTGTGGTCACTGTTATGAAAAAAGAGAGACACAGACAGAGTGCTTCCTCCTCAGTGATGCAACTCAGAGGAAACTTATTTTTGGTGGTACAAAACAATAACTGAGCCCTTCTTAAATAAGTTTCTATTGGTTCTGCATATTCACGTTCTAGGTTTCTAAACTGCTGACGGATTTTGTCTCTAACATCCGAATTCATTGTCAATGTTTCACTTGCCTTAAAAACACACCGCACAAATGTCTAAACTTGGCGTCAGTTACTGGTCATCGAGATTGGTAGTACACCAACTATCACGCAAGAAGTTCAAGTCGCGATTAACGAATTTTATGTAGACTTGACATTAATTTTAATAATTCTGGGAACGAGGAAAAATTCGAGTCGCTAAATTGTGGATGATTTAACGCGTGGTGGCGTAATTTCGATACATATCTAACTGGCAACAAACTAATCACACTGTCGACTACCTGTTTCTCGTCGAACCACATTAATTTTGACATATCGACAAAGAACTGGAACTTATCTTTGACAAAGTCAATTTCACTCTGTCCGTACTTTGGAGGTCGAGTTATTAAAATCTTGTAAAACCGACGGGCATTTTCCTCCACAGGACGGTGATGACAAATGTGTGACATATTTCCTCACTACGCCAGTTAATTTCCGATACTACATAATTGTTGCTACCCTTGGTAAGAATTGGCACTGGCGTCTTACAATGCCCACTGGAGTTTCTTTAACTTGTTCATTTTCTGAGTCCTTAAGGCGCTCATCAGTCTCGCGTCTGCGGTATTCGTCCCTGGACAATATTTTACTGCCCCCACTAAAACTCGTTACATCCTCCCACACTTAGCTTACACCCCATAACTCCACCTCATGTATTGGTCCCCGCTCTTCTCGTATTTTGAGAAAGCACCCTGGTGTGAATACCACTGTCAGATGTGAGCTACGGGGGGTGAGGATGATGATGATGGTAGCGGTTGAGAGAGATGCGGAATAACTGTTGACTCTACGAGTTGCCAATGCAGAGTGATCTTTATTATACGGGGTGTGAGTATTATATACTGACAGAGCATCCTTCCTGGTTGTTGACAAACTTTGCTTTCAAATTCACAATTGCGACAGCATTGTCACGTAAATCTCACAGATGTATTTATCCTACATAAATACATTAGTTTTGATGGGGTTAGATGTGCATGATGAAATATGTGTACAACAACGTATTGAGTACATTTCTTATTCCTCCCATAATACAACAAATCCAATTCTTTTACTAGTAAGTTTCCGTGATTGCAGTTGACTTAAAACGTTTATGAAAATTGTTCCCTGATTTCACACTTAAACTTTGACTTTTAAACTTTCACACTTCAAGTAAATAAGGAATTTAACGAATAAAAACTACCAGTTTCACTTCCTTCCTTGCTTTCTTCTAATCATCATATTTATCATTACACTTAAAACCGAGACTTTGTAACTCAATCAAAACCTGTAATTCTGGTTTTTATTTATATGTATGTATACATATACATATATTTAAGCACGTACATATTAATAAATAACGTTATTTAGTAGTATCTGAAATTAATTATTCAATTACTAAAACTTATTAAATCGTACCTGGTAAGAAATTTCCATATATTTATGATTTTCCAGTTTTTTCCTCTTTACAGCAGATGGTAGAAAAATTTTATCTAGTTATGTATTTGACATTTTCTTTCTATCAAAATTCCTATCATATCATTACATAACAAGATATATGAAATCGAACCATATGCACCGATATGCTAACCAGAGGACAAAGTTTAATGTTGACAACCATTGATGTAAACTTTGTCCTCTATTAAAGTAAATATTTATGCATTTACAAAAATGCTGCATATTTCTCCCAATGCACATGATCGCTTGTTCCGTCTTCTCGGTTATGAATGTTTCACACCTGTAAACAGATCGACGAAAATCCTTTCAACCAAATCAATTTTAAATATACTAATATTTAGTAGTCAATCCACAACATCATTTAAATTTTAATACTACGGTCATGAAGATCTTACGTCAGCAAATAAACCATTCGTGTACATATGAAATCAACATGAACCTTCAGATACATCCTGAAAGTGTACTCAGAACAGAACAAAATACGGATATTCGACATAAATATTAGTTGGCCCGTCATTGGATTTGATTTTCTAAATCCACCTTGAAACATATTACTGTCAGCTTCATACATTGTGCAGAGGACTTCAGTTTAGTGCATGTTTAGATTTTAATCTAAAAAATAAAATGAGGACTATTATAACACTTTCTAAGTTGATTTATCCCATAGTCGTCGCCCTTTTTGCGTACCGCTCAACTTGTGAGGCGTCGAAAGTATGTGAATATTTACACAAATCTTTTTTAATGTTTGCCAATTAAAAATGCATAATTAGCGATTATTTAATATTTTGTAACTAAGGAAATTGTTCCTTGTGGAATCTGGAGTCCTAATTCAACCACTCCGCCCTGGGCGGCAACTTTATTGAGATATGGTGAAGACGGGAAGCTAACCGGAGTGGTTGCTGTCACTATAATTTCGCCAACCTTATTGCTAACGTGTAATTTATTGACTTACGAATTCTCATATATTTCAGTAGCATGATATATTTAAATGGTTTAATTTTAGCAAGGGTATCTTTCATAAGCCAAGATGATTCGCAGGGGCAGGTATGGTATAACCTCCCGAAGCATCATTATACCGTCGTCGTAGGAAGTGCCACGTGGGGTGGGGATGACGTGCATAGTAGAAGTCAGACTATCAAGGTAATACGACGAAATTATTGCCTAGTTAGTGTTCGATTTCTTGCACCTTTTCTACATTTTTTTGCACTTTAAAAAATGCAAGATACAAGAAATGCCAGAAATATGCACCAGTTAGCGGCTCACCAGTTAGCTGCTCACCAGTTATACAATACTTAATTATAGAGATTGTTCGCTAGATGACGGGTTTCTCTTGCATATCTTGTACTAGTGCAAGAAATTGGGCATCAAAAAACAATTTCCTGCATGTATTTTTTCACGTTACTCTTAAAATTATTAAATAGCTGATAACCATAAGACAAATAAACCCTCCAAACGAATATAAATAGGTAGCATCAGAGCCATTCAGAGCGATTCCAATTTCCTCTAACATTTCTCCATACATAACCTCATGGTTCTGAAGTCAAAAATATTGACGGCGTTAAAATCGTAGTGAAATTTCCTTTAAAATGACACCCCAAATGAAAATAAAGGTTAAGCTTAATTTTGGATCACACCCCCTTGCGCCGTAGGAGATGGTCCGATTGACCATGTTGACCCCATTTTCGAACTCGACCGAGAAATAAGAATTAGAAATGCAATGTCGAAAAGGGGGCTGGACTATGTTCTGGAGATATCCTGCTGACGGACGGACAAAATGATCATAATAAGCAGCTTACGCTACTTAATAATATTTATCTATGTATGTATGACTCGGAGTGCAACATATTTATTTATTTTATAAATTACGTAGTGATACATAGATATTTTGTAAATATGCATTCAGTTAATCTTTAAATGAACCTAAACAAACAAACACAATTATAATTTGTTACAGATAACGCACATAGCCTTGTTCCCCGTTAACAATACGTTTCAACCTTGGGGTATAATTCAAAACGTGGAAATGTTAATCCATCTGCAAACTCCAATTATTCCAACGGGAAAAATTTCACCGATTTGTTTGCCCCCCGAGTCTGGAAGTGTGGATCAATTTAATGCTATCCAACTAGAAAATGTGCACAAGTGCAAAATAGAGCTGGCCGGATGGAAGGACCGTGATGGAAATTTTGGTCAACTTAACCTCAGAGTACTGTCGACCTTAGAATGCCTTGAGTGGTGGAAACGTGAAGAAATTTCATATCATTATAAAAACAGATTTTGTGCTGTGATGGAACATGGTAAGTTTTTATATGCACCTAAATACGTACATATATGTAGCGGCTCTGTGGGTATCGTAAAAAAATATCTGAGTACTGTGAAAAATATTCGGGGCTTGCACGACCCTTGTAACTGTGGAATCGCAGAAAATACTGTAAATTTACAAAGGGTTAACTTAAAGACTTTTGTAAATAGGATTTTTTAATTCTCCATTTCTTGTGCATAACTATGGTGCTAAAAATTCTCCGACTTTTAGCTCTCACGAAATATTTTTTTACGAAAGAAAAACGTATCAACCTTGCGTATATTTACGAAGCTGTATTTACAAGCATAAAGTTTCGTAAATTTTGGTAAATTTACGCTATTTACGGCATTTTCCACAGTTACCAAGGTGACGTGAAAACCCTCATTTAGCCTTGTTTTGACACATTTTCTAAATCCACCCATGCTCGTTTGAATAACTTTTTTCTTTACAGACGATAAGCTCGGTACTCCATGTGTCACTCAAGATTTGGGCCCAACTAAAAAAATTAACGGGACTTACTACTTGATAGGACTAAGGAATATGTATTTTCCTTCAAATATAACTGGTTTATGCGACACTGATGCCATCTATTTTTTTATCAAATGGAAAAATAGAAATCTAAAATGGATCAGAAATAATCAAAGGTTTTATTTTTATTATTACTTGGTTTTCGAAATTTGCAGGGGTTTAGATATCTTGGCGATCGTTCTAAAATTTACACCTACACATATGTAACTTTTTAATTCTACAGATGTGGACCATACCAATTCACCTGTGGAAATGGGAATTGTATCCCATTACGCAAATTATGTGACTGGGTTTCAGACTGTGACGACGACACTGATGAAGATCAAGCTTATTGCGCAGTACATTACAAATGTCCTAGCAAGGATTTATTTTACTGCGGTCAAAGTTCGTCGCCTACTTGTATCCCAAACTCTAAAGTTAACGATGGCGTCATGGACTGTACATTTGGGAACGATGAGACAGAAGGTATGTACATACATAAATGCACATTCACAATTACCACAAATCCAACATTACCCCATTATTTGTCCACAGATCCCAAAACATCAGTTTATACAAAGACAATTTATTTTTTATCAACCTCTCTTGTCGGTATTCTCATCATATCGGCAATTATTGTAATATATTTGCGAAAAAGACTCCCTACAAAAATAAAGATTGAATCGCCCTGGAAGACAAACCCATCGCTGATCTGCTTAAACGAACTGGGTAACGGATCCTTCGGCAAAGTTTATCGAGCCAAAGACATCGCAGACGTTGATGACGATAACGAATATGCTGTAAAATGTTGCGATATTCGATTCGCAATGGGCCAATTTAATAAAGATTATTCCAGCAGCGACGAAGCTGGCAGTGCTCAGAATTCGTCCCATTTAACGAGCGAAATTCGAATTTTGCGCGAACTAACGTGCGACAACGTGGTGCGACTTTATGACTGTTGGGCAGAAACGGAAGAATGCAGTCAACAATTCCTGAACAGGTCTGGACTCGACAGACTTGTTAATGACAACAGAGAGTTGATGTCTTCAACTCAGTCCGTCAGCCCAAATTGCCCGTCAGGTTATATATTCATCAAAATGGAGCTGTGTTCCTTCACCTTGCAAGATTTCTTGGAAGAGGGGAAAATGTCCACTGACGGATTTGAATTTGCCGCCATTGCCACAGATATAGTAGCCGGGTTGGGATACATTCATGCCAAGGGGTACATCCACAGGGATTTGAAACCCAGCAACATTTTATGCAAAGTAGATTCACGTAGGGGACGCAACGTGTGGAAAATTGGGGATTTTGGCTTAACCATACAAATGGTGGACGAGTGGACGAGTGTAAGAACGTCGGGAATTGTGGGGACAATGATTTACGCTTGTCCGGAAATGGGAGCGGGTCAGAGTTACACCACAAAAGCGGACATGTTCAGCTTGGGATTGATTTTTATGGAAATAGGACAGTCTAATTGGAGCTCAGATGCGAAGATAAGGCGAGTATTCTTGAATTCGATACGCGGTGAGTTGGATGCCGAAAAACGATTAAGCCTTATTGAAAACAACTTGAGAAGCAATTGTCAAAATTTTGCAGTAATAATTAATCAGTTGTTGTGTCATAAGCCAAAGGCGAGGTTAAGCTGCATTCAGGTTGAAGCTAATTTGAAACGACTTGCAAATGCAGTCTAAATGACTGAAATATTTCGTAATTTAGCGAAATAAACATTAAGTTCTTGTACTCTTTATGCAAGAAAATCCTTTTGTTATTTATTAAGTATTTTGAAATTATTTTCATTTGCTTCGCAAATTTTCTCTTAAGTAATGCATGATTGCTATTTGTAATTAGGTTGTGATTTCAATTATACGACTCCATTGTAGTCAGTGTTTCGAGAAATTGCTCTTATAATTAGTAATTAGATATGTAAATACATAGATATATTTACATGTACATACAAGCTCATGGTCAGCGCTGTGATGATACTAAGGATCCGAAGTACTTTACTATTAATAAAAATATTTCTCTTGTATAATTCCACGAGAACACTAAATTCATCAGAAAACGTACTAAATACTCAAAGAATTCTAGTTTTCACAACTTTAAAAACGAAAATACGAACACATTTTGCATCATAAATATATTTTTTAATGACTTTAATTCAATTTTGCCAGAACAATAGTCAACAAATAAATTAATACGTATCCACCCACCCTTCGACCACTTCCCCCTCCCACATCCCTCGTGTATCTTTTCAGCACTAAATCCGTTCTTGATACCACGACGAAGACGGTATTCCCATCCTTTCCCACGGCAATATCGTGAGGGGCTTCAGACCCATTTACATCTTCTCCCAGTGGCGTTATGGGATATGACTTTATCACATTAGCACTTTCACTATTAATCTCAACCTCCACAAACTTTGCCCTCCCGGTGTCATCCGTCCCGTACGATACGTAAATCCGTCCAAACTTGGCGTCTGGATGGGGCGCGTGCGTCACTGCGAAGACCATCGGCATCCCGGAAGCTCCCAACTCTTGGTGATTCATTTCATACAAAAACGCTCCGGTAGAATTGAAACATTGAAGTCGAGAATTGTCTCTGTCAGCTACAAAGACTAAATATTCGGATGAATTTGAACTTGGCGCTAGTCCAACGGAATGCGTGATGTTAAAGGGTATTGGGTTGTAAGGGGTGTTGTACGACCCGGCGGAAAATTCAAATAGATAATTCCCATTCTTGTCAAACTTGACAATCCTACTGTTGCAGTAACCATCAGACACGAAGAAATCTCCACTTCCGGGAACAAGGGCAATGTCGGAAGGAGTGCAAAAGTGGGAGGCATCCTTTCCTGGGACAAATCTTTGTCCTAGGATGAGAATAGCGGCTTCGTTCCATGTCTTTGTGAGGGGGTCGTATTTAAACTAAAAATTGTAAAAAAATATTCACAAATTTATGTTCATATTCAAATTATTTTAATATCAATGTCCTGCAGAATTACATATGTGCATACGTTACATTATTAATAAAATAACGTGCCAAAAATGTTGTGAATCGCTTCATAATAATTTGTTACCCAATACTGTAAAAATACTTTATCAAAAAATTCAGTTCGTTAGACAGAAATTCTTCTATTCTCGTTCCGAGTAGATTTTTTTTAAGATAAACACGAAGTACATAGATATTTCCGTCTGGTATCGTAACTAACTCGGTACCACTTTTGTTATCGTGGACATAAAAATTATCAGATTATCACCTTAAAAACTTGATGAAGTCTTGAATCCGTTATGAAAATATCTCCATCATCTGTCACCGCAAGACCGTGTGGCCAAACGAACAAGCTTTTCCCCCAACTCCGTAATAGTTTTCCGGTCACAGAATCCACAATAAGAACAACGTCTTCCTCAATGGTCTGATTTACAGGCGCTCCGGGTGCCATTATTCCACTTCTGTGAAGTACGATTAAATTCCCCTCTGAATTTAGCACAATTCCAGAACCGTAAACTTTCATCTCCCTCACGGAAGAATGTGGCCACGTGGGATCCAATTGGTAGGACGCCACGGTTCTCGCAAAGATTGACACGACGAGTAGTAAGAAATTTAAATATATTTCCATTTTCGAAAATGAATTGGAAACTGAAAACTTTAATATAAAATTCTTAAAAAACGAAAACCTGAGTACTGTTACATATGTGACGTTATTGGAGTTGCAGTAAGAGATGAATAAGCACAGATTTGTATCTATTTTTAGTGTAGTGATTCAGAAGCAGGAGATAATAGATAGGTACCAATGTATATGTAAGCACAAGTTAGCTGTTGTGCTGGTTTGGATACCATTCATCATTTTCAGTGCAGATATAAGCAGATGACAGGATAATTGAGGTTGGTTAAATTGTAAATGATCCATAAATGTGTCACGCGTGGAAGCACAACAAATTGTACAACTGCTTATATTTACTAGATGTAATGCATGCATGTTTTTGTCATTATATATCCAGCAGCTCCTGGGCATAAAGTTTATTTGTCAACTATCTATGTATATGTACATACTTGTCGTTGTACTTGTACTATGCGCAAAAAGTTACGTATGTGTTTACATGTTGCTGAAAATCCTGACCATTCTAAATCATGCATTGTTGATGCATATAAGCAAATGCAATTTTATGTATAAGATGGTGTACTAGAGTTATTTCACAAAATCATGACTACGTGCACATGTTATCCAATGGGTTTACACTAAATAGATATGTAAACACCTTAGTAAATAGTACATACCACCTACCTATACAATAAAATTATAATACTTTCTTAGAATACGTTTTCGTAGGTATCAAAATGCTATAAAATATGGTCCTACAGGACATACATGTACATACCATGGTATGCACATACATACTGAGGATCACAGATCGTATTTGCACAGGTTTTAAAATTGACCTCAAACCTTCACTCGGCGTCCATGAATTTGTTTCGATTATTTAATACGTTCCTCAGACCTTTGGCTAGCCAGCCTATATCGCCGTTTTCACGAATTCATTAGTTTTCCTATATTTTGGAGAGCAATCTTCTTCAACTCCACCTTAAGGTTTTTCCGAAACACCAAAAAAAACTGGAGCTCGTCTGAGAAGAAGCTATGGTTTTAATAGTCTAAACCCGTTAAAAATCTAAAGGAGTAGCATCAGAACTTGTCACAGGTATCTGAGAGTTAGGAACAATTGCAATCCCTAGCTTTTGTTTTTACTCGGCTGCATACTGGGTCGTTTTCCCAGAGATTTTCGTTGTGAAGTTTGTTTTCGCGTGAACTTTGGCCTTTTTCTGACCTGTTTTTGAAGTTTGTTGTTGATGACGCTACTTACATGCAGCTGACATATTTTAACAACTTTTCCAATTTGAGTTTGGGTTAAAAGATTTTCCCACCTTGTCAGGGCGTCGATTTTTCGAAAAACGGTACACGAAAACTTTTTGGGGGGCTGCAACTTTACTGGGGATGCCAGTCCCGCTAATTTAGATATTGGTCTAATTAAAGCGGAACTAAGTTCACGATATGTTGAAGAACGAGTAACATTGCATCCGGATATGTTCTACTCCTCCACAATTTTCCCACGTGACAATTTTCCTTCGGAAAAATGCGGAAGGAGATGGTCGACTTCGGATGTCGATATCTTTGGCATTTGTTGACCGATTTTTGTCAACCAAACGTCAAATTCACCCCAAAGAACTACGCTTTGAGAGTAAAATTGCGAAAGTACAAAAAACCTTATCCGCCCATGAGTTTTGTCAGTTTTTCTCACTGTGCAAATAGGATCTGTGACCCTGTATATGCATACCCACATGTACGTATGTACATATGTCGAAAGTTTGAATAAGGGCGAGTAAATAAATAGAATAAGTCGCTATTATTCTACTTAAAAGGAAACCTGAAATATCCGATTTTGCACCTAACCAAGAATACATAAGTAATGATATGATTTTCATTATGGTCATTAATGGTCACTGTGGTTCATATTGTTATTGTACACACGTTCGTATGTATGAAGACGTACATATGTATATATAAGTTTGCATTTCGTTTGAGGCATTAGGTACACAATTTAGAGTATGTAAATGCACATGAAGGTATTACTAAATTTAAGCTCTATTCGGAGTACGTATTTATATACACTAAGTTTTTGATAATAGATGAAACTTCTAATGTTATGAATACATAAATGAGTATACAAAATTCAAAGACGGCATTTTTAATGACTATTCTAAGGTTCTGAGGTGAACAATGCCTAGGCGATTAACAAACAAACGCCAAAAAATTCACATGTGTACATACATATACTCTTTTATTTTGATAATCTACATTCGTTGGGTCAAAAGGTTGAAAAAAGTTGTACAACAACAGAAACTAACAATTTTCAACAGAAACTAACAACACTAAAGGCATAATTATACATATCCTAAGCCAGATAGCCCATAGTTTCTACTGTCTGGAACAATAAAAAAACCCGATGCGAATTAAAATTAAATTTACACTTTGTTCCTTAGATAAGTAATTCAGGTAGCCATTTTAAAAACAATTCTTCATTAGCTAGAATGCATCTCTACTTTGGGTCACATTTCCAAAAAATATTACAATTGCTACTACTTTTTCCCATCTGGGTTATAACAATCTATGAAACTGCCAATTCAACCTGCCAAAATCACATTTACTACTACCCTGTCCCCTCTCAAGCTTCGAATTTGCTCCTCATTTCCAAGTTTTTAAGCGATCGGACGAATTTATTTCCAGTTACAATTTCCCCCCATACAAAAAACAATGCTTCACTCAATACGAACAAAAATTTAATCCTGCCATACCGGAAACTTCTCGGATTTTCCAAAATACTCTGTAACGCCTTTCTTCTCTTAAACCCCTCAGAAATTGATTCCACGTCCGACTTCATTTCCAAAACCACCTTTGACTCCTCAGAAACCGTTATATTTGCAGTTATCTTGACCCATTCTGACTCAAGAGAGAACTACGTCTCAAGCTGGAATGAGATGGACTTCCCTGCCCACACGGTGCCCTTACTTCTGATTACTTTCACCACCGCAGAAGAGGAAGGCACGCCGGAAAAATTTACCATATCCATCCTATGTTACACTTGTCCTCAGCGATTTGTCCCCTTATTGTTCTCCACTGGAGCCACACTTGAAAACGTCCTATCAACACATCGCTCCCTGAACTGGGTGGGTCGTGGGGTCATGGCGTATACGAAATGCTACACCATCCTTGACCCCACCCTTCCCCCACTCACCCAATTTCCTCGTCTGCTTACATGCGAGACCAACTTTGACTCTGAAGATCGCTGCATCGACATGTACGTCCTTTGGTCGATTCTCCAAGTCCACCTCAACTTCACCATCGCGCAGACGGACGACACTTACGATTCCGGTTTGACGGAACCCTCTCTCAAAATATGTATGGAATGCATTTTCGGCGCAGAGGCTGCCCTCGAACCTGTGGAATTTCATAGTATTCCATTCTACTCGGACGACAAAGATATGCATTTCATTTACTGTGAGGATGCCAGAAATTTAAAACAGCCAAATTTTTTATTCATCCTGGAACCCTTTGATACCTTCGTCTGGATCGGAATTGTTCTCGTCGGGCTACTACTTTCCCTCATGTGGAGAGATTTCTCCTACTTTCTCCACGTTTGGTTCGTCCTAATGAACCAGCCTGTCAAAGGGGCTAAATTCTGCGCCGTACCGTCCCTCCTAATTTTTATTCTAGCCACGCTAACTCACCAGTATCAAGGAATTATGACTACAAACTTTATCGCTAAGCCGAAACAGCACTACATTTCGACGATTAAAGAAATGTACTCGTCCGGGTATCGTTTTACTTTGCCAAATCCAACAATGGCACCATTTGCGGGGGAAGTAGCGAGAAAAGAAGCGGTCACTTTCGGATGGAATTTGTCTGATATGTTTGTCTACCGGGAATCGATTAATCAATTTGATTCCTTCCCTAATCCCTCGTGGTATCCGGTACTGGCAGAGATTAAAGGGGTCGTTCTCACCTATTCTGAGCTCAATAAGTACGTCGGCAAGGGTGGGATGGACAATCAGGGGTACAATGTCAGTTGCCACATTATTGAGGAGCGGTTCAAAGAAATTCAACACGTTTGGATGATGCGGTCCTATCTTTCCGCGAGGCTGGTGCAAGTTCTCAATTTTTTGCATGAGGGTGATATCGATCTCTTCTGGTACAGGAGGATGATAAGGAAAGCATTTTTTAAGAACAATGTGGGTCCCAAAGTGAGAAAGGTGAAAGGAGGTGAGAATTTAGAGGAAATGCAATCATCCCACGTGGATAATTTTGACGTCCAACCTATCTCGTTGAATTCCTCGGTGAAGATTTTACTTTATTATTATTGGATCGGGGTGTTTTGCAGTTATTGTGGGTTTTGTTGGGAGAATTTTGGAGTGAGGATTGTACATTAATTGTTAATGCGAGAATCACTTTTAATTTACATACACAATATTTATTTTAGTGCTACAAATCCCGATAATTTGCCAATACAATATTTTTTATGAATGCCTTTGTCTATTTGTATCTTGCTGATTAAGGAATTCAACCTTCACCCCATCATTAACCATTGGAGCTAAATATTAACTGTTTGTAGGAGCAAATAAGTTGTATTGTTATCAAGTTGTAAAATTACTGGGTACACTATTTCTCTGTAAATTTGTTATTTGTTTACAAAATTGCTCATTACCAACTTTTTTAAATGTATTTATTTACCATAATTATTATAAATATGATATAAGTGAACTGGAATTAAGTCCAGTACATACTCGGGTGAAATTTTTGAGCAATTGGGAGCGTAATTAGATAATTATTATTCACCATTCTAAATTAACTCTAAATACGTAAATATGTACATATGTTCTAACACCTTAAGCAAGACGCAGCATTAAAAAAGTTCTATTAACGAAACTAAGGCTATATTTATGTATGTACTATATGCTCTATATTTCGAAATATAAAACATCAAATGTGGTATTGGGTATGAGAAGAACATGCTTAAACATTTAATTATTTTCCATGTTTTTATTTAGCAAGTACTTACGCATGTAAATTAATATTACCCCCTTGGGACAAAATAAGTATTGGAAATCATAAGTAAAACATCACTAAAATTTTACTTATACCTCATTCGACCTGCCAGAAGGGAAACCACTACTGAAATTATCATCCATCCAATTCCTGGTAAAAATCCTCTCCAAACGACCGGATGATAAATGTCCCACCCTCTCGTGCAAACTGACCGTAGCGACTCAATCACATGTGTTAACGGCATCCAGGTGAACAGTTTACGAAGAAACGGTGTAACCAATTCCGTCGGAAATAGAATTCCTGTTAATGACAATATTATAATATTCCGCATTTTTCACAGATGCTAAGAATTAAATTTTAAATACCTGACGGATTCAATTGAATTAATACTATGAAGACCACAATAAATTCACTCTGCAATATTCCGTCCGAAATAATGCTCACCAAAAATCCTAGAAAAAATCAACTATTGATTTAAAAAACTGCTCAAAGTTTGGCCAAATGTCGCAATTAAGTACCAATCATCATTCCGCACAGGGCAGTCATATACACCAAACCAACAGCGAGCACCCAATTGCCATGAATCACCATGCCATACACGCCGCAAAATAATGCAAAGAAAATTCCAATTTGTGCAAAAATCACGAAACTTTGAGTGACGATGTTGACAGCGAGTTGGTGCCAGAGAGTGACGCCGGTCACGTACTCTCGGTCCTCAAGGCCTGCCACTTTATCCTCCACCCAAACACCCCGATGCACATTGGCATTACAAACATTAGCCTAAAATTTTTCACAATTCCAAAACGTGACAAATATTACAGTAAACGTACATATTTATGTAGATAATTAATTACATAACGCACAAGATTAATATTATTTATCTTACAAAGTTAGGACACCAAGTTGCATATAGGGAATTAAGTCGAACGCTTCTGAACTTCCGTAGATTGAGTGGAACTAAAACCAAGAACAATTTGTGTAACCCGTATTAAAGTTAAAAAGGAGACATGGGAATATAAAAATCCGAGAAATTGATATACGCACATGCAGTGGTAGCTTAATCAGATCATCACTAATCGAGCATGACGACAAAATACTCTGGATGTAAAGAATATACTTTTCAAGGATACATTTTGTCGCCCAGGCTGAAAGAATTGAGCCTAAAAGTACCATAAATACGTCAAATTCATCACTGGCGGAGCATAAAAAGTCGTACCTGATTCGACCATGCGGATGGAAATGGTTGACCCGATAAGCGATTCGTTACTTGAAAAGTGTCGATATACCATCTTATCCTTGAAATGGGTTTCGTAATCTGTGGGAAACTCGATGAGGAGCATGGTTTGTCCTGATTTTATTTGTTCGATGCCTTCTTCATATGACTTGGCGGAAATCTAGTAGGATTTTGTCAATTCGATATTAGAAAACTTTAGTCAACAGAAACGTTTTAAAACTTAAATTTAATGAACCCTTTGAGTAAATTACATCAATTTTCGGTTTGCAATCCCCAAAGTATGAACTATGAAATATTTACCCAACTGAATTTTTGATCAAATTTATCCAGAAAATTGTAGATTCCCACGTTTGAGAAGCATTCATTGGATGAATGCTTGTCATCCTTGAAGAGGTTGGATATTGACAACTTGGAATTATTGTTAACGACACCGGCTTGGATTCCATGGGGTTCACCGCCGAGGATATTTTGAGCGATAAGAACGCACAAGATAGGAATCCCAATTTGCCCCAAATACAATCTGGTTCCGACCATATTTCGACAAGAAATAGTAAAAAAGCGTTACATCCCGAATATAAATCACAAATAAATAAAAATAACCTCGGTTCCCTTCGATTTCGATGCCACCATTTTGAAATTAAAGCTTGGAAAATCGTAGCGTTGTTGCGTCTGATATTCAAAGAAGATCCAGGTGTGTTAGGAACATGCACGGCTGCAGTATTTGCAGCTAAGGTCTCCGATTTGACCGACTGAAGATTCGTGTCATAGCGATTGGGAATATTTTCATCCGTTTTACAAAGTTGCGTGAAGACGTCCACTAATTTCGTAGATTGGTACATTGACAGTAATGACGTCGGACTTTCCTCTACTAACAGACGACCACCTCGCAGAAATCCGACCTGTAATTGATAATTATTCAAAACATGCTGCATGCTCCATATGGGATGACAATAAAGCTTGGTGTGTATTTGCATATCGTACTTTGTCGCAAAATTTTGTCTCCTCGAAATAATGGGTTGAAATTATCACGGTTTTCCCTTGTTTGCTAGAAATCTCGGATAAATACTGCCAGATCCTACGAAATGTAAATCCCATACAGATTTGTACATTTCCTTAGGCGTCCTAAATATAAATTTGTGTGTACCTCTCTCGCAACAAAGGATCCAGCCCAACACAAGGTTCTAAAATGGGGTCATCAGTAAGTTACATCATCTTAATTATAAGTTCAAATTATTACCGTCCAACACGAGTAGGGATGGATTATGAATCATTGCCGCAGCCAAGGATACCCTACGCTTTTGTCCACCGCTATTTGTGATTATATTTAAATTTATATTTTATTCTTAATTGGATATGAAACCTACAGAGAGTGCATTTATTAAGTTTGCATTCGAACCTTAACTTTTGAATTACTGCATCAAGTTGATAAAGATCCAGAATCTCTGACAGGAAACGTGTCCTACTCTCAATTTCTTGAGTTTCCATTCCATAAAGCAATCCAATGTACTTTAGGACCTCTCTGATCGTTAACACACTTAAAAGCGCTGTCTCCTAATGCGCATAAGATTTACTGTTTACTATTAATCGAATTTTTTTTGCATGGCTCTCGAACGAAACATTGCGTAAATTAGATTTACTTGAGGCATATATCCACAAAAACTGCCAAGATTGTCCGGCCGGGATTGATTGCACACGGTCACTTGGCCAGAATCTAGTTGACGTAATCCTACGACACATGAGAGCAACGTCGTCTTGCTAATGTTATTGTACGAAAAGACAAAACTTTCAATCTGCATACATATTTACTATCCCAAAAGCATTATCTTGTGAACTTACCCACAGCCACTCGCACCAAGAATACCGTAGCTGTAAAATTTCAAGTCAGTTTTTTAAATACATTTTTTAGTTAAAAAGACATACTTATATTATAAATATTTACTAAATGATAAATATTTCTCACATTTCTCCACTGGAAACATTGACGTTTATATTGTTAAGAACCAGTTTCTCATTTCCAAAACGTTTAAATCCATTTTTGATTGAAACAGCCATTATTCAATTGAATTTTCGATAACAGTGTATATTTTCAGCCTATTGACTTGTCCTTTTTACGAATTATAGCCTTTATCACCGATAAATTATCACCGCTTGTAGACGATCTTAAGTACCAACTGCGAAATCATTCCATCAGTTACTACTTCATAAATATACATATGTACATGTTATAAGTATCCACATGCACGTAATACATAATACACTTCTGGACAGGATATTACATACATATGTACTTGATATTTTGCATGAAAGTACATAGTTTTATATAATTGCAATTTTCCAGAACGTATACAATTACTGAAGATGAAGTAAACTTACAACGACGCAATAATTCATCAGTATACACGTATTAATTATGAAAACTTTCGGTAATTAATTCATGAATACTTAAGCACTTATCCAGTAGTATGCACACATTGGTACAGGTATTTTTTCTCAGAATCAGATAAGCCAATTAAGTAATCCGCATTCAGCTGAATGCAACACGTCGTCTGATATGAAAACATGTGTGTAAAGATAAAAAAGGTGGTACCTCACTTTTCTCACGAGCTTTTGAAAGTGTAATTCCAAAAGGTAAGGAAAGCTATCTGTATGAAAGAAGCATTGCACTGTGAATAAATAATGCATCGAACTATTTATACCGAGGATTCATGAATAATTGTTTAGTAGTCTGGTCAAGGAAGGTGGGTGTACATATATAATTAGATCCCACAGATAGTTGAGTATATAGTAATCAATTGTATTTGAAGCAATGTGCAACCTTTATTTTGAAAGAATAAATATACAGGTTTTCCCGTGAATACTTTTGATATTACTGATTTAATTTGCAACAAAAAGTGACGTAATCGATGCCCATAGTACGCGTTTTAGAATATGATCAATTAAAATGTCTTTAAATTCTCATAATTTCAAATGTTGAAAAGCTATCTTTGTGACAAATTTTTTCAGAAAGTTAGGTATCGATTTGTGTTATGTGCTGTTGGGTTTCAAATTTGTTGCAACTACAATAAGTCATTCATTTAGTCCATGTAAACGGAATGATTTTCCATTCAATTCAATGGAGTATTTACAATTACAATATGATTTACACAAATTGGCTCGGAACATTACAAAATACATTTTCTTAAAAGGGATGGAATTTGAAAAAAATTGAGAATATTTGCTGAAATACAATGAAGGTATTCTTTACGAGCTCAAAGGTTCGCATCACAACATAACTATTTCGAAATTGCGAATTTTGCGAAGCAACGAAGTGAAGACACTTCGCAAATGTAAAAGTTCGGAAAATTTGATTCAAATGTCTCGAATTTTGCAATGGGAAAAATTCGTAAATTTGCATTAGTTACCGAAATTTTGCGTCTGAAATTTACCAAATAAGAAATTTCAAAAATTCAAAAGGCCAAACGTCGGTAACCAATAGAGATTTATGGACTTTTCATATTGAAAAATTTGTGAAAAATAGTTTGCGAACTAAATAAATATCTACTAGCCCTGGAGATGCGCAAGTCTGCAAATCAATTTTCAAGTCCAATTTTTTTGCGAACTTGCGAACTTTATTGTTTTACGAACGTTGCTAACGATGCGAACTCGAAATGAATACCTCAATATACTTGTGTTTTTGAGAGCCCCGATGTTATCGCTTTTAAAAATTATGACTCCTATCACCGCTAAAATGTATACATTAAAAAATACAATTCCCTAAAAAATCTGGGAACCATTTGGTGCTTGTTCATAAATTAATTGTACATAAATTTTCTAACCATTAACCTACCACTAAATAAACAGACGTACTTAGTAACTACATGTGTGAAGCTGTGGATAATGCAAACAAATTCAACCACTAAGTCCACACCGACCTGGTGTCTAATTGACATTTGAATAGCAGGTAACCTTCAATTATGTCATGGGTACATTTGCAAATATCATGATCCTGGATTGAATAAAATCAAGTTCTTTATTCGTGCCCCAATGATCTTTTATTGGTTTATGTACATAACATGCGGCTTCCAATCTGTTCAGAACATCCGTTTCAAAACCTACGGACATACGTCACTTCAAACCATCAGCATATAAAAGCAGACAAGACTGGCATAATTAATCATTCCAACTCCTACAAAGCTCTTGTATCACAGCTTAAAATCAACACCGGCTTCCAATAATCCTTCAAAATGGTTAGCGTTGCCCCAATTTCGATCCTTATTGTTGGGATGATTGTTTCCTCTTCAATGGGAATCTACCTCCCAACTCCAGCCAACATCGCGAAGGACATCAAGTGGACACAAGCCATCAACGCAGCCCTTTGCGCGCCCGGAGCACACAATGACGCCGTGGCTCAACAATTTTATGCCTGTTACAATGAAGCCATCGTTCCTGTATGTATTTCTTATCAATCACATCCGTTACTTGATTTGTTCACTCGGTTAAACACCATTCGGTAACGAATATTTTGAATATTTTTGCAGGGTGCCACATCATTCAAAGCTTGTCAAACCCAAGTTTATGGTGTCCAAATGGACACTCAAGCAAATGTTGACACCGTTTGCAGCGGAGGTCCCGACAAATTTCCAAGGGTTCGATATTATCAGAAAATTCCTAATCATACATACAAATCTTAAATTCAAAATTCATTACGATGTAATTATTATAGTACGCAGCATGCATTTTGGCCCGACTTCCATTCCAAGGTGTTTGTGCGACAACTGCGATCCACAAGTTGAACGTGAGATAAAAGAAATATAATTTCCTTACAAGCTGGTTGACATTTTGATTTCATTTGTGGATTTTTTGTTGGTAGGAATGCCAAGGCAAAGTCATGAATGTTCCAGCCCCTGCTTAATTATTTAATCCAACGTGTTCCAATTTCCTCTGATAACTATTTTGTGATCCTTTTTCAAACCTTAATCTACTCAAAATTAATCAAATTGTACTCTTCTGCATGATTTATATTCAAGTCAATAATAAAGTTCTAGTTAATGATGCTATATGAATATCTGTTAGTAAAGATTTCGGTTTCCAGTAGCCGACGAAATTTCATTTTACGACGCAGGAATTCATTTAACATATTTATTTATGTCGTACATATTCATGAGGTGAATAGAGTACTATTTGTGATTATTATTCTAACATGTTTTTCCAGGCATTTAATTACTCTCTCGATTAAAGTATTAATTTACTTATGAATAATTATCAATGCTCATTAAACCCGTAACGCTGAACTCGCACAATTTATACCACAATATTATGATCGAAATTTTACTTCATTAATGTAATTAATATTCCAACAACAATTTCTTCAGATACCAATTTTGGCAGAATTTTGCCTTTTGCTGGTTTATTACACGTTGTTAATTTAATCGGTTAATACGTATGACTTTATTTAGCGACCTAAGGACGAATATTTGCTTTTAAAAAAATTCTTAAAAATTCATCCTGAAAAATAGCATTAAATATTGGTCGTCGCTAAAATAATTAATCCAAACTTTATATATGTAGTTTGGAATGTTAAGGCAAATCAAATTCCTGCATGGCGCAAAGTGTGATATTTAAATTTCAAGATTTTAGATGAAATGCTTTTTAGAATGGTTAATTTAGAAGCATGAATTATCTGATAATCAAACTTTCTAGTTGGACTAAATTTACACACGGGTGGTAAAATGTTTGCCAAAGATATCCCATTCATCAAAAGAAGCTTAAGGCATGGGGAATATTTTCCTTGCTTATTTGTCAAATGGGATAATCAGAGTGGGAAGCTTGTAGCAACGAGTGCACAAAAGATTGTCATTTTGTCTGTAGTTATTAATTTTTGTGCAGCATTCTGTCGCCTGTTTTATACAGTCGTTAGTTCATCTAGTTTACTTGATCGAGCACAGACCGGGTTGGGAGCGGCAGTCTACGTGATTGGTTTTCTCATACGATTTGACATTCCGATCGACCATGTGCCCGCCCAATTGATAAATTTTTTAATTGGTCAACAAACTGAGCAATATGGTAAACATATCCACACATCAATATATGTTAACGGCTTGTTACTTGTGTACCTAGCATTAATCCATCCTCTATTTATTTAAATATCTACAGGGTCCCCTACAAGCACAAAACTCCAGTTATTCATCAGATTCCTATATGTGTTTGTCGAAGTGGTCAGTTTGCTAATTTCGACATCACTTGCAACTCTCACGATGATTAGCCCTTGTCAGCCGATACTGCTAAGCTGTGGACTCTGTTCGGAAGGAAAATTTCTCTCCAGGACCTGCATAAAGTTAATTAGTCTGCTACTTTTAGCCACATTTGAATTTCTGACATGTCAACAAATATGCATTGCCTCTTCTTACTATACACTCACTGTGTTGCTTCAAGGAACATTATTTCTGTGGATGTCATCCAAAGCGTTTGTGAACAATTACGAGTTGATATCCAATCTTAGGTCGTTCGAGAAATATAGAGAGTTGAAAGTTTATGAGAAATTATTAAATTCTTGCACGAGGTCACGAATATTTCTCACCATAGCTCTACCTATTCCATGTTTCCAAATTTTGTTATCCTACATTTTCTTCAAATTCTTCCATTCGGAAGACGTCGGAAAGTTCATGATTTCTCTGTGCTTATCGACTTACTTTGCAATACTGGTCTTTACAATTCTTTTATTTTCGTCGGCTGCCCAGATTAATAATTGGAGCAGGAGTTGGATCGTAAAGTCGAAAAAGAGGTGTTGGAACATGTTTAAGAAGCGGATGCACAGATCATTGACGCCGTTAAGGTTTGAATTTGGGAATAATTTTGTAGAAAGGTTGACACCAAGTTTTGTGTGAGGCAAACCGTTTCTTGTCTTTTAATTACACGGTAGATGTGTTCATTTAGAAATTCTCATTCTTCGCATTCGTGTCAACCCAGTCAACTAAACGGATGGGGTGAATTTCGTAAGAATGTATGTATGTAGGATTCGATCCAAAAGTAATAAAACATTTGAAAAAGTATTTTTATTTGTATGAAAGAAAAATTGTCACTGAGTTGGAACGCGGTAGTTTTGTAGTCTATGCGATTGACTACCCGAATCTGAAAACCGGAAGTCGATATCTCGATTAGTTCAAAAATGAGAACAAAAAATTCAGAGCAACTCGCAAAAAGAATTTGCCACTACTACGAAAAAGTGTGCGAGCGCGTC